CTTCCAATCTTGAATTACTCAAGCTTTTCCAAATTGAGAATATATGTCAATCTTTCCTTTGATTTTATCAATGGCTTCTTCATTTCCAATACTGCATAACTCTGGAATTGTCTCTTACTTAATTCCACCAAATCCACTTCTTGGCCATTGAGTTGCAACTTTCTCTTAAAATTACTTCTACACAATTCACATTTCATCTGATCCCACAGAAATACTATGGTGTTGCTACTTTCCATGTTGTATTTAGTTACAATCCAATGTTATAAACACCTCAAATGAATCAAAGCCATAGTTCCAGAACAATTGCATGGTTCAATCTTTGGATCATCAATGCTTTCAGAACTCAATAGACAAATTCTACACCGTTGTTCATCCACACTCTAACTGAGAATCGTCTCTCTTTCATCTAGTTTCCTCTCCCCCACATCAAAATGAAGTTCCTTCAATTTTATTTCAACCTTCCCCACCCGTATCACATCATTATATTGTAATTTAACACCATTCTCTTATTATTAAATTGATTTTATAACCAACCAAACCTGATGATCATCGTTTTTTGTTAGCTAATCATTACACTAAATTACTTACTCTCGGCTCAATCCAAAAACAATTCTGTCTATTTTCAATTCTGATCAGTGTCTTCCCTTATTAAGCAGATTATATTTTCCCACTTGATTTATCTCTATACAATCTAATAGAGGAATTGATTGTCAGAGATTAAGCTATTCGATTAGAGTTTTCATAATCAAAAAGATCGTGAGAATCTTTGATCCAAGTTATCATCTTTATCTAAAGAGAAGTCTAATTATAAACTGGATTTTAAAGTTGCTGAAGATTAATTATTCAATTACTTCCAATTACTCAAGAAGCAGAGATTTTCTTTGTAAGAGGTCGTTAAGCTGAATTGAAGAGAAATTCTTTTAACCAGTTTATTTGCAACAATTGCCCATTTATTATTTAAATTAACATATACTTACCAATCTAACTAATTTTACAAAATTAAAATGAACACAATCAGATTAAGGACAAACCTCAAATACTCCACAATTAGATTATCCTCTACATAATGATCATTAATTCAATGCAAAATTCAAGATTTAGTTAGACTTCTAACATAACTATTTAATAGAGTTAAATTTAAGAAAGAATTCAGTAATTTTGGAGTATGAGGAGAGCTTTAATAATTGAGGATAATAAAAATTTTAAGGCTTGATTAAATGTGAAAGTAGAATGGACTGATAAATGCTTATGATATAGTGCATTAATTGTTATTTGTAATATCATTTTAAATAGAATTATCTTGAATTTGTTTTATTACTTTTCATTTATTTATTGCTCTTATAAATGCAGAGCAATCTAAGATTTTATGGATTTCTAATTCAATATAAACTAAAATAAGCATATAAAAATATTCGACATATAAATAAAATCAGAAAATATGAATATTTAGGAAACCAAAAATATTCCTGAGGAAGTATCAAAGGGATTGAACTTAATAGCAAAGGATCCATTTACTTAATAAAACTTTGATAAGCTAGCTAAATGTGTATTTATGAATTTGGCTGGAGAAGAAAACAATACAAAAATATTGGATCAATTGAATACAGAACCTTTAACAAATGAGTTGTTCAACTTAATTTTGCTATTCACCGTTCAATGTATCAAGTTGCAATTAATGGAAATTGAAATCACAACAAATCTTTATGATTATGGATTTGATCAGACTATCGTAGATGGATATATAAAGAAGTTTACTTAGTTCAAGCAATTTATCAATGATCCTGACAATGCCATCATAGCAGCCAATTTTGAATCGAAAATAGGTTTCAATTACCTCGTAGATGTTGATTGGCAATAGGAAATCGTGGTTTCATCCAAATATGCTAATAAAGTGTATTAGGAAATATATAAAATATAATTGCACACTAAATCAACAGACACCAAAGACAAGGATATTGTGTTCAAGTGCACATTGCCTCAATTAATTGAGATAAACAATCAATTAGGAATGATGGTCAAGAATATAGAATCAAGTTCAGATTTGAAACATCTCAAATGATGTATTTATAATTTTAAATCATTAATTAATGTTAAGCCAACCTTCTAAATATTGTAGACTCACATCTTCATATTGTTTGATAAAAGGGTGTTCCTGCAATATATAAATTTAATATACCAGCAATTCTGCAGCACTCCTCCTCTTTCTTGGGTCCTTCTATAAACACATGGCGATGAAATCAGCCCCCATTTATGAAAATTCAGGAGGCGACGGTGGAGCTGGTCTAGAAACAATGTATTCTTTGATTTCCCAAAACCCAAGGGAGGGAGTTGTTTCGTTGGTTCCAGGATGAGGATAAGGAAAGACTCCCCAAGCACATTCAAGTAAAGAAAGTCCTAAAGACCAGACATCAGTATTAGAAGAGTAGGGTTCACAAAGAAACCTTTCTGGTGACATATAAGTCACTGTACCAACCCAAGTATTTCGCTGATCTTAGGTGTTTAGTAATTACCCACTCACGCCAAAGTCAGAAATCTTGACCTCACCTGCACTATTTATCAATAAGTTGGAAGGCTTGATGTCTCGATGGATGATTTTCTTTGTTCGATGCAAGTAATCCAAACCCTTCAGAAGTTAATAGGCAATTAATCCTAACATTCCTTCTGGGATTTTTCCTGATTTCTTAATTACATCCTGCAAAGTGCCTAGATTCATGAATTCTAAGGCAATGGCTACTTAAGCTCCTTCTAGAAAAGCTCCATAACATCTGATAATGTTTGAATGATCGCAGCTGACCAAAGTTTCTAGTTCCAAATTGATTTATTTAGTGAACTTCTCGTCATTCACTACTTGTATTGTCTACTATTTACAATGAATACTTTAAGGGCAACAAGTAAATTGGTTGGTCTATGTAATGCTTTGATCACTCTTCCACTTGAGCCTTGACCTAAATCATCAATGGATATTAAGTCTTGCAATTGAATTTAATATCTTTCATTTTGGAATTGATGTTATTGCTGTAGTTTTTTTTTTGGATCTTCCTTAGGCAAGGGTATGAAAAAACCATCAGCATCTTTCATGTGTTATTGAGCTGGAAATCTCTTAGAATAAAACAATATATACTATTGGAACAAAGTATTCCTAGGGACTCGATCTTGGGTCAATGATTTTGCTAATTAGATTAGCATTAGGTATTTTGATAGTAAGTTCCTCCTCCATGTCACTGTCCTTCCAATTCACTTTTGGTAGAGGTTAAGAAATTTTAATTTTTTTGCTCATAAGTAATAATTATAAATTAACTATTGATAATAAAGAATTCATTATCTATTACGAATATTAATGGTTTAAGTAGGTTCTAAGTTACTCTTATAGGAGAAAACAAAAATGGGAAGAAATTAGGTATTCTGAAAACTTCTTAATATATAATAGATGTGGAGGTGTTAACATAAATAAGTCAAGAAGCTGAACTACATTAAATTTTGATAAGTTAATTATAGACTTAAACTTAATTAATGTTGAATAATTTACACTGGATCCTGCTAGTTTGAAAATATTCTAATAAAATTCTGATTATCATAAAGGTAAGACAGATTGGATATTGATTCTACTTAACATTTTTAATTTGAAAATATTAAAAATATTTTGAGTTAAATTAAGTTTAACAAAAAATTTAATTCATAAAAAAAGAGAGCCGGTTGTAGGTTGATTATCCTTTTCTTTTAATTGCTTCCACTTTTTCATTTGGTTATTTAATTTAATTTTGATTTGATATAAATATTTTACTAATGGTGCCATTATACCAAAGGATAGAAGTCCTATCTAAACAAATCCAATAAAAATTTGAAATTAATAGCTTAAGTAATTTGATTAAATTTGTTCATAAGCAATATTAAGCAGAGTAAACATTATAACTGGAACTTCAAACATAAGAATCAAAATTAAATCAATTTTTTCTTATACGATTTAACCAAGAATAATTATTGTTATGTAAAAAGAATTTATTAATGATAGCAAAGCTGACTGTGTTAGTGAATTTTTTTGAAATCCGATTAAAACTAAAAGAAAAAAAAATTTTTTCGCAACTATCAAACCATCATGGAGAAGTATTTTTCTTTTCTTTAATTCCTTTTATGAATTCTTTAACGAAAATATTGAGGAGAGTATTACTAAATTACAAATTATGAATGAGTATGCAAGGATATTCTACAAATAATTTCTTAAATTATTTTCCTTTTAAGAATAGAGATACAACAAAGTCTTGAAAATTAAATCCCAACTATTTGCCTAAATAATATAGACAAGCCCATTTAAAGATATGAGTTAATGTATTTTAATGCATAATTAATTAAGTTTATGTATTATTAAGACTATCTTATTAATAAAAAATAATTTTTTGTTATTGTAAATGAAAACCCTGAATTGATTATAGCATTTTTTAGTGAATATCAAGAAATATACTTTGGATGCAATTAGCAATAATACTACTATCACTATTTAGGCAATTAACCCAGATAAATTACTGATTAATTCAGCATTGACATCATAAAATAGAAATTTCTCAAATGCTGGAAGCTGCTCCTACCCAATCACACCATTAAATAAATCAATAAATTATAACTTTTCCAAAACTGGAATGATTGTTACAACTTCAGAGGATTCAAAATAAATCATAATATTTTCTGGATAGTTGGAATTTATGTATTTTAGATTAGATTAATACTATAAGGTATCCAAAACTTCAAAGCATTCAACAGGATTGCCAGATAATAATATAATCAAGCTAGATATACCAAGTCCAATAAGCATATACATATTTAATGAGCTCATTTTATGAGATACTATCCTTTATGTTTCACTTAAAACTATTGGATTTCTTAAGTGTAATTTACATTATTAATTATCAACCGAAAACCCATATTAATCAATAAGTCCTATGTCGAATGAGACTTAAAAGTAAATATCCATAGTTTCTTATTCTAAAAATTTAATCTAAAACAAATAGTTTATATCCTATACTGATATGATATTTGGCTCAACTAAAACATACTCATAAATAATATAATGAGAGGGATCAATATCATATAAGGAGAGTTGCAAATTTTAAGTCAAGTTTGAATTGGAATCTTGTAATTTGACTTAGCTTGTAATTTACAATTATACAAAGAAAGAGTCATAAGNCCAAAGGATAGAAGTCCTATCTAAACAAATCCAATAAAAATTTGAAATTAATAGCTTAAGTAATTTGATTAAATTTGTTCATAAGCAATATTAAGCAGAGTAAACATTATAACTGGAACTTCAAACATAAGAATCAAAATTAAATCAATTTTTTCTTATACGATTTAACCAAGAATAATTATTGTTATGTAAAAAGAATTTATTAATGATAGCAAAGCTGACTGTGTTAGTGAATTTTTTTGAAATCCGATTAAAACTAAAAGAAAAAAAAATTTTTTCGCAACTATCAAACCATCATGGAGAAGTATTTTTCTTTTCTTTAATTCCTTTTATGAATTCTTTAACGAAAATATTGAGGAGAGTATTACTAAATTACAAATTATGAATGAGTATGCAAGGATATTCTACAAATAATTTCTTAAATTATTTTCCTTTTAAGAATAGAGATACAACAAAGTCTTGAAAATTAAATCCCAACTATTTGCCTAAATAATATAGACAAGCCCATTTAAAGATATGAGTTAATGTATTTTAATGCATAATTAATTAAGTTTATGTATTATTAAGACTATCTTATTAATAAAAAATAATTTTTTGTTATTGTAAATGAAAACCCTGAATTGATTATAGCATTTTTTAGTGAATATCAAGAAATATACTTTGGATGCAATTAGCAATAATACTACTATCACTATTTAGGCAATTAACCCAGATAAATTACTGATTAATTCAGCATTGACATCATAAAATAGAAATTTCTCAAATGCTGGAAGCTGCTCCTACCCAATCACACCATTAAATAAATCAATAAATTATAACTTTTCCAAAACTGGAATGATTGTTACAACTTCAGAGGATTCAAAATAAATCATAATATTTTCTGGATAGTTGGAATTTATGTATTTTAGATTAGATTAATACTATAAGGTATCCAAAACTTCAAAGCATTCAACAGGATTGCCAGATAATAATATAATCAAGCTAGATATACCAAGTCCAATAAGCATATACATATTTAATGAGCTCATTTTATGAGATACTATCCTTTATGTTTCACTTAAAACTATTGGATTTCTTAAGTGTAATTTACATTATTAATTATCAACCGAAAACCCATATTAATCAATAAGTCCTATGTCGAATGAGACTTAAAAGTAAATATCCATAGTTTCTTATTCTAAAAATTTAATCTAAAACAAATAGTTTATATCCTATACTGATATGATATTTGGCTCAACTAAAACATACTCATAAATAATATAATGAGAGGGATCAATATCATATAAGGAGAGTTGCAAATTTTAAGTCAAGTTTGAATTGGAATCTTGTAATTTGACTTAGCTTGTAATTTACAATTATACAAAGAAAGAGTCATAAGTTTGATTAATGAGTAATAAGTTGAAATGAGGAGGCGTTACTAAAAGACAGAGACTTGTTTCTAAATCTGTTTGTGAGCAAATCCAACTAATTTCAATTTTGCATTCATCAGAACATCCATCTTGATTAATTAGATTGTTATCATCACATTCTTCTTTTACTGACTTAATTCCATTTCCACAAATGTCGAGACAGAGATTATTCTTGATTTCATATCCAGGATCACACGTTAAACAATATCCATCCATACAATTCAAACAATCTAAAGAGCAAGAATATTAACATTAATAGCATCCATCATAGGGAATTTCATTAGCATCATCACATTACTCATCAGATGCAATAATTAAATCTCCGCAAATTGAATGGCATTAATTATCAATTAATTAATAACCATTTTCACATTATTTTTTTTGAGGGTCTAAACATTAGTATTAATCACATATTAAACAATTTTATTTACATGAGAATTAGCATTAATAGCAACCATCAAATTCAACATCATTTCCATCATCGCATTATTCATATCCTTCAACTATTATTCCATCTCCACAAATAGGAACACATATATTATTCTAATTTTCAAAATGCTTCTAACATAATACACAATCTAAACTATGATTGCAAAATAGACAATTTTCTGTGCATTCAAATTTACATTCAAAACATCCATCATTACTTTGATTATTTTAGTCATCACATTATTCCTACTAAAGCAATGCAATTTTCCCATCCCCACATTCAGATACACATATAAAATTAATTAAATTCCACCCTTCAATACATTGAAAACATTGAGAATAATAGCATTCTAAACATTCTAGTTGACAACTATAATTGCAGTGATAACACCCATCAAATTATTCAAAATTAGCATCATCACATTATTCATATTCTTAAACAATTCCATTGCCACATTTAGGAATGCAATAGTTATTATTAGATTCATCATACTCATCTTAGCAAATCTGACATTAATTTAAGAAAGCAACTTTGCAGTTCTGAGGTATTTCAAAAGGGCACATATCATATTAATAAGCAAATATTCCATAATTATCAAATTTGCACGAATCACCATCATATTAAAACTAAATATCAGTATTTAAAATGACATGTTGTTAATAATTATTAATTAAAAAATTGGAAATTTGACAATAGTGGCCTACTTAATTTTAGCTTTAATATTGATTTATCAATTCATTCTCTTTATCGTTACAATAAAATTAGCATTTATTATCAATTAATTGATATGACAAGTTGCAAATCAAACATTTTCCATATTAGCAAACCTTACAATTTAAAGGACAAGAAAACTAACATTCATAACATCCATCATAAGGCTGCTAATTACCATCATCGCACTATTCAGAGGATACAACTATTTAATCTCCACAATTTGGGACGCATTATCCTGAAATTCTATTTAATATCCAAGGAGATAAACATTAAATACAAAGACCCTTTACACAATAATTGCAACCTTCATTGCAATCATAAATATAGGAAAAACACCCGTCAAAAGCATATATATTATTGTCACTGCAAATAATTCCATCGTCGAATACTGATTTTTTCTCTGCATCTGTAAATACTTCAAAATCTCTTATACCAAAAAAAGGAGTTTAACTAGACACAGTGGTAAATGCTGAAATTTCTAATGAAATAACCAAAATTGAAGCACTGCTTATAAATTCTCCTAGGTCAATTTTATCTAATCTTAAATATGAACCGCAAATGATATTACTACTACTAATAAGATCTAAAGGGTCTGCATAATTTGTTAATAATACTCCATTACAATTTACTCTTATTGTGATACTTCCAGTCACATATGCACACAAAAATTTTAATTATATTTTAAACTTTGTATGTGGATCAGTTAAATGTAAATCAATTGAAATCACTTCAGTCATTAAAAAAGGCCCATAAAATTCAAAACCTAGATATATCTTAAATTTACTTCCACATTGTCCAGTTCCATCATAGGGAAAGCAATCTCTTTGCCATCCTTATCCTCCTGTTACAAGAATTTAATTAAAAAAAGCCAGCACTCTGTTCCAATTTAAACAGTTTCCGCTAGTATCACAGTAATCGCATCCCTTAGGACATTTCTACACATATATGATAAAATCAGAAATCCCCCAATATGAACCAGATTAAAGTGAAATTAAGGTAGCGATTGCACTATTACCATTATGGTTAATTTCTTCACTAATTTAATAAACTTATCCTAGAGTACCACTACCACAGATTTAAGTGCCTGTTGAGATGGTTGGATTGTCACTATATGGTTTAGAGCCATCAATATAAAAAGAGTAATATGACCCGGACCAAGATGTTAATCTAAATTAGAAGAATTATAGATACCTCCAGAATTTAAATTCGAACTTCAACTTATAATGAGTAGGTAGAATGAAAGTCTTTGTAATTGCTGTTTTGTAAGTAAATACTGAGAGACCTCCAAAAATGAATGATGTTCCACAATCTGTTATATAAGGTGAGGACTCAGCCAAATAAGTCTTCCAATCTAATAAGTCATAAAAAAGACTTACTATCGTCTGAATTAAAAGGAGAGAAAAAAGACCTGCTGATTTCTGTTTATGCCATTGTAAATTGACATAATTGATTTTGTAAAATCAGATTCATGAATATTTAAAAAGTAAGAAAGCCTTGGAGAATTTGTTACTTGTTGAATGTTAGCAACATAAACAAAATCATCCTAGTTAATATTATTTTAATAACAAAAGATGCATGAAAATAAATCAGATATAAATTGTTACTTGCAATAAAGTATCTTATATTAATATATAATTATGAGACAATTTATATATATTACATTAAAATTGACTAATTAAATATTAAACACATTCTTATTTAAACTTGCGTAAACACCTTATAGTAATAAAAAATAATGTTATAATTTCCTTTCCAATAGTGCAACTATGATTACACTAATTCTAAATTATTTTAACAAATATTATAATATCAATTCTTTTATAATAATTACTATGATTTTTTATTTCACAGTTATAATAAATCCCTTAATTATATGTTAAAAAGAAACTCTTATTCCAATTCTTAAAAAATATAAATTGACAAAAAATTAACTTGAGAGTAAGTATTAATTCAGATGACGTTTGAAGTTAATTAAATTATATTTTATTCCAAAATTGTCATTAGATACAAATTAGTAATTATTCCTTATATTTCATCATCTGATTATATATTATAAGCATATCAATTATTAATTTGCCCTTAGTTATATAAATCCTAGTACTATGAATTTTCAAAAATGTAAAATTCAATATTTATTATTTAATTGCCAGAATAGCCAAACTAAATTAGGAAACTGAAATTCTAATGTGATAAAAAGAATTAAGAGCCTTCACTTTAAATTTTTATATTTCCATTTATAATCTCGTAGAACCTTCAAAAAGCATGATTTAGAAATAAGCTCAAGGCAGGACCTGATGACATTTTTTAGCCTCAATAATCAAAATATCATCTAGAATAATTACTCCTTATTATTACAAAATTTAATTTCACTAATAAATGGGAATGTCTCTAACCTATGAATTTCTTTTTGTTTTCCTTTTTTGAGATATCTTAATATGATTTAGTTTTCAATTTAAACTGATATGTATTACTCCTTTTCATCTTTGAAATGCATTTATAGAGAAACAAGTTATAAATAGTATTACCTTTATAATATAAATCAAATTTATGGGGTAATTTATATTAATTAACAAGAATTTCACCTTAATTCAAGATAGATAATTCTATTTTGAGAAGAATGACATATTTCTAAATACTTTTTATGATTCAAAAAAAGATGACTTGTGATAATATTTAATCAAGAAAAGCATAATTATATTTAAACTGAGAATATCGAACTTATATTAATTTTAAAAGAATAAAAGGTATAGAATTCTTCAATTTATTTCAAATGACTCTAACTCAAAATATAGACTGAAATAATTAATTCTTTCGTCATCATCATTCAACTCAATTCTAAATTGTTTTTTTTCCAAAAACACACGCTAATATTTACTTTATATAAATATGGCTTGTTTCCAAAATAAATCACCTCAACCATTTATATATAAGCGTGTTAATTCAATAGAAATTGCCTATGCTTTTCATTGAGCAATCTTAAATGATGGTTGAGGATATAGCCAAGTTTTATAAAGTTATTTGAATTTTATAAACTATCAATAATTCTAATTCAAGAATTACTAGAAAACAGAACTCCAGTATGTTACCTATTTTTTGTGAAAAAATAATAGTATTTCCAAGCAAGTGGTGATTCTCATATAATTAGGTTATACTAAGCTGATGATAATATATTTATATCAAATAGAAATAGAAGGAAGTACCAAATTTATCAATTGCTTATTTATGAATTCAGAGGAAGACTTAATAATTCAGAATGCTCTAGTAAATCAATTAAATTCTTGATGATATGAGATGGACTATGGAAGTGCTCTCAAACAGTTAATTGCCAATCAAATAACATAATTAATATAAGTTTGAATGTTTCCTCTAATCAACTAATAGCTAGTGGTTCTGAGAATCAAGTTCCTATAGTTTAATGCTTTCATAATTTTGAATGGAAAATACTTTAAATTATCCCAGTAACTACTTTAGGATATAGATTTTGAACATCAATGATTAGATATTTTTACATTAAGATATATTCAAATAGAAACTGAATGTAAATTAAACACAATATAAACAATAAGTTCAAGTTAACAAAGGGAGTTGAGGTTACAGGAAGCGTGAATTGTACCTATTATTTTCCATCCAAATTTATTAAATCTAAATCAATATTATTTAATAATAATGGATGATTTATATATTTCATTAGAATTAATAGTTAATGCGAGTTAAGTAATGAATAGGTACTAGAATTTGAACATCAATTGATATTTGGAACATCAAACTAATATAATAATTTAAACGTTTGCAGTCTATAGTATTTATCGCTCTATTTCCAAAGCTTTTCTACTAAATCCAGTCCACTTATTTTTATCAATGTTTCAATCACATATTTATACCATGTTAGCTCTTCAAATGCTTTTCTTACTTAAAACATTAACAGGTTTAGGATGGGCTATGACAACTTTCTCTCTGAATAAATGGCAGCATCATCAAATTAACCAAGTGATCTTATGTCAATAGGTTATGAATTACAGAATAAGCAACTTAATTAATTTTTATTGATTAGTACCTTTGCAATGTAAAAATTTTGGTAATATTGAAATCGTTGCATCAGAGCACTCACTTGCAAAACTTTAAGTTGTGCCAGTTATTTGGATCTCATTTAAGTGAAGAGGACATTGCGAATTCAGCAATGCAATTCTTCAAAGGACATTTTTATGAGTCATCCAAAGTAAGAATCTAATCGATTAAATAAATTTAGTTGACATTATTATTTAAGTTAATTAATATTTTAATAAAAACCTTGTAGTCTACATTGAAGAGACTTGTCTTATAACCAAAATTAAGGAGATTAAATTTTGAAGATCTCCTCTTTATTGAAGTAAATATTTTATCAAAACTTGGACAGAAAATCTAAGATTTTTTAATTAAATAATAAACTAATAAATGCTTCGTCTAGCTTTTAAGCAATTATCACGTCAATCTTTCTCATAAAAATTGAAAATCTACGAACTATTATTCGAAAGAGGTTTACAATTCTTTAATCTAAGTACCACACAATATATAATACTCTAGATCAATATTAAAACGCAATTGATTAATTTGAGACTTGCATGTCTGTGTTTGCTGACGCCAAACAGTCTAAACGATGGGAGGATACTAAATTCGAAGATTTGAATTGTAGACACTACCCAGAGCAATAATAAATAAAAGGTATACATTTTAATTAAGTTTGCTTTTAAGACCTTTGGAAAAGGTTATTCGAATTGATGGGTAAATGCTATTATGTTTTGCATGAACAAGCAGCTTGCACTAAGATGTGCGATTATTGGTAATAATTGAATCCTCTGTGTGCAGGGGCCTTTATTTTAAGAGCTTAGGTACTAAACTTTTAGATAAATTAGTCTCGGTTTTTATCAGAGTAGGTAACTCAATTGGATTGTTAAATGATTTGCAAGGATCTCCAATTCGCCCAGCAGTTGGATCCTCTCAATGAAGGCATAGCAAAAGTCTACGAGATGGTTAAAACATAATTGAAAAGGTTCGAAGAGCAGGACAGCGACAAAGAATTATACGATCAATAAGACACAACTCAATATGATGTCTATGAGGATGAAGAGTTGCCTCAGGATTTCATGGCCTAATTTGCATATCAAGACAACGATTAAGAGCTTAGCTATGAGTTGGACCCAAAGAAACCTATACCCAAGGAAGTTTAGGAATTAGGGCGATTCATCGAAACCAGAGGAATGGAAATGGTGAAGACCTTTTAATAGAATGGGCAGATAAAAGAAGCAGAAGACTTAAAGGATAAACTACAAAAGGCATTGATAGCCAAGAAACAACTAGAGAAGATATCTCAATTGGATTTTAATAGGCCCAAGAAAGTATTGTGTATAGCTATTTATCAAAGAAGTTATATCAATTTGCTCAAAAGTTTGGTATAGATCTGTTGGACCCACATGTGCAGAATGAATTTAAGAGAATTTAAGAGTAAAACTTGGAAGACATTCGGGAATGGCTAAAGCAGAATTAATGGAACTTTGTGGATAAGGCAACTCAGATTCAATAACAAGAGAAAGCTCGATAAGAATTGGCTAAGCTGTAATTCAAGAGGAAGGTGATACCTTAAAAGGTAATTAAATTAGATAAGTAATTTTGTTAGCATGCAAAGCATAAATGCGTTAAGAAGGTTGCCTTATCCATGCATTAAAATAGTCCAAGTCCATTGATGATGAACAAGAATGTCTCAAGTGAATTAAGTAGTTCTTAATTGAATAATTCAAGTAATATTTAGAGTGTATGTATTTCATAGCTTAAGGTGATGATGAACCTATTTGTAATTTGAATTGTATTATAAACTTCTCTATTCTGCTGCTAGCGACAACAACAATAATATCGACAATTTATTATTCATTCTTAGGATGATAAAATTAAATTAATGTATAAATTTATATTTTCTTCGCATTTCTTTTATTTATTAGAAAGGATGGGTAATCTTCTAAATAATTTGTTTACAAATGTTAAATCGCATTTTTATTATAATAAAATGAGAAGCAAAGGTCACAGCAAAGTCAAATCTCTACATACAGTGTAAGCAGTTTCAAATACCAAGACTTTCTTTATAAGTAGAATCACCCAAAGATCCTTTGTGAAGAATGCTTTAACTCCTCTGCCTTTAGAATAGGTTCCTTAAACATAGGTGCCAACTCCTTTGAGTGGCAGAATAGTTGCAAGGAAGGTCTTCAAAGGAACATAGCTGAAAACCTAGGGGAGTGTTCTAGAAAACGAAAAGAAGAATCAATAGTCTCTTTTCGAAGTGATTGCTTCTGAAAAGTTCAAGAACATTATCTCAGAAGGAAAATTAAGGAAGGAGGAGTAAACCCTTTTTACATTAGAAGGACCACTCATATTTAAAGATCGATATAGACATAAGATTTTCAAGTAGAGTTTGAATATAGAGAATTAGTTTACGCAATAGGAAGATAACTTGAACATCTAAATGTTCCTGAAGAACATGAGATAAATCATAACAACAAGTCATATTCAACATAATGACATTCAAACAAATGAGAATAGTTTCTTATCTGATAATTTTAAGGCTCAAATGACGAGTCCTCGATTTACCTTTACTAATCATCTGTCAACTATTCAACTTCAGAATTAGCCTACTTAGCTTTATAAAGTGGGAAGTACCTCAATGTTAGATCCAATTGAGGAGAAAAAGGAATAAATGCAACCCACAATGCAAATCAATAGAAAAAAACTGACTCTTTCTGTGAGCAATCCAGAAAATTAAATAGGAGTCTATTAATTCAATGTTCCAGATTATTGTAAGAAATCGGAAGATAAGATTGAAGAAGTGCAGGAATACACTGATAAACCTAAGCATGTCTTGAAGCAGGCATTGTAGTTTGTAAGTAAATTTGATTTAAACATAGATTTCCTCATAACCCAAAAAAATGACATCCAAATTCTCTAAATCTATTTTAAAGATTATTGGTATTCCAGATCAAGAGAATCCACACGAAGATGATACTCTTCAATTTTATAATTTATAAAAAGTAATTATTTTATGAAGTAAGACTAGCAGGTTTATGAAACTGTATTTACAAAACAGAATGTCACAAATCTTTATAAAATTAGAGGAAAATATCTTGGTGCATTTGCAATTAATCCAAGATAAGCGATCCTCAATAAATGTTCTAAAAATATGTGAAAGTCAATAATCAAGTCGACTCTAATCTTGTTATACTAATCAAAATAATATCTATACTTAATAGTTATCAAATCCGTTGTTTTAAGTCGCTATAGAGTATAATAGATTTTAAAACTATTAAATTCAGTATTTTGATTACTCATTTGCCGATTGTTACTTAAATGATTTAGATAGTTTTACTGAAGATGAAGGAGGCTTTGAAATTATTGAATGTCAATCTAAACTCAAAATGATAAATACTGCATATCTTAACTTCATAATTAACACTTTAGATCCAGACATTAGAAATGTCATGCTACAAGATCAAAGTTCCTTAATCGATTCCAGGATGATTAAAGATCCCTCCTATATCTATCATGATGATTAGATTATTAGAACAGTCAACTCTTTGTATAGACGTATCAAAAGAAAGGATCAAATACAATAAGTTAAAATACTCATTCATCACTACAGTGATATTTTGACAGGCATATTTGAAGATGAATATGAAATTGATAATCTGGCTCATGATTATGGTTTAGTTGAATTCGAGGAATAGATATAAATGCAATAGTCTACTAACAAAATTGAAAAGGCAAGAATCATGATTAATTCAGCAAAGCCTATTAAAAAAAAGACATCGAATCGTGAACAATCTCCACCAAGTGAAAGATCAAATTAAAAAACAAATTCAAAAACAATTATTTCTTCACCTAGACATTAAACGATCAATTACACAACTAATATTTAGAAACCTGTTAAATAATTACTTTAGGCTACCTCAAGTCAAACCAGTGTTTTACAAAGAAGAAGCGATTCTCCACAAGATGAGATTAGTCTGAAAGAATCAAGTAATTTAAATACTACCTAATCAAACAAAATGAAGGCCACTTAGACTTTGCAAAATACAACGAATCCGATTTCCTAAAAAGAAGAGGAGATAATTTAACCTTTAATGACCAAGAGTCAAGAGAGAAGGAATCCCATTATTATCTCTTCTATGAGTAAACACGCTCTATAAATGAGAACTTAAATTACTGAAGCTCGTAGAAGGTAATCCATTGCAATAATCGAGAAAATCAAGTTACTCATTGAGGAGTAAAAGTTGCCAGAAGTACTTGATGTTAATACATAATTTTAGCTTGAAGAAGAATTTACCAACAATCCAAATCTGATGATCAATGAACGTTTCAAAGGAAATAACACTTATCTTATTGTGGCAGCATAGACTGGAAACATTGAGATTGTAGAATTCTTATTGCGCAAAGGAGCACAAGTCAATTTATAAAATGTATTAGTTTATTATTTAAATAAGAATGATGGAGACACTGCTCTGCATAAAGCCATATCGTATCAATTCTACAATGTTGCCGATCTCTTGATTGCACAAGGAGCCCAAAACTTACGAAATTATGACGGTTTGAGTCCTTGGCAATTAGTTTAATGATTATATATCTGTTATTATTACTAATACAATTTAAAATAATATTCACATTAATTAACTATAATTATTATGAATATTTAAAATAATGGAATTTTATGAGATAGTCAAATCGATCGGCTCTGGTTCATTTGGCCAGGTGTATTTGGCTAGGAATAAAAGAGAAGATCGACTTTATGTTATTAAGCGTATCAAAATCAGAGACATGAGTTAGAAGGATCGTGAGAATACTGAAAATGAAGTCAGATTATTATAGAAATTGAGACATCCAAACATTGTAGCATACAAGGATTCATATTTAGATAGAGAACAATATTTAAACATTGTAATGATACATTGCGAAGGTGGAGACATCTATTAAAAGATTCGAAACAAGAAAAGTTTTCCTGAATCTCAAATTTTGGATTGGTTTGCATAAATGACATTGGCCTTGTGTTACTTACATGAGCAAAAGATTTTACATCGAGATTTGAAGACATAAAATATATTTCTTAAAAATGGCAGAGTTAGATTGGGAGATTTTGGAATTGCCAAAGTGCTTGACTCAACTCGTGATTTGGCTAACACTTGCATAGGAACTCCCTATTATATGAGTCCAGAGTTATTTAAATATAAACCGTATTCATATAAAAGTGATGTATGGGCCCTTGGATGTTGTCTCTATGAAATGTGCAATCTGAGACACGCCTTTGACGCATAATCAATGAATGGATTGGCATTGAAAATATTAAAAGGTTCGTATTCATCCATCAGTCCAACCTATTCTAAGGCATTGAGAGATCTTATAAATAAAATGCTTAATACTAATCCAAAGGCTAGACCGACCATCTAGGATATAGTTCATAAACCAATCATAAAATTAAGGATTATTTATTACATGCTTGAAGTATTTAGTGGTATTTTCAATATCAATATTCTTAGAACCATAATCAGCCGATTTAGATGATATGTATGTTGATACATTATACGAATAGGCTGAATAAATTGGAGTCCTACCACTAATCTAACACTATCAAAAATAGATGGCTTAAGGTGCCACTATTGCTGATATCAAAAATGAGTTAGAGAAGGGAGGTAGAGCAGAATAAAGAATGCTTATTTAAATTTAAGAATAAGAAGCATTGAAATTAAAGTAGTTGAAAAAAGAATAAATTGAGAAAAAGAAATTAGAAGAAGAAATCAAGAGGTTAGAATAAAAGAAACAATAAAAACTTCCTATTCAAAATACTAAATAAACTGAAACTAATTCAAATTCTAAGGCAACAACAGAGAATATCACCAATAAATCAGAAAATACCTAAAAAACAGATGCACAATAAAGAGCAGATTATCTTAGAGTGAATTAAAGGAAGGTATCTTTGGAAAGAGATAGAAGACCTAATGAGATAAGACAGAAATAAAAAGAAAGAAGTTTATCTCTTGAAAAAGATAGATTGAGAGATGATAGTACTATTAGTACTAAGGAAAGAGTAATTTAGAAGAAGCAAAAAAGGGATGAAGAAAAAACTATTTAAGAAGAGAAGGAAAGATAACAAATTTATAAAGAGAGTTATTAAAATAGAAAATTAGCATAGGAAAGGAAATAGGCATAATATCGTTAATCTAAGGATAGTTCATTAAAGGTTCAGGAAGAATTCTATGATTCTGAAGATAGTGAGGGAGTCATGGCTATTTAGGAAATCGAAAATGAAGAAGAATATGAAGAGGAAGGGGATGTTGATTAAAGGCTTGATTTAATGAAAACTAAACTTAAAGATAAAACTTTGAAAATACAAGAAATTAGTTAGTCGCTTTAACAAAATAGACAGGTGCAAAATATGCAAATCAAAGCTTTAGAAAGTAAGAATTTTCTTACAGTGTAGCTGGACAAGTCATTCCATTGGTTGAAGAGGAATTAGAGAATGAAGATCTGGATGATGAAGATTAGGGAGATGATGATGGACTTGATCAAGATGAAATAAAACCAATTAATTCTATTGTTGCTCGAATTTAAGATAGAATTAAACTATTAAGGCATAGATGTGAAGGTGGCTTAGGCAACAATCTTGTTGAAAAAGCATTGCAAATTATGAAAACTAAATGTAAAAATTTGAAAGTATGTTCTTAGAACTTTCTACTCAAGAATTAAGAAAACAACTCATATAGTTATTGGGAGAAGAAAATATAGGCTATTGGCAACTCTTTGACTAAATTTTATATATGGAGGAACTCCTCACAAAATATTGATTCAATTATTTATTGCTATATAAAATAAATACACAAAGATTTTCATTATTTGCGAGAGAAATATTCTTTAACTCCAAAGGAAGAGCTGCTCTGTCTATTGGTCATCATATTATTGAGTTTTATTGGCGAATTATATTATGATCGATCAGTACTTTGTCCTTTATTAAAATTCAAGTAACCTTGGAGAATTTACTTCTAATTTTTCAAAATAGCAATATCTGTTTGAATTTGGTTTTTCTCATTCTCAAATTTTTAGGCGAATTCTGCTGTCTGAAGTTTGATTCTATTCAATTCTTTTTAATATTTGCTCACACCAGAAGAACTTCTTGGCATTTTTAATTGACTGTTCATTCTTGAACTTTCAGTATTTAAGTATTCACTAGTTTAAGATTTTTGCTTTTATTAAGATGAATACAATCTTTCCTCAATTTTATTCAAATTGCTTTATTATAATTATAAATTAAGACTATAGATTTCCTCATCCTTCACCTTCAGTTCAGAATTTAGATCTTCTATTTACATTTAATAATTTATTTTCATTAGGTTCATAGTTTTATCAAAGTTTTTTTGGGTCTAAAGTATCTACTCTTACAAATACAACTCTTTTTTAATGAATTATTTTTAGGAATTATGTACTTTCTATTAAAGTTAAAATAATTAGTAAACTAGTTAGTCGTGACTTCTATTTGTAAAATCACTAACTGTTTAACGACTTATTAGATTGCTTTTTAGTAATTCAATTGAATGCTCATTATTAACAAATATGGCTTACTTTTATTTAAGTCTACATCATAGAATTGGTGGAGACATTATCTCTTTTTTAAGTCGAATATGATTAAATTAAGTCTTCAGGAGTTTGATTTCGAATTAGTTACGAAGAAGTATATTGCATATTAATAATTTTAATAATTAATTACATAGAATAATACATTTATTATTAGAGTTAATTGATGTATAAACTAATATTGATTTCATTTAGCATTTTTATTAATTAAATTATAGGTAACTAGTAATAGCTTGATCTATTGTTTAAATTTAATAAATAAATGTCTATTGGCCTAATTTTATTTGATTTATTTAGAATTTTTTATTAAATTTCTAATAATCTTATTGTCATTTTAATTAAATTATAGGTTGCAATTGTAAATGTGATTTATGTTTTGGATCCTAAAATTAGATTCAGAATATATCTATCATAATATATAGAGATAGAATTTAATATAATTCGAAGCTAATTTAATTATGAAATCAAATTATCTAATAATTATAAAATAGGTTTCACATAATTTAATATTTAAAGAAATAATTATTTACATTTATTATTATTTAAATAACATATCATCCTATAGGTGCAAAATAAGAGGGTGCTTGAAGCCAAATCTAATTATGATTAGTTTCTTCATCCTGAGTTATCTTTTACTCATTCTTTAAGATGCATTTTCTATTGTCAACGGGATTTTAACTTACGATGATTTTTAAATAACTAACCTTCATCTCAATAGGTGTAGATAAGAATTATTAAAATTTTCCATTTTCGGAACTTATTTTTTAATCAATAAATACTAGACTATAATATTCTATTGATGATTAAGAATGAGATGATTATTTTTTGTAAATTCCACATGAATTGGTTTTTCATAAGCCACTTCTACTTTTATTTCTGCTTTGATTTCTTAAGTCAATATATTATATATAATGAATTTATTTGAATTGGAAATAGTAACTGCTAAATCCAGATCTTTTGAAATTAATAAATTTTTACTGTTAGAATTTAAGTATACATCTTCTATCCTGAAATCTAATCCCTAGAGAGTTTATTTAATTTTAAATTCATGGATATCCCACAAAAGAACCTGTCTGATTAATTAAATTTTAAAGTTACCTAGCTTATTTGTTTTAATATGCTATTAAACATTAATCAATATGTTAAAAATATTTAATATAATAAACTTGTTAAATGTTGTGATTTATTTAATTTATAAATTCTCCTGTTTAAGTTGAATATACCTAAGATAAGATAGCATATACTTTAACTGATCCATCATATGCTACTAAAATCACATTCTATCCATTTTTCGAAAAGTATATTTGCTTTACAGCAATCGAATGATTGATCTTGTATATCTGTTTTAGATTCTTGAAATCCCATATTCTTGCTTCTTTATTTTAGCACGTAGTAATCATATATTGATCTTCAAATGGTATTATCTGTATAACTTAATAGGCATGATTAGAAAGATTTTTTATCAGCTTTGCAGTAGATATATCAATTATCTGAATATCGCCATTTTATTCTCCGATCATTAGTCTATTGAATTTAGGTGCGATACTTGTTTTTGTCTATTATCTGCATGATTCTAGGTTGTTTTTTCAATTCAAAATTTCTGATAATCTTAGATGAAGTCAGTTTGTATAATGGACATTTACAGGATTATTTACTAAAACAAATTACTCTATAATAAAATATCTTAACTACTTGTCTTAATCATTTACGAAGTTTGTATATGTATTTGAAAATGGTATTATTTTCATTGTTTTGCATGTTTACCTTTTATTTGAAGATTCCATTTTATATATAACAAAAAGTATTGATATAAATTAGAATATAAAAAATATTTAAATAAGAATTCATTTAGAAATTGATTGTATTTATCCAATCTAGATACACAAAGACTATTCAACATCAAAAATGTATAAACAATTAAAATCATGATTAAGAATTGCAAAAATATTAGAGTAAGGCTTTGTAATTTATTTTCTCTAAATTTTTTCCTAAGTTGTAGTTTATCATTTCCATATATTCAATTGATCTTGGTTATAATTAGATTTCACAAAATTTCAATGTAGTTTCATAATCCGAGTTATCACATTCTCCCTATTACGAAAAGTTCTTCTTGATTGCCAATTGTTATAAAGTGTCTTGTATCTTGTATTGATGTTTCGTGAAAATCTATTTTAGATGTAATTCAATATTATTCTTTTCCGAATTAGTAAACAACTCATATTTGCCTAATAACTATTTCAAAACACTTTTAATTATTGAGATTGAATTAGAATTTTTGAGACTATGGAGAACATAATCTTAGGTATTATCTTCGACAAGATATCTAGCCACCAACAGCTTTTCTCTTTCATCATTCATTATAAAAGGCTCTTTGGATAAAATTTCTATGACTTCTTCGATAGTAATTTCGGAATCCTCGTAATAATTCAGAAGTTGATCCAAATATATCAAGGGAATCTATTTCAATTAGAATTGAAACTTTAGCTTTTGGCCTATGTTTTTGATCTCATAATAGTTGACTTTAGGAAGTTTTTAAGTTTTGAACTCCTTTTTGATGGATAAGTCATCATCCTCTGATTCATTTTAAGGGGAATCTTCTTCAAATCCATTTATACTTGTGATATCAATTTGAAATGATTTCTGATAATCAAGCATATGTTATTTTTTTCGAATGCTTGGTTGTCTCAAAAGATTCATTTAGGATGGCATATCACTGATTATTTCATCATCAATAGACTTTTCACTTTAAATATTTTCTACACATTTTTAGTACTTTTAATCTAGAATCAATTATTACGTTTCAGTTGCTTATTTGATAATTAGATTTGGATTTGATAATTCATAAGCTTATAATTAGTCATCCTTCTCATTGATAATCTTTAAGAGCTATTGTATATACTACTCCTTGTAATTCTATTAATTTGTAAGTTGCTGTTGTAGTTCCAGAATCTTTGCTTATAGTTTAGTGATTTCAACTTCATCTCTATAAATTTGTAGCCTATTCTTAAATTTATTCTGCTGAGGCACTTGTATTTGGCTTATCAAAAGCAATTATTTTTTATTTTCTCTATCAAAATGCTTATTCTCAAGCTCCAATTTTTCGACCTAATTTTTATATTTTGTAATATCAGATTGCAATTATTAAATTAGTTATTATTATTATTTAGTTTCAACTTGTAATTTTTTAAGTCTTTTTTCCAAATCTTCATAGAGATCTTTCAAATTAACTCCGTTGAGTTTATAATTTAGAAGCTGATTAAGCGATTAAATTTATTTTCTTAATCGTAGGCATTCTGAATGATATTCCTTACACTCTATTTGCAATTCTTACTATTTGGTAAGGTTCATTGATTTTTTCATCTCTTCAATATCCTTTACCTTTTGTAGCAACTCCTGTTCCAGCTACTTATTTATAGTCTGTAACTTTCTCAGATTCTACAATTAAAAACAAATTTCTCCGCCAAAGCCTTATCCAGTCTACATTTATATGTGTTTAAAATACTTTCATTTGTCTTTATTTGAGTTTATACATTTTAAATTCCTCTTCCAATTAATGAATCTGATATTTTAATTAAGTATTCTCAAATAATAATTTGTCTTCCTCCGATACTCTTGGACAAGAATATTGAGTTTGGGAGAGTCTAGTGGAGTGACAACGCAATTTGTTATTGTCAAAACTCGAGGTTTTGCTCTTGCAAGACTGAAATACGCTAAGCATTTTGATTTATAAATAAAATTAATAACATCATCAATTTAAAATTAGTATGGTTTGTTTTTTTTTAAATGTTTTGATCTAAATATTTATAATTATTGATCAAATACATTGAAGAATTTCCAGATTCATTTTCATATTAAAAGCTCTTAACGGAAGTAAGTTATTTTTAAGTAAAATGTTGTCTGGTAAACTTGCTTGAAGCTATTCATCATATTTTTAATATTATTTAATTGTTGCTATAGTGCAATTTCTCCATTATATTATTAATTAATTCTGTATATTGCAGAATTAAGAGTATAGAAAGAGAAAACAATAAAATATTGATCAAATCTACTCTTTTATTAGGTTATTGTCCAAGTTATGGAACCATCCTCTTGATAGTGCTTAAAATTAATAATTATTGTTATTTCATATTACATATTAATTTTTATTTATTTTTATTGAACACAATTGCATAGTATAGTATATAAAATTTAAAGTTCATGACTCATCAAGATACTGAAAGGCATCTCTAGCTTAAATAAGTCTTGGAATCGTTCTTCTTTACAATTGGTTTGAGCTACGTGTCACTGAAAAATCAATCAGAAAAAAAACTGAAGGTTAAGTAGAAATGGGTCTGCAAAAAAATGTCTAATTTATAAATTATAACAATTTAAAATAGGAGCATCTAATTTAAGGTATGCAAAATCATAAATTTATACTGAATGAATACTTGACAACTATAATAAATAAAAGAGTATGTCTGAATTAAGATGTTGGCAATCAGAATATTTTTAATTCGACACTAAACTCAAAATCTAATGAGGTTGGCTTAAGTATATCGATATACTTGGAGCATAATATGAGTCAAAGGAGAATTTTGGCTGAATAATGGATTTTGTAATTTAAAAGTAATAACAACCGAAATATGCCTTGTAGCAAACAATGCACTTTTGAAAAAAATTCGCTTTGCTGTATTTTCACAAAGAGTTCATTGCATCAAAATTTCTTGGTTAAGTAATCGTGTTATTAAAACTACTTACTTTAAATCGTTATTGATCATAATGGTAAAAATTAGAATTTAGAATTATATAAATGCTATCATTTAAACATGGAGGGAGATGTATCCATCATAGCCCGTTTCCATCAACATCTGAATTTGACTCAAGAAGTCGGAAAACCAAGATCTCTGTCCTTTTAGGAGTAGACAATGATCCCAAAGTAGAATAATCGATTGGTGAGGTTCAATTCCGATTAAATAAGAACTCCCGAGAGGAAGGTGCTTATGTATTCAGTTGAGGAAGAGGTGACTTTCTTGATTGATGAGAATCAAATAGAGAGGGTGAGGAGTCAAAATTCAGATTCAGATTTCATGATACAGACAATAGAAGAGGAAACAGATGTGACTGAGTGGCAAATTATAGATCATAAACACTTACTTACTCTTGATTAAAAGAAAATGCTCAATTCGTTGAATGAGATTAGAAATCTTTTCAATTCAAAATCCAAGCATAGTCATTAGATATAATAGACTTTAGATTTGTTCTCATGAAAACAAATAGAAATTGCTTGATATTTATAAAAATACATAAACCATTATTCTTGGATTCAGATGCATAGTAAGATCGAATCCAATCTATTTTTATATTTATAATAATCAATTTGATATTCTTCAAGTATTCAAATGATAATATCCATGAGTGACTCTGTAGTGTATAGATAACACTGCATTCTAAAAGTGGCAGTTTGACCTTTGAATGTTTTGCATTGAGATCATCAATTTAAAGAATTCGTTTTTGGTTTTTGGGGATTAAGTGAGACAAATTTAGTCTGGTTGAGATGTATCAAAAAGATGGAATAATAAGGAGAGTGTGATTGTGTGAGAGTAGGAAACGATGAAAAATTGGTAAGATATAATTCTTGAGTGAGGGAGGGGCATTGCTTAATTAGTGGTTGATAATTAGAAAAATTCGTTTTTATATGATTAATAATTAAATAAATGAAATCAATTATTCTGATTGCCCTCATTGCTGTGGCCTTTACAGCCAGAGTCCAAGAGAGAAATATGGCTAAGGTGTAAGCTGATTTAGCTAAAAGCACTTATGGAAAAGCCTTACTTCACTTGGTTGAATTGCACTCAATGGCTGGAGGACCAGTTCAAGAATTAATTGATGCTATTGAAGAACTTATCAATGATTTGGAAGATGAATTGGAAGAATTAGAATTCAATTTCTAAGTGAGAACAAATGAACACAATGCCTTAGTAGTCAGTTTGGAATAAGACATCCAAGATGCTGTAATTGGTATTGTGTAATTTTGAATAATCAAGATGTCAATAACACACAAGACACTTTGGACAATCTCCTCTACCCAAGAAGAGCCTAAATCTAAAGCAAGATTGATTCTGTCATCGGATATCAAGAGGACAACAGAAAGAATTATGATGAGGCAATCTTAGTTAGAGAATAAGAACACGAAGCCTTCGAAGCATAAATTGCTGAATTGAATGATGCTACAGCTTCAGTTGATGATGCCTTGGCTCTCCTTGCTTCCCTCACAAACCCATCATTGTTGTAGATCAGAAGATTCTAAAATACACTCAAGAACATTGAAAACAAGATCAGATCAAGATCAAGAATGGCACCCATGATCAAGGCCTTGATTAATTTGGCTTCCAATCAAAACTTCTCCAATCAAGACGTATTGAAGAACATTGTTGATGCTCTCAACGAATTCAGAAATGCAGTCGTTGATCAAATCAATGATTTGACAGCCTAAGAAGCTTAAGACGTTATTGATCACGAGGCTTATCTTGAATAATTAGATGATGAATACAGTGAATTCTAAAGATAAATCAACAGAGCAACAGTCGACTTGACTGCCACCAATGGTAAACACATTTGATTTATCTTCCATAGAGAAAATCGATTCAATGACTGAATTCAGAGACTAAAGAGCTGCTGATTAAAAACAATACACTGCTGAATTGGAATTAGAAAACAACACTTATGCTGAAGAAACTGACATCTACACTAATACCAAGAATGAATTCACCAGAGAGTTGGGAGTCAGTGAAGCTGCCTTGAGTCTAGTCAAAAGTGCAGATTTCTCAAACATCCAAGTTTGATATTCATCCAAAATATTATAAATATCATTTAATTTTATGATCTATCATTACAATGCTTTACTAATGTGAACTGACGACATTTTCACAGGTAGAATGTTGTTGACATGCATGTAGTCCATGAATTGTTTGGGTAATTGGTCCAACACAGCTGAACTCATCTATTCAATGTCATTCTTAAAATCTTAAAATGAAACAAATTGAATGATGTCTCTGATTGTTTGATTCTCTTTAGCATGTTTCTTAAGGAATTTAGGATCATCAAACTATTTCATGTACTTAAAATTTTCATCTCCCACTCCAATAATAACAATGGACATTGGCAAAGTCTGGCATTGTAGTAATACTTTGATTGCATCATCTCTAAATAATAATAATAAGGAGAAATTACTGATCCTCAATTTATCCATCAGTAAGAATCATTGCTACTGTATATATATTCTATTTTGCATTCTCTACTGCAAATTGATGTGCCTTGCTCAATACATTTGCTATGAATGTGGGTCCTGAAAAAACAATTTAAGGAACTGCACTGACATACGCTTCCAATATTCCTTTAATGTCCTAACAATTTGGTTTATCCTTATTTCCATTTAATGGGAAACAATCATCCATCGTATTCTTTGTGTAAGTAGGAAGCTTAGGTGTTCCTCCGAATCCATAAACTGGCACTTCTTTATCATAATCAAATGCGACAATCTCTCCCCCAATTACCTTAATTGCTTATTGGTAATAATTGAGTTTATTTGGGTCAATTTTATGTAAGGAATCAGGTTTAGTGATGGGTTAATTTGAAAATGTGAAATCAATACCTATTGTCAATGACATTTGCCATCCACCCATGAGATAGTCTAGAAATGTAGGGTCTTTTGGTTCTTCTTACACAATTTCCACAACTTCAATAGGTGGTTCAATTATTGCCAACTCTACTAATTTTAATGTACCAGCATTTTTTCCATTTGGAGTCAATAACGGAAATTCTGCTCTTTTATTGTTTTTGATTTCATTGTAGTCAATAGTCACATGTCCAATCTAATGGTAAAATTTATTGTAACCTATTGAGATCCTAACTTATCGTAATCCATGACTTCTACATAGAGTTACTTTGAATGCTTGAAAGCTTATTCTTCGGTAGTTTCCCATCCCATCCAATTGGGATTCAAATTATTTTTGATGATTTCAGTTTAATGAATCAAATCGATTTAATCACCATTGACTGAATGAAATTTAGCGAATGGATCAGATTTAGTGAAAAAATCTAAGTCAAGCAATTTGACACCTATTATAATTAAATTTAATTGATACCAGCCCAACGCCATTTTATTTCCGTAACTTTGGGTCCTTGCTATTTTTATCCAATTATTTAAGGTCCTTTTTTGGTGACGTGAATAATGATATTTCCAACCATTTCATCGCCCTTCAATAGATGGAGTTGACTCAATGAATTTCTAGCTCCCATCAGTTTAGCTAGAGGTTATTTACATGATCCAACAAGAGCTGCTTGATTTGATTGAGTAATCAATTGATTAGACAATTCTTAATCAGCATCCACTATTTGGAAAGTCAGTTTTTATTTTTTGTTAAACTTGTACATGATTGGGATGGGCTATTTGAAATCAGGGTCAAGTGAAGATTTAGAGACTTCAGTTTCCCCTACGAAATCATCCTTAATGTATACACGGCATCTGAAATCTAGTATATTGGAATGATCCAAATTTCGAAGATTACGAGCAGAAATATAAATGTATACTAATTCACCTTGTGTCTGAGGAAGGAGTATATCCATTTAATTTTATTAATTAAGATAGCTGAAACGAAGGACAGAGAATTAAAAGATTAATATTTTATCATTTTGATACGTCTTAATGAGTATAGTATCAATTATGAATTACAAATCAAATGACATAAATCTGAAGGATTTGTGATTTACACAATTCGACACTTTTAATACACTCACGTTTCACTTTTGTGCAACATTCTACGTCTCTCATAACAGCTATAAAGACTATAGGAATTGAATATAAGTTAAAGTATAGAACAGTTTGAAGTAAATAAAATTGTAATTTTAGGAAAAAAAATGGAACCAACTTAATTAACCTCATACTCATTGGATTTTATAAATAAAATTACATAGGCCAATTAATATCGAATGTGAGATGAGCTTTAATAGAATAAATAATAGGTGATAATGTGAAAAATTAGAGAATACTCAAATCTTATTTAAGTAATAAATATTGTCTAAATTCTGTTCTTTTTCTCTATGCTAATGGTAAACAATTATGATTTAAAGTAAGAGCTAATTTCTAAAGAATTAGGAATTTTTGGAAAATTTATCAACTTTAGAGGGAAGAAGAATTCTTAATCAATTCATAATTAGATATAATGACTATACTTTTGAGAATAAATGCAAGTTGAAGGATTAAATTTAGATGATCTTAACAAAATTACTCAAGATAAATTTAAAGGAAGGATAAGAGAAAATAAAGATAAAGAGATCAATTTATAGAGTAGATTTATAGAATTCTCAAAATTAACCTTGTAATTCAATAAAAAGTGCCCTTTTACTTTTAACCCAAACATGCAAAATTTCAATATCCAACTATGTTCAAAGCCCCTAATTATTTATTCGACTATTAATCCAAATAACAATAAAGATTTAATATCTTTTACTTTATTAAATGAATGATATAATATTTGTAATCGACTGTATAAGTGTATATGAATGCAGACAATTCTGAATCAGGTCGAAGAAATTATCCTCTAATTTATTAATATGAATGATCATTTTATTCCATTAAATGCTTTATAAATTATTTTTATGAATTAAACCAATTATGATATTTTATCATACTTAAACCAAAGAGATCCAGCCATCAGAAATCAGCTCATTCCTATTAGAGTGGATTACGATGAATATCAAGAGCAAATCATCAGATATTTCAGAAGCATTTTTGAATAGACAGCAAATCTCACTTCAGATTAACAATTGGAGATTGAAATTAAGCTAGGCACTTTTCTAGCGAAAGAAGCATCCGGTTAAAGCATGATTGAATCCTTCAGGTATTAAACATCTTATCCTCCTAGATTTGCATCCAAATGCCATCATTTATTGATAACACAATAAGCGCAATATTACACATTTCAACCCAACTTTGTTCTTTATCCTTGGACGAAATTTGATGTAAATTCTTTATCATCAAGCTTTATAAACCTCACTTAATACTTTAGAAATTTAGATAAAAATGATGAGATCTCTAAAAGAATTTATAGTATGTACATTGATCCAGAGAAATGTCTTCCATCATTGAAATAATAATATGGTTTACGATTAGATTTGCTTTTGTAAAATGGTCAAAGGGTTTCTGTGTATTTGAATGGCAAGAAGGTTATGATTCAGAAAAAAAGACTCGAAAATTTAGACATTATGAAAGATCACATTCAATATAGACTGTCTTCAAATATTGAAAATAATTTCAATTTGCCATAAGATTTTGATGACTTTATTGACAGAAACAAATTTAGATCTATCAGATTTAAATAATATTAAATAATCCAATATCAATTTCTAGAGATAAGTCTTAGTAGAGTCTTGACAGTAGATAATTAGGACTTCTCTCAACTCAAGAGTTAATTTAAGGTTGATGGTCAAATACAATGGAATAAACTATTGTATCATCTTCTATTTACATTATATGATGTGAATCCAGAACTTAAGTTCCCTACAATGAAGGAAAACATAATAAATAATGTGAGGAGATGCGAGATCGAATTTGAGATCCATGATACGAATTTCTTCAAACAAAACTTATCTGCTTTTGCTAGAATGTAAAGAAACGTGGATTCCTTTTTCTATTGTGATACTCTTTCATACGACATTCTATATAGTCAAATATAAAAAGTACATCCAGAAGCAGATAGAAGAAAACACTGCTCACCTGTAATTGGAAACTACCTCCAGACAGTTTATAGAGTTGCCAACAAATATGTGTGATATTATACAATTATAAAATAATGATTCAGAGAAATCTTATATAATTAAGAGAGTGAGCTTAAAATAAGTGAATTAACCTTTTCAAAATTCTATTTTAGCTTAAATAAAATAATAGTATCGATTAATCACTGATTAAACATTTAAAAATGCGAATTATTTTATTAAATATTTATTAATGTTCAGTTCTGTGGCAATAATTTCTCGATTTTTATTATATTATCTTTACACAAATTAATATAGAAGAAATATGCGAATATTTTTTGAATAACTTTGTAGATGATTTCGTTCGATCTAATTGAAACTAAACATAAAATCGTATAACAATTTATTTTCAATTTCCTCTATCAGATGAAAAACCGTCTCTGATTTGGTACAATTTAAAACTCTTTGGGAAGTCTCTTCTGAGACCTCGTCATTGGTTGACTTTGGATGACTTTTTCTTCGTCCTCCTAATCAACATTACAAAATGTGAAGCCGAGAGGAGAAATCGATTTCTTCTGACAAGTGTTTTGCTGCAACTTTTTACTAGATCTTCTTATTGCATATAATACATTTAAAAGCATTTTTCAGGACTCCTCTCGGTATTTGATGTATTGGCTCTTTATAAAATGACTGGTTTTTTGTTTGTAATAAGTTTAGAAATAATGGTGTCCTTGTCTGAGTTTTGCTTTTGCAATTACAAATTTTCTTGAATCAGCAATTAAATCAGTTATGATTGATCTGGATCGAGTGCTATGGATTATTTATAATATTTTACATTTCTTCTCGCCCTCTGAAATTACCGATGGGTTAGCCGTTGAATAGTTGTCTTGGAATTTGAAACACAACTACTTGGAAGAAGCAGTTGTCTAAATCATTCATATACGCCATAATTCTTACCTTTCCATTCGATGATGTTGTTTTCTAAGAACATTTGGAACTTGGAGGCTTGTCCGATTGCACCAATTATGCCATCGATTTCTTATTGAGTGTAATCTTCAGATTAGGTTTTTTAGAATTCTAAGATTTCATACACTATTAAGAAGCAAATTATAAATAAATATCTTAATTATTTTAAACACTCTTTGTGTTCACTTATATGTCCTTCAATAACTATTCATTTATATTTCCATTAATTAACGACCTCGCAACTGCATTACAATACTTTCAAATTGTGGATTCCAGTCCCCTCTAAACATGCACTAAATCTTTGTATTTTTTTAAAAGAAACATTCTTAATCAGTAATTCAACTACTGTTTAAAATCCGAGAATTTTCATCGTTCTTTACGAGGAGACAACCTAGAAATATTTAAATGTTAGAAGTACATTTTAATAATTATTCTAATTAATATGTAAATTTAACTCTTCTCATAGTTCATCAATAAAATGTGTCACATCCTCGAATTATGATTTTACATTGAAATTTATTATAAGATAATATAAACTATGGCCAGATCAAATAGATGCCTTAGCATTTAAAGAGAAAATCTCGTCTTCTCAGGCTATTCGATCCAAAACAAGATTAACAAAGGAGGATTCGGGTCCATTTACAAAGGAATAGACAAATCGACCAACCAAGAAGTCGCAATCAAACATTCACAATTTGACTTAAAAAAAGAATATTAAATTATGACCCTATTGTCAAATGTGATTGGAATCCCCAAAGTTTACGACTTTAAGGAATTAGAAAAATAGAGTTTCATGAGCATGGAGTTGTTATCCCAAGATCTACACACAATCAAAAGTAAATTCAAGCAATTTTCTCTTAAATGCGTCTGCATCATAGCCATACAGGTATTGGAGATCTTAAAGTAAGTACACCAAATGAATGTGGTGCATCGAGATATCAAGCCTACAAATCTAATGGTGAAATCACTTAAAGGTTTTTATGTATTATTTATTTAAGACTCACAAATATACCTTATAGACTTTGGAATAGCCAAGGATTAGAGTAGGGCAGATCACCGATTGGAGTTCGAAGGCACATTTTTGTATGATCCCATTTCAGTGCATAAGAGATAGAAGTATCGATTTCTTGATGACATTGAAATGCTGGCTTACACTCTTGTGTTTTTGTACAATGGTATTAACATGCATGATGTGTGTAGGTCATTTGCCCTGGAAAAAATATGGGAATGAGGTTTTAGCCAATGAGGACGCATTAAAATAGAAGGAGTAGTATATAAATTCAAAGGCAATGACTCAGTTGCCCTTTGCTGATCTGTTTGGGTACATCAAATGGAATCAGCATAAGAAGAAGCCTGATTATGAATTCTTGATCAATTTGTTTAGAAATATCTTGAGGGAAAAAAAACTAAATGAAGACTACTAATTTGATTGGATGGAGTAAGCAACTCCTGCTATGAAGGGGGAATCGAAGCATTTAATAGTCGAGGATTTGAATACAGGTATGGAATGAGCAATATTGGTAGATTTGAATGAGACAGAATAAACTTACAAGGGTGTTTCTTTTTTATCACAACTAGTATATAAATTCTTTAAGGAATGAAATGTTTATTGATTAATATATTACAATTTCATAAAGAAAATGAAAAGAATTCTGTTCACAGGTGTGATGTCTTGTCTTACGGTGACAGCTATGTCAGCATGCAACTGGTAATATAGGCGTTATTAGGAATCTATAAGAAAATGGAAATTGATTGATGAGCAATTCAAACCGGATCATCCAATTTAGCATATGGGGATTCAGGATATTCTATCATTAGACCCTCAAAGATACTCATATATACTAGTGAAGACATCAGGGTTAGTTTAATAAAGATTGTCGTAGAACTCTTGACAAATACATTCTAAAGGTGTATAGGTATTAGGATGGGAGACCAGGAATGATGTTGTGCGGTATACTAAGAGATGATCAAAATGATGCCATAGTAGTAAATTTGGGTTGGGTCCCTGAGAATTACTTGGATAAAATAGAGTCTGTGGAAGGGATGTAATTAAATGAAATGTGTGCTATGATAAAATTGCCAGAACACCCAGACAAAAATACAGATCAAAATCTAATGAACACTTTCGTAGATCTTGGATTAATAGCCAAAGAGAACAAATTACCCGAGAAGTCAACTAATTTATTTTTGGAAAGAATAGGAACATCTACTGAAAATGCAGGATTATTTAAAGCTTAGGGTAAATGGGATGATATATTAATCTTCAAGATTTGTATCCTGTTCCTAGTTTCTATTCCACATTTCAGAAGCCCTACCTGACACCTGACAAACACAAAGCATATTATTGGTTTTGGGGATCATGTTCATGCTTAGGAATTTTATCAATAATTTAACTTATAAGAAAATGAGATTGATTAATATCTATAAATTTATATAATTTAATGAGGAGTATAAGGAAATCTCTTGTGAAGTGTAATTTAAATTGCTAATCAAAGTGCTTAAGTCAATAGATTTATTTGGATAGAACATTTTGTTGAATCTCAATGGGGAAGACGAATACAAAACTGCCTTCGGTGGTTTCTTCACTTTGATGATTCTAGGAATCGTTGTTCTGTTCTTTTAATCCAATATCAGAGACTTTATAAATAAAGTAAACATTTAAAGTGAGACAACCGAAGTTTTTGAAGATTAACCTGATTAAATAGAATTGAATGAATCCAATTTTATGTTTGCTGTAGCTATAGAATAACTCAATTTTAACACTAATCCCTTTTTTAATATTACACTACGACAAAGGTAACATGTTCCATTAAATATCTCAGATACTACGAAAGATTGGAAAACGGCACTCTTATCAAACGAGATCAATATATTGATCTGATACCATGTAAATTGGATAGATTTCAAAATATATTTACTCCTTATAGACTGAATTTCACCCAACAGTACAGTGAAATCGGTCTCGATACTTGGTTATGTCCATAGTACTTCTATTCTCAATTATAGGCTTAATTATTCTCTCTCTCTGAAAGGGAGGTACACAAATAAATATTTCGACTTCCTAAAAATTGCTGTCAATGAGTGCAGTAACAACACCCAGACAAATGACTTCTTCACATGGAAGCCTGTCTGTGCTTCTCCAGAAGTCGTAAATGAATGGCTGGCAGACCAAAGGTCCTTTAGAGTCAAATTGTATATATATAAGTGCTTATGTTAAGATACATAACAAACAAAGTGATTAATCCCTAGAAAGGAGATGAATATATTCAATCGTTTCTGGATGATGAATTATTCTTCTCCTTTGTACCAAACGTAATTGGCAAAGAAACTGATGTCTTTTTCACCAAATACATCTTGAAAACTGATAATAATCTAATTCCAACAAATGAAGAACTAGAAACCACTGAAGTGTTTGCTAAACAGGAAGGTGATTACAGAGATCAAAGCATTTATGCTGCCGAACAATTTGCAGCCATTTATCTGAGGAGATCCCCTTACACTAATTACATATCAAGATCATATCAAAAAATAGACAAACTACTTTCCATCCTTGGAGGTTTCGCTAACATAGTCTTTGTTGCACTAGGCTTCTTTGTAGGAATATATAATAAATAATAATGTACATTTTAAAATCATCTAGATCTCATCGAATTAGCTAATGAGGTGTATGATTTTCACTTTGGAAATGAAAACAAGGCTAAATTTGAGAGACAACAATTGGTCAAAGAAATCACTTATGTTAAATCTTAGTCCAAGATAATTAGTTAAAAGTGCAGTCCTGCCTCCTCAATAAATCCTGGTAATGCATCTATTAATTGCAATGCAATCCAATCAGTCAGACCGATGATATCCCATCAAATCGATTGCACCCTAGTCATTCATAATGACAAATAGGATTCGGATCAAAAAACTCATAAGTCTAATAACAAGAATTCAGCAGTTAACTTATAACCAATCGGAGACAACGAAGTAGAATGGGAGAGTGTTGATAAAAGTATGTTTTCTTGCAATCTCACTCAAAATAATAATCAAACAGATATTGTTATGTTTAATAGCACTGCCAAATTCAATTAAGAGAGACAAGCCAAAACTTAGAATGATCAAGAGTAAAAGAGTATGAAACAATCCATTAAATAGATGCACAAATCGATAATTAATAAAATTGGGATTCACAATCGAAAAGAATATTTAACTAAGCAAATCTAGATGATGTTAGACAGAAGTCGTCCCATAGTCTTCACTTTCAAATTCGTATTGCATTAATTGTTTTGTGGCAAGTTTTTTTAAGATAAGAATTGCATCCTGTTGGACAAAGCTATGTAATCTAAGTATCTTAAAGTTATAGAAAAAAGATAAATCAAGACCTGGATATTTGTGTGTTGATTGATAAGGTGAATGAGATCAATTTAATAAAGGAACTGCTTCTAGAAAGGGATCAATAGATATTGTTCAATTTTGCTCCAAAAGAGGTCATTACTATTGAAGATTTAAGTTCTAAGCATCATCTACCGGGAAGACGAGATTCCAAGTATGTTTTGGTTGATGCTATTTTAGACGTGCTTTTACTAAAAGGTTGGGAGTGCAATTTAGTGATGTGGCTAAAATGATGTTCGACAAGAAATTTAAAAAGGGGCAGTTTGTGAATCCGGGATTACAAATTTATTATAAGTTGTATTAGGCGTACGAACGGGTCATTCTATCGGAAGAGAAGAATAATAGATTTAATAAGATCCTGATTGAAAAGTTAGGACAGGAAGTAAAGGAGGTCTTTGACATTTCCAATTATATTCAAGTGGATAAGAGCAGGATGATCATGGACAAGTTGAAGAAGAAGAAGGCCAATTTGCATGAGGAGGAGTTCGAAGAATTGCCAGGGTTATTAAGTATGGATCAAAGAGACTTGAAATTATCTATGATTAAATGATTTTAAGTTTGGACTCATCTTCTTACAATTTTCATCATATAAATTAAATATAATTAATGAGTTGTGATATTTGCAAGAAACCCTTCAATATATTGTGGAGGAGAGATACCAAATGCAAACGTTGTAATAGAATTATTTGTACTGATTGCTCCAAATTGCAGTAGGTCAGAGATGTGTTTAGGAACATTTGTAAAGTTTGCATGCAAGGTATAAAACTATCTACACAACAGACTGCGAAACCATAAGAAAGATAATTTCGGAATCCCTTCTTGCTTGGAATCACAATAGTGAGATAGCCAAGAGGTATTGGGTCAAAGATGTTGAATTCATCAAATCCATGTACAAATTGAACAAAGAAATTAAATAAAGCAATATTGCACGAGATGTTAAAACCATATTATAAACTCCCATGAATTACTCAATCTAGGAATTTTTAAATTTATTGATATTCAATAATAGAGATGTCGAAGTCACCATTACAAATGTGGTTGATACCTTTGTAACTCGTAATCCTAAAGTTGGCTACAATTAATACTTGATTAAATTAACAATATTCTTGTTGTGTTTTTGCAAAGACTATGTTTGTTTAAAAATATTAGAAGACCTCTATAATAAAATACCAAAACAATATTACCCTGAGTATTAAACGACTTAGGAATTCATTAAAGATCACGATTAGATGTAGCATGACGCTATTTAAGATGTTAAATTTCGGTTCAAATTGGAGTAGGATTAAATTATGGCAGCCAAACAGTTCATTGAATCAGCTATGATGCATTATAAGAATCAATTCTTTCTCAATCTTACATTTTCTAGTGCTTTCTATATCTTAGATAAAATTATCTAAAGTACTGATTCAACTGAAATCGATAAATTCTTTAGTGTGATCATCCAAATTAATATTAACTAACTTCAAACTAAAAATTCTGAACTTGTGATAGCCAGGACAACTACAGTTGAGGGGATAAAATAATATTAAAATTAATTGGCTAAAAAAAGATCCTCGTTATATTTATCTGTTGATAAATGTGCTTAGGATGCTAGACAATAATCTCAATAGTCTTGTCGCACAATACAAAGGAAAATGGATGTTAGTGAGTTCGAAGTAGATGAGAATGAAAACTTAAGTCATCAATCACCCACATTGCTATAATCGTAAAAATTAGAAATTACAAAATTAACCTAGGAACTACTCTCATTGGAATAACAGATAAACTAATTAAGGACTGAAAATCAACAATTGGAAGAGATAAGTGTTTAAAATACTGCGACACTTTTTAAGGAATATGAGAATGCAATAGGTGATCTGATAGACAAGACAGAGATTTTATTGAAGTAATAGATGATGAGTGGTTGAATATTCAATTTTATATTTGAGTCACTTTTGAAAAAACTTGGGTTCACTGAAGTCTATTCCATAAATTTCTTTGTAAACTTCTTGTATGGATTTATCAAGAGTGGATATGAGATGTCCTTCCCCTTTGTGAATGACATGAGTTTTAGGGTTTTTATTCCTGATAACTTAACACCTCTCCAAAATGACCTTGGAGGTTTCTATGGGATTGAAAGTTTCCATTTCATTATTTTGTTTTGCCTTGTTGTCCTTGGTTTCATTCTCTTCAGTCTTTTAAACTTCTCTCTGTTGTTGTTGAGATTCTAAAATAGTATGATTTGATTACTTTTCTCTTCAGTGTCTAACTGCTTCATTTAAGGCAGTGATTTGGTGTGGTCCATAAGAGATACTAGAGATAGGGAGAGACAAATAGTATACGTGGCAGATTATTGTACATTGTGGAGGCAGCTTGGAAATGTGTTTTTTGATGGAGAGAAGGCAAAAGGTTTTTGGCCACTAATCGACTGATGTAGGCTTTGCGATCTTAGGAGGTCATGTTGTCAGAGAGAGTTTCAACATTGAACAACTTCTTTTTTGGGAATTTCTGATTTTCAACTTGAGTCTGAGTGTGATCCTTGAGGAACTGTTCAATTCTTTCCAAACTGGTTTTATCTCTGTATCGAAAAATGTCACGCTTGATGTCTTTGGAGGGATCTCTTTCTCGGAAACAATAGTGAGCTACTTATCGATTGGGCAGGAAGTCAAGATCCTTATTCTTGTCGAGGGCTTCTTGGATACGGTCTTTTTCGTGTTTGAAACCCTTGACATAGAATTGAGGGTCTCCTAAATTCTTGGAGGGATCCTCGTCTCTGAATGCCGATTGATTAGGTTGATGATAGTCAACACAAACGATTGGATTCTCCAACATATTAATAACAAAATTTTCGACTCTTTTTTTATAATTCTAAGCGTATCGATTGTTTAATTCTTTATTTGTCAATTTGATTCATACCTTTGCGCACTTCTCGTTCCCTCAGATAGCCTTTCTTAATCTTGTCGATGTCTTTGGTGAATGCAAGTTATTTCTCATACTAGTATGAATTGAACATTTGGTTTGCGTATAAATTTTTATATTTTAATTAATGGGTGTTCCCAATTTCTATTCTTGGCTCATGAGAAGGTTTCCTCTGTGTCTCTATGAACACACTCGAGCACAAAGAGTGGATTATTTCTATCTAGATATGAACCAAATCATTTACAAGTGTGCAACTGATCCCACTGTGTTATTCAAGGATCAATTGAGAGAACGAGATTTCGATGACGTTTGGGTCTCAATCTTAAACTACTTGGACATGATCATCAACTTAGTTAATCCTCAGCAATTACTATTTTTGGCATTTGATGGAGTTGCCCCACGTGCTAAGATGAATTAATAGCGTCAGAGACGGTTTCAATCATAGAAGAGATATAAGTATTTAAGTGCTCATCTTCAATAAATTGGTTTATTTCAAAAGAATGAAACCTACAAAAATAATCAATTCAGTCCTGGTACTGAATTTATGACACAATTGTATTATATATTCAAATATTAAGAAATCAATAGATCAAATTTTACATCGAGAGAAAATACTCTGAAGATCCAAAATTCAAGAATCTCAAAATCATTTTCTCTGGCTGTGATGTACCTGGAGAAGGAGAACATAAACTACTTAGTTTCATTCGTAATTTGTAATGCGATCCCAATAGTGTCCATATGATTTATGGAGCAGATGCAGATTTAATAATGCTAGGCTTACTAACTTAGTTGAAGAATGTCCTCATCATTAGAGAAGACCTCAAATTCAAACAAACTGCAAGTGCTGCTGCAAATAGAGTTGTCAAAATCCCTGAGTTTCTAGTCATCAATATTTCTATTGTAAGGGAATATTTGGATCTGGAATTTGCAGTGTTGAAAGATAAAATGAAAGTTGCTTATGATATTAATCGCATTATTGATGATTTTATTTTGCTGTGCTTCTTTGTTGGCAATGATTTCCTACCCAGAATCTTTTGTTTTGACATCAGAATAGGAACCATAGAACCTCTTGTTGACTTATTCAAAAATCATCTAACTAATGCCGATGATTACATAGTTCAAAGAGGAGATATCAATTACAAAGAATTATTAAGTCTGCTTGAACTACTGTAAGGATTTGAAAAGTTGTGCATTAATGATAGACAACAAGAGATGCTCAACTATTTAAACACCAAATATTAAAATAGGCAGATGATAGCAAAAGAAAAAGAATTGATTGATAATATTTTGAAATACTTCTCACTTCAGGAACAAACAGAGGGACGGAAATTTTATTATAAGGCCAAATGTTAAATTACCCAAGGCGATGAGTTAGATCTAGAGAAACTGGGAGATATGTGCATTAATTATATGGAAGGAATTTACTTTGTGTTATAGTATTATTTCAAAGGAGTGCCTTCATGGGAATGGTACTATAAATATTATTACGCCCCTTTGTGTGGAGATCTAGTTGGAGTTGTATCAAATATAGTAGAACACTTATAAGATAAGGAAGAGCCTATCCTATTGACAAAGGGCCAACCATATCCTCCATTTAAATAACTACTTAGTATCTTAACTCCAGAAAACGCTTAGCTATTACCTGAACCATATGGTAGGTTGCTAACAGACAAGGAAAACTCAATCCTCAGATCTCCTATCGACTATTATCCTGAAAACTTTGAAACTGATTCCTATGGTACAATGTATGAACATCAACATATCACGAAGATTCCGTTTTTAGATTGCAAACTTATGGAACAGGCATATAACTCAGTTCCTGACACGCATGATAAAAGAAATTAATAAGCTCAATCTATTTTCTATTAATATGATTCAAGCCAATAATAGATATACGAATCTACTTTGCCCAAACATTTTAGCAACTTCAAATCTTGTTGTAAGAAGTAGTATATAGATATTGACGATAAAGAACAATGCTAAATAGTATGTGGATAATAATAATAGATTTTGGAGTAATTTGAAAATTCTTTCTAAATTCCTACATTATAAGTAGTAAACATTAAGTCATCTAAATTGGTAAACATACAAATGCACGAAGACGATATGAAGAAATTTGAGAATTAGTACTTATTATTAGAGCTGCAATCGGCTAAATTTGATTTCGATCAATTCATTTAGGATGTGATTAAAAATAAGAACTTTGTCTATTGTGGATTCCCCATACAATAATAATGCGAAGTGCTGGCGATTCTCAGACCTGATCATCTAAACTTACTTGAAGGAGTTAAATTGGCATCAGTCTAATTGCTGAAAGACTACAGCAAGAAGGATCATAGCAAGATCTATAAAGAAATCAGAAACAAATCCTTAAATCAATATGAGAAATTCATGAAATTAGATTGCACAATATTTTTGATTGTAAAGCAGTATAAACATTACATCAGAGATAATAATAATCAATTAAGTTATCCATAGGAACAATATAGAGAATTAGTGTATCCATATGAATTTGTGTTTACGGATCATAAGATAAAATATATTATTCCAAATTTCGAAGATTTCCAGATTGACAGATAAGTTGTGATCTTCCATGAAAAGCAAAATGGAGCCAATGGAGTCATCAAGCAAATTGATAAAAAATTAACTGTTCAAATCACAGCATCTCCAACGTTATTGGGATATGATTATATTCACTCTGATATTTATTATTCCTTACAAATTGTAAGTGAGAAACTTCAATGTTCAGTTAAAACATTATTGAGTTTACTTGGCAGTATTGTTGTTAATATGGAGGACAAGGAATCAAAGATTGCTGACCAATTAGATATTGGATTGAATATCATTAATAGAACTAGCAATCAATTAGTCCCAGAATTAGTCAGATTACCTTAAGCTGATTAGTATGCAACTGGATCATCTAAGTATCAGAAATTCAAAGATCTAGAATTATCTGAAAAGTGTGTTACAATACTATGCAGATACAGAAACTAATGTGCAAGAGTTCAACAATATCTAAACTAATTGAATGATAGTTAGCGAAGCTGTCCTATTAATGCCAAGGACCTGTTTCCTAACTCTACTGATCCTAATATTGATCTCCTTAAAATTTATATTTGGATTTTGTAATTACCTGAATCTTAGTATCTATTGCAAGGTAGTTCATCAAAAGTTGCTGAAATTAAGATTCATAAAAAACCCATCCAAAATAATAATATTAATACTATGAAGAAGGTGGATCCTGGCTTTGCAGTTTAATAAACAACTTAGACCTTCCTTCCTCCATTCTTTATCAAGCATCCCACAATTCATAAAATTGGAGACAGAGTTGTGAACTTGAACTATCCCTTTGGAATATATGGAACTGTAGTTGGATTGTTGGAATAAAAGGAAATTATGGTTTAAGTGTTATGGGATCAGAAATACATTGGGTTCACTAATCTTGGTGGAAGATATGATTTATTGACATGTTCAACCTGCAAGTTTACAGAAATCTTTAATCTGTCTAATGAAGATTGGAGGTTGAATCTTGCCAAGAAAGGCTGCCATTAAGGGGAGTTTTGGGATCTATGGACTAAAGTTTATAAGCCAGACTTCAAATCTAGAGCCATTGAATGCAATGATCAACTCAAGGAATAGAATCCATTCAAGCAATTAGTTGAATTACCTGTTGAAAACAGACCAAAAGTCTTAGTCAAAGATAAAGATGCTCCTCAGGGTTTAGAATTGCTATAAAAGCTGGCTTAAGAATAACCTAATTTAATCTCAAACTAACCCTTGTAAGGAATAAAGGAAGAGAACATAGATTAAAATGAAGATGAGGCTTAAAAAGAAATTAAAAAACTATTTCAATTGTAATAATAAATTGATTAGCAATCTTAAGTGGACTAGTTAAAGCAGACATAGAAATAAAATAATGAAGAGGATCAAAAGGTTTTACCTTAGTAGATTGAGGAGAAAGAAGAAAAATAGAATCCCTAATAATAAATTAAACAACTAGCGTAACCTTAATAAGTCAAAAAAGTATTAACTAAAAAAAAAGATTAATAATAAATCTAGTAATGATAGTATTATAATAAATCATATATTATATATCGCTATTTAATTTGATAATTTCCTTAGATTTTGTTTTATTAATTTTTATAATATAAAGACTATTGTTTTAGGGTCTAGAATTTTAATCTTATTTCAATTTAATTAATAGTTTATAGAATATTTCTTTTTCAAAAGTGTTTAGTATTGTACCTAATCTTATATTGTAGGAATAGCGATTCAATGGAAAGGGAAAGATCGTAAATAAATTGACTTTATTATATTTTTGATAAATCAACTATTTAATTTAAAATTAACTTTAAATTAATCTAGACTAGTAATGCAAGGAGGATCGGAGTTTACAGAATCACATTAAAACTCATCATCCAAAGGCTCACTATTCAATTTCCTGTTGTTTTCCCATTAAATAAACTGAGAAACTTCAAAAATATCTCGAACCTCTTGTCCCAACTTCCCAATCAACTTTTCATTGATCTTATCATTCTATTACAATGCTTAATGAATGCGATCATAAGCCTATAATAAATTGAGCAATCACCTGAAAAAGCTTATAGTAAGTATTTATTGATTGATTAGACTTATTTTGTTCATCCTTATTGTTAAGTATACTGGAGATCTGGTGAAAATTTCTGAGAGTGTTCCTGGCTAAATTCCTGGTAGTTAACTTTTTGTCCTCTTCTAAATTTATAACCTCTTTGGGAGCAAAATCAAATAACACTAATTGATCTTCAGTTAATAACAGTTCCTTCAACAAGTTAATTTCCTTGACTTTATCAATGATAACACAAAGATCTAAGTCTTGATTGATGTTTTTACTAAATTAGATATACTTTGATTTACATAGCTTTTTATAGTAATATACTGTTCCTATCATAGAAGAATCTTTAACAGAAGAGTTGGTATAAAATATATCTGCAATTGAAGAAAATAGGGCGACTTCTATTTAGGATCTTTTCAATCTATTAAGTTAAATAGCTCTTTCTATCAGTGATACCTAATTACTAAATGATTTTTTCTTGTTCTTATTAAAAGGTGTGTTATTCGTCCTATTTTGTCACGCATTAATCATCTTATTTAGCAGTTTCATTGATAATAAATTACTGATTTTGATTATATTTTGGTGATTCTAATTACGAATTTTGAGTGTTTGGCTTTTATATAATTGTTCTGCTTTTGGCTCTGGCTATGGTCTTTTTGATTTCTTTTCTCTACTGAGTATCGATGTTGTTTATATTCTTAATTGGGAAATCGTAGACTTAATTTGCCAACTCTATCATGACTACATAATTGGATTGAGTATATACATTAAGATTTATTGTAGAAGGAAATAAAGAACCCGAAGATCATGACAACAATGTTGGCAAAACCACCCAAATAGGAGAGTAAATCAGCTAGATCTTGAAAATCCCTCTTGACTGAATAAGTGTACGGACTTCTTCTCATGTAAATGGCGGAGTAGGATGAACCACTGTTTTAGACATTGCTGACTTTAAAATCTCCTTGTTGTTTGATGTTGAATTATTGTTCCTAATTATCTTCGATGTAGGGGAATATGTTTTGATTGGTGGTGACATTATACTTTTGATAAAACACATCTGTTTCTGTTCCAGTGAGCAAGAGGAAGGAAAAGAATAGTTCATCATCAAGGAAGACCTGGGATATGTTTTTTGGTTGCAATGGATTGATGATGGTGTTGGTCATATACCTAGTAGATAAAATGGAGAGAAGTACATCTTGATTCTGAATGAGCGATCGGTGTTTAAATGAGCTTCTCTTTCAGATGAACTCGCGCATTTTGGTTTCCAAGTTAGGATTTGATTATTGCCAGTATTATTTGAACATTCAGAGACAGTTACTTTTGTGAATTAAAATAGTTGACTGGTGTATCCTCCTGATAATCTGATTGAATAATTGTATTGAGGACATAACCATTCTGACAATCCGAGAGAGATAAATTGATCGGTGAAATTTTAATTATTAAATATGTTTTGAAATCTGTCAATAGTGCAAGGTATCAGATCTATGAATGAATCTTATTTGACTGTTGTTCCATTGTTTAGCCTTGTATAGATTCTTTATTTAAGAGTGATGTTGAAGTAAGGATTGGTGTTAAATTTGCTTTATTCGATGGCTAAGGCGAACATGTAATTATCGTCATTAAAGATTATGTCATCTGGATTCGCATCAAATAAGGTTTGCACATCCAAATTGACATAATTTTTACTCAAGAAATCTACAATATTTTGCTAGAAAAAGAAGGCAATGACAGCGATGATCGTAATCGAAAAAATACCTCCTGTGGCTGTTTGGTAAGAATCATCACCATTGAAATTCAATTGGATATTTTGTCCAAAAATATCGAAATTCTTAAAAACTTTAAATGCTATTGATTATTACATCCGATAGATTTTTTGAACATTCAATTTAATATATTTATATTAATACTTTCATATATATGTATTCTCAACATCAAAAATTGATACAATTTGATTGTCCAAGACCAATATGTTTGAAATGAATGAGTTAAAAATAATTATACAATTTATAATAATAATTATAATGAGCAATAGTGTAATAGGCGATGATTTCTCAGAAAGAGATGAATGCGACATCGAAGGAGATGACCAAGTGCCTCAATTTAACATGGAACAAGTAAGTGGATCCCCTTAAATATAGATTTATTCATCCCTTACTTCTGAATTCAATGGGATCTTTGCCTAATCATTCATCATCTCGAAATAAATAACATCTTATGTCATCAAACAATCATTGAAAATGGCAGAAGAACAAGTATTCCATACTTTTATCTAGTTCATGCAAACTCAAGTGCCCATCAGTTCCAATGCTTAGGTAATGACAATCATGGAAATGATCGTTGCGAGTTATTTCAATCAAGATGGTTTAACAATACAAGGCTGCAATATGCCTGAAGATAGCGAACCTGTATATATATTGGGTGTAATAAAAGAATGTAATACATTATGATCGTTGGAGAAGAAATAGAGTCAACATTGAAGAAATGAGTTAGTCATTCTCAGAGGAACAACAAGAGCAAGTTGAAAATGAATCTCCATCGCAACACAATAGTTCAAAAAATAACAAGTAAACATTTTCAGTTTTCGAAAGGAAAAAACCATTAGCTGTTGCACCTCCAAAATCAAGTCAATCAGAGATAAGACTTATTGAATTTCAAGTAGCAGAAGAGGAAGATGACTTTGTTGATAAATTGAGATAGAAGAAACTCTATGATATCAAGAAGAAAAATGAAATTGAATAGAAAATCAAAGAAGACATCATTTAAAATTAAGTACAAAATTAATAACCCCTAAGAAAAAAGAGTAATCTTCCAATAAATACACTTACGATTATGATGGCAAGATCCTATTATCAAAAGGAGTCAAATATGATAAATTATAGCCTACTGCATTAAAACTAAAGGTCGATTTGAAAGATATTCCAAAAACAACCAACTAGTAGAGCATCCCTCAAACCAATTCCAAAAAGGGAAGTAAATAGGTCATCTAAACTTAATAACCATTACCAATACCACCTAAAACAACTGCAGATATACCAAATAAAGTAATATCATGAATTATATAAGAATATAATAGATCGAAAGGATGCAGCCAAAGATGCAACTGGAGATAAAGGTCTTCGAATTGACAGAGGAGCTTAATTACCATATGATACCTTCTCTATGACAAATGGCGTTAAACTAATCTATGAACAGAGATACAAGGAAGGAATCAGACATCAGGTTAGTGATTCAGCTGAGTAACTACAATATAGATTGTCAGGATAAAACTTTTTACCTGGTGATGATATAACTAAATAAATGCAATAAATTAGATTGACTCGAACAGAATATAAGTTGTTAACTGACAATGGTAATCCATTTTAATAGCAAACTAAATCTTAATTTATACCCTAAGAGACCGTGGAAACAAAAAAGAATTTAGATAATACTAAACTCGAAAAGACAGTTCAATTCAATGAAAGTCATCTTGTCATGAACAAATTCTCTCCTAATAAAACTAGCTAATAGAAAATAGAAACTAAATAAGAAAAGATATTGACTAAAAATGCTAAATTACTCGAAAACCTTCTTGTACAACCTAATAAACCTGAGACACCAAGCCAAACACTTAAAAAAAATGAACCATTAAATAAGTTAGTAATTCTCATTTAAAATAGAAATCCTATTGATACTTTTAATCAATCACTACTCAACTCAAAAGATTGGGGAAAAGCTAATGCTAAAATTGGGTACTTCCCTCCTGTCCGAGTCTCGTAAAATCGAGGACATAATGGATCATTAGAATAACTGTATAATCTTACATTAAGATCTATAGGTACAAATTGCCAAGAGATAGAATCAATGTACAATAACAGAGAACTCAAAGTGAATTCTATAAACTGTAACCCAAAAGATCTACTCACAAATCAATGAGCGAAGGGATGTTTTAAACCTTTTACACAACCCATTCCAAGTTTGATGAAAAACTTAGATAATTTTGATTTAAATGAATTATGTTTTAAAGTTTTCGTGGTTAATAAATTTCTCAATCATTACATTGAGGGATTTAGATACTTCTAAGTGTAAATAAAATTAAAGAGCTTTTAATCTTAAAAGGTTTAACTCAATTTGTAAGTATATTAATAATTCCTTACACGATTCTCTAGGATCTCAAAGCTGACTTTGAATGCTTCGGGTTGATGTTTTTTGGGCATCAAAAGTAGTATCAATATTTCAAATGTAATTATACGAATAGTTGACATGGAAAATTTTTTAGATTCTTTTCTCCTGTCAAATAACCTAGTTGAAATCACTCTTTTCAAAGGCGTCTTAAGTGATAACTTAGGTTAGATTGGGGATTACGGGTTAATTTATGAATTAATTTTTATATAGTATAATTAAGTTAAAAGTACAATTTGAATCATTAAATGAATAGGAGTTTTAATGATGATGATGAGACTTTAACATTGGAAGAGGAAATCATGGAGGACTATTCTCCTACAAAGCAAGGTTAAAGTGATGTAATAATTAGAAATTCGCGAATATGCAATTCATTTAGGGATGAATTTACCTGATGACAATAAATATTTGGATATTGCAGAGGCAGGTCTGAAGGCCAAGTTACCTGACGAATGGAAGATTTGTTCTAAGAAGATTAATGGAATCGATTAAGTTTACTATAAAAATAGGAAGAGTGGGGAAATTATTTATGATCACCCTTGCGATATGATTTATTCAAAGAAATATGAGGAAGCTAAATAGATTGATCTTCAAAATCAGAAGAAAAAAGTATTTTGAATATTTTATGGCAGAAATCGACTGGGATTAATAAATTCAAAAATGATATTGAAAAATATAGGGTATAAAATGCTTAGGATGGAGATGATGATACTGAAGCTATGATGATGAACTCTAATGAGTATTACTAAAATAAAGGCTATGTGATGCAAAATCCAATGTAGCCATCGGCAACTCAGAATTTATTATCCCAAGTTGATTAAGAGTTCGCTTATTAAGCACAAGAATATGAGGAGGAGAAGAAGAAGGATGTAAATAAGTTGAAGGAGGAAAACAAGCTGAAATTGAATAAAATGGAGATGATATTGATGAACGAGGCAGATCCTGATTTATTTGGATTGAAGGAAGAATTCGAAAGACAGAAGGAGAATTTGGTTAAGAATTATGAGGAGAAGAAGAAGAAGGTCAAAAGAAAAGTGGAGGATGAAATTGAGTAGAGCATAAACAACCAGAAGAATATATAATAAAAATAATTAGAACACAATTTGGAGAATTATGAGTATGAGCAAGAGAGATCAATGAAGAATAAATTAAGAATGTTGGAGTAGGAATTGCAGGGACAATAAAAAGACATAGTCAGAAGAATTAACCAAAGATAGAAGGAGTTGTCTGAATCAGATTCCAAATGGATGAAATAAATATAGGAGAAGAAAAAGAATGTTGAAAATCAATTTAATAAATACAAAAAGGAATACAATTAAGAAATTTATTAAAAGGTTTAGGAAATAGATCAAGAGAATTTGAGAAGATTAAGATCAGAGTAGGAGGCTATTAAGAGGAAATTAACGAACGAATTTGATAAAGTTAAGAGAGAATACAAATTTGAAATAGTAGATCTATAGGAGGAAAATTAGAGAATGATAAGATCAATCAAGGAGGAGATGAGAAGTCAATATGATCCAAAATTTAGTTAAAGTTAATTAACATTTAATGATTAATTGTAAAATATTGAATTGAGTGAATCTCAGATCTTATAGTCTTAAATATTTGAATATAAGAATATAGATATTGAATAGAAAAAGTAAGAGAACGCTAAAAGGATTGCTTAATAAAATGAGAAGTTAACTTAACAGTTACAAAATTAACTCATAAATTTTGAAGTCTAAAAGAAAGAGAAATATCAGGAAATGAAAAGAATGCTTGAGGAAACGTAAAGGGTGAAGTTAGAGAAGATTTCAAAGGATTACGAGAAGAAGACAGGTAAAATTTTGGGCAATGGAAAGGAGATTGACTTATGCATGGACATTAATTAGACAAAAAGTTTAATATAAGAATTGAAAGAAGAAATAAAATAAATGAAAAGAAAAAAAGGTGAAATTGAAGAGAAAGTAGCAAGCATGAATGTTGTGATTTCAAAATATGATTTATAGAATGAATTGAAATAAAGGGAGGTTATCAAATATGAATTAGATCGTTTGCAATTTTTGGTTGATTAATATAAGTTGGATGATAAAAAAGTTGAAAAAGAATTAGAGTTATTAGAATAATAGTTTTAGTCAAGTATCCGATAAAACTAAGAATTCAATTAGAAACAACAAATGATGTAAAGTATGATTTAAAGTTTCCATGAATTGAGATAGTAATTGGCAGCTAATCAAAGTATTGACAATTCAAAGTACTAGAGCAACATGTTTAGATAAACAGGACCTTAGTATTTTGGAACAGAAATCAATATTTAAAATAATTTGTCAATGAATTAAAGTGTAGTGATAGAAGAGAATGTCTCATAAATGTAATTATATTTCTAAATGACTTAGGCGGAAATGGAAACTAATACTATTGGATGAAAGGGTTGCTTTGAATAGAGAAAAACAATTATATCTGACTAATAAAGAGAAAATAAATCACATGAAGAAAAAGTTTTTAGTTGACTCTGAACAACTGAGGTCTCAACTTTTGTTAGCTTAACAATTTGATTAGAACAATAGGAAGAAAGATTTAATAAGGAAACTCAAATCAGAAATGGAAGACTAATAAAGTAAGATTGCTAAAGATACAGAGAAATCAGATAATTGGAGATTAATAATATTATAGAGGGCCAGGATCTTAGACTAGATGGAAATAAATATAAATGATGAAAATCCTCAATCGTCATTATTATATTCTCTAGAACAATTATATCGGCTATATATTTAAATGGGAGAAATCGACTTAAATGATTATATACAAGAATAGTCAATCTCGAAAATGAATTAACCATATGATAACTAAAAATAAGCAGAGTCCTCTTAACAAGCGATATAAGATAGAAGTTAAGAATAGTAGGATCAATTAGCAAAGCAATTAATAATATAAAAAGAAGAGTTGTAAAATTAAAAGAACAAGGTTATTGTTAATAAATATTTTAGATTCATAGCACTTATCCTTAGAGTATAGATGCCAAGGAAAGGTTGCTAAGGTATTAAGAATTTATACAACAAAAGGTTTGACTTATATAATTATATTTATTTTTTAAATGAAATTAACCTAAATATTTTATAATCTTTGGAAAATAATTTAATTGATTCATATTAGCCCTAACTATATATAAATTTAAATATTTTATATGTATTTAAAATAAGAAAAATACTTATAAATGGGCCAGTTTAGAGTTAATACATACAAGAATAAATTAGTGCCTTATTGGGTTGATAGTTTTTAGGTTTAGAACAAGCTTTAATTTAAAACTTAATCGAAGAAGAAATAAATAAAGAATTAATCTATTCTATCATTGAGGAATGTAATCGAATTACTATATAATAAAAATGAAATCATTTGCATGAATATTTGCATCTCTTTATTTTAAATAGAAGGTTTATTTAGAATTTATTATATAATTCTATTTAAACATTTGATTGTTTTTAATTAATCTATGAACTAATCAGTAAATACAACCAATATTGTCAGATGTAATTTATTTATCTGAGAATAAAAATAAGCTTATTGAAATAAAATCTCATATCAGTTTACAATTAGTATTTTTTTGTACAAGGAATAAGGAGATTAATTATTTATGTATACTGCGTATAAAGATATTGATAATTTCAATTTTAATGGCATCAGGGAAGCTTTTATGTGATTATTATTCTATTATTGANAGAATGTCTCATAAATGTAATTATATTTCTAAATGACTTAGGCGGAAATGGAAACTAATACTATTGGATGAAAGGGTTGCTTTGAATAGAGAAAAACAATTATATCTGACTAATAAAGAGAAAATAAATCACATGAAGAAAAAGTTTTTAGTTGACTCTGAACAACTGAGGTCTCAACTTTTGTTAGCTTAACAATTTGATTAGAACAATAGGAAGAAAGATTTAATAAGGAAACTCAAATCAGAAATGGAAGACTAATAAAGTAAGATTGCTAAAGATACAGAGAAATCAGATAATTGGAGATTAATAATATTATAGAGGGCCAGGATCTTAGACTAGATGGAAATAAATATAAATGATGAAAATCCTCAATCGTCATTATTATATTCTCTAGAACAATTATATCGGCTATATATTTAAATGGGAGAAATCGACTTAAATGATTATATACAAGAATAGTCAATCTCGAAAATGAATTAACCATATGATAACTAAAAATAAGCAGAGTCCTCTTAACAAGCGATATAAGATAGAAGTTAAGAATAGTAGGATCAATTAGCAAAGCAATTAATAATATAAAAAGAAGAGTTGTAAAATTAAAAGAACAAGGTTATTGTTAATAAATATTTTAGATTCATAGCACTTATCCTTAGAGTATAGATGCCAAGGAAAGGTTGCTAAGGTATTAAGAATTTATACAACAAAAGGTTTGACTTATATAATTATATTTATTTTTTAAATGAAATTAACCTAAATATTTTATAATCTTTGGAAAATAATTTAATTGATTCATATTAGCCCTAACTATATATAAATTTAAATATTTTATATGTATTTAAAATAAGAAAAATACTTATAAATGGGCCAGTTTAGAGTTAATACATACAAGAATAAATTAGTGCCTTATTGGGTTGATAGTTTTTAGGTTTAGAACAAGCTTTAATTTAAAACTTAATCGAAGAAGAAATAAATAAAGAATTAATCTATTCTATCATTGAGGAATGTAATCGAATTACTATATAATAAAAATGAAATCATTTGCATGAATATTTGCATCTCTTTATTTTAAATAGAAGGTTTATTTAGAATTTATTATATAATTCTATTTAAACATTTGATTGTTTTTAATTAATCTATGAACTAATCAGTAAATACAACCAATATTGTCAGATGTAATTTATTTATCTGAGAATAAAAATAAGCTTATTGAAATAAAATCTCATATCAGTTTACAATTAGTATTTTTTTGTACAAGGAATAAGGAGATTAATTATTTATGTATACTGCGTATAAAGATATTGATAATTTCAATTTTAATGGCATCAGGGAAGCTTTTATGTGATTATTATTCTATTATTGATTTTATATAAGCCATTTTAATAAGTAAATTACTAAATATTACGACATCAAAAAAATAAAGAAAATTTAAGTTTAAAGTTATGACATAACAACTGTTGTATTTCATATGAATTGAATAAGGGAAAGAATCGATTCATATATTAATGAGTGTAGATCATGAATTTACGATTTTTATCTGTGAACAAGTACCTTACTCAATAGGTTAGATTTGATTACATTCAGATAAAAAAAGGATGAAATTGAGCAGATAAGGGTAAAAGTTAGTTGTTTGACGAAAAGCCTTCGTAAACTTGTGATATTGAAATAGGACAATGATATTTTGTGTATTCTTAAGAGTATAGTCATTAGGATTATCTAATACGATATTATATCAAAACTGAGAAGGGGGTTTAATTATTCTAATTTTCATTAAGTAATATTGTTCTCAAGAATTCTATATATGGAGTCATTTTTATGGATTTCAAAGTGAAAATGAAAAAAGAATCCAAGGTATGAACAATTAATTGACCCTGAATGAAATCCTCAAAATCACATAAATGACCGATCTATAATATATTTATATAAAGTAGGCTACTTAATTCATTTGAAGGAAGGAATAATTAAAAGCAAATAGAAGAATGATAAATCATATAAAGGAGGGAGAGAGATTGCTTCTCAAGAATGATTTCTATTTTTGATATAAAAAATCAATCAGAATCGCTCTTCAGAAGTAATTTGTCATCAGTCAAATGACGAGCATATAGCCAATTACAAAATCCAAGTACTATTTTGATCATGACCTCTCTCAGATTGGGTACTCTACATAAATGTACAATGTAATTTCGATTTGATAATTATTGGATACTTTGAAGTACTTTATCCAACTGAGAACATATTAACTAATTAGCCTTTTCAACTAATCCACTAGTAGGACAGTCTGGATAGTCGATCAGAAGTTTCCGAAAGGAGTACACAAAGAGAAAGATAAGTTTCATCTATTCATAACTAAGGACTCCTTTGAGTTCGTGAATAAACCTTATAAATGCATCTTGGGGAGTAGTTACATCAGTAGGTTGGGTTTGTTTCATCAGTTCGCGATAGTAATCCAATTTGATGAATTTATTGTCGGTCTCCATCATTTATAACTCCAATTCCCAATTGATTAGATCGTACATATCTTCATTATTAAAGGAAGTCTGAGATTTATCTTCCTCCTTACCTAAGGCATTGGCAAGAGTGGCAAAGATGTCCTATGTTTGTGACTCTGAAAATGTTGATTCCAACCTTTGTTCATCCAGGTTCTTCAATGATTACTACAGTATTAAGTAATTTGAAAACCCCATTATGTTTCTATTTCATGTGTGTGTAGAGGGCAGGATAACTCAAGTATGATTTCCCACACTCACACTTGTGTTCTCGTTGAGCATCGCTGTACTTACGAGTTCTGGTTCTCTTCTTTTTCTCTGCACCTTCTGCCGGCTTCTAAGGAGAATACGATTCTTGGACACTTGAATTTGTATTCGATTTATCTTGCATATTAATTAATGAAGAATGTAAATTTGAGAACTTTAAATTAAGAAAATAACATGGAGGAAGTCCTGCAAAAATATATTAATTCTTGTCTAATAAATTTATAATATCAGCAACAGCTCTATTAATCAAATCTAAATATAATACTTCAGATTTGGGTTTCTCCTTTCCCTCGGGGAACTTTAAATTGTGGATTTATTTCTCATCACTAGCTTGCATCTTAGATAGTGTTTAAATGATTCTATAAGCCAAATTGTTGAATGCTTCGTTGATGTTCATGTTGCTCTTAGCTGAAGTCTCAAAGAATGGAATGTTGTATTGCTAAGACATCTTCTTGCCTTCTTCCAGAGTTACCTATCTTTCTGCAGACATGTCAGCCTTATTACCCACCAACACCAATTGCACATCATTCGAATTCGTATTCTCTTGTATTGACTTTTCATAATTAAACTTCTCTTACCCTCAACCATCCATCCACATTCTAAAACGATTGTCTATCAATTACACTATATGTTAAGATCACCTACATTTAATAATTATTTCTACTCCTTATGCTCCCTTGTAATACGTTTTTGTAATGTTTCTGAATCGCTCCTATCCTGCAGTGTCCCAAATTTACAATTTCAGCTTCTTCCCATCTACATCAATGGTCTTTATCTTAAAATCCACTCCCAAAGTGGCCATGTGAGTAATCGAAAACTTTGCATCACAAAATTAAGACAAAATATTTGTCTTACCCACTCCTGAATCACCAATCACAATAACCTTAACCAGCCAATCATAATCTTATGAATTTCCTTGTTTGCTCATCAGAATTCAATATTTTAAATTTTAATTATTATCAAACAAATTCATGCACTCAAACCTATAGTATTCCATCCCGATTACCATCCTATTAGATACTAATAACAATCTCCCCTTAAAATTGCCATTCTCCCACTTTAACGCAACCTACTTATACTTGTAACCCTACAACTTTCTTATACACCAAATATCTCCTAAATAGAAATCATTAAAATTAAAGTAACCTTTTTAAAATCAGCCACTATAATGATGATCATATTTTATGAATATAGTCAATAATCTTTTATCCATTATTATATATAGAAGATAGCATCATTTTTCTAGACTACCAGATCTAAAATACTTATATCTTAAATTTAGATTAAGATATATAAGATTAATATTTGTAGAAAAAATTATAATAAATTGTTTGTTCTTTATGTGTGTATAAAAGCAATTATCTAGACTAACTCTTAATTCAAAATTATTAGAAGATTAAAATGCACTAAACTAAGAGAAATAAGGAACTCCCAAACCTATTAGGAAATTAAGTTTTCAGAATGTAGCTCAATACATTAAAGCATAAATTGATTTAAATTATTTATAATATCTAAAAATAGCCAAAATTCTATTCGGTGGGTCATTAAAATATAAATATATTCATAATCGTAAATCACAGAGTATTTTTAAATAGACTAAATATGAGATCGAATATCAGCAAATAAAATACAAATATTTCTAATAAGCATTTAAAGGGCTTCATTTTATTTTTATAAATATCGATCAAAATGTAAAGAGAGGCAATTAAATTATCTTCTTGGAGGAAACAAGCTTATCTATACTATCAGTGAAAATAATGTCTATTTTACTGTATTGACAATTAACATCTTGGTCTTAATAATAGTTGATTAAATTTTAATGTAAATTAGATTAAAAACAACTTAATTATCTTTTTTTTCAATTCCTAAGATTAGTCAATCTTGGAAAAATGAATTAAACAGAAATTATTGAGAAAAATTGTGAATATGAAATTAAATATTCATTAAATGTAATTTCTAATATTTTAACAAAGGCCCAAGCAGCATACTCTTCATCACATATTTTTAATTATTTTGAAACAAGCAAATGAGTAAAAGGTGTGTAAACAAATAACTTTAAAGTGAAAAACAGATTAATTATATAATTATTTAATTTAATGTAATTTTTAGAACCATAAATAATAGAAAAAGACAGCGAATTGCAATGTAAAAGGCATTAGCAAAAAATTATTTCTATAAATCTTGATTCCAATTTATAAAATGAAGCAAGACTCTTATGCAAGTCTTGTACCTAAAAGAATTCTTCCTTTACAATCATCGTAGAGTATGAGTAACTAAAATAAAGATTTGATGAATAACAAAGATAAAAGATTTAATCTTACTTGGAAATTATCAAGCCTCACATTAAAGAGATTGAAAAAATTTGTGAAAACTTAAATGCTTTCAAAACCAGAATTTTGTAATAAATTGAGCAATTACTTAATATTTCAAAGAATTGGATAACTGATTTAAAGGATTCAATAGTTTAATACAGCTTTTTAAAAGAATTAGACTCATACATCTTAAAAATAACTTCAATCCCTGATCCGAAAAATGTAGTTGAAAGAATAAAAATGATTAAAACGAATCTTCAAGCATAAATTAATCCAAAAATAGATCAATTTAAACACTAACCTGAGTTCTAGAATTTAGATCAAATTTTTGAATTTCTTCATTATTTAATTCAAGACTAAGAGAGTGAAATAAATTATGAATAAGCAAAAATTCAAGCAATTTATGAACAAGACTAGCTTGATGAATAATAGGATTTTTTTTAAGGTCTAACAGATATTGATGAATAGATTTTGGCTAATGTAAGTTAAGAATAAGAATGTAGTTAAGTTATGCAAGGATTTCCTTCCCAAAATTTAAATAATTCAAATATGTTTGGAAATTTTTGGGATTAAAGCGAATATTTTAATTAGAGTATAAATTAACATTAATCTATCTTAGCAGATGCAGTAAATCTTCTGAATGATTACAAAAGCATATTAAAATATTATGATTAAGAAATTAAGAAAAACCCTTAAAATTCAAAAAATTATAATTGCAAAGGTAAAAATGAATGTTGCTTAATAATTAGCAAAAATTTTAACGAAATTGAATAGATTTCAAGAAGCATTAGAACATTGTGATTTAGCAATTTCGATAAACCCAGATAATTCAGACTTTTATGATTGTAAAGGTATCAATTAATTATGCATTTGTTAACAGCAAAAGCATTAACGAAATTGAATAGAGTTCAAGAAGCATTAGAGTATTCCAATTTAGCAATTTAGAAAAACCCTGAAAATTCTGAATATTATTATTCTAAAGGTAAAAATTTATACTACAAACTAAAAAGCAATTACTTTAGCCAAAATGAATAGATTTGAAGAGGCATTAAATAATTGCGATGCTGCAATTCACAAAAACCCCATTTCAGATTATTATAATTGTAAAGGTATAAATTACTTTGCATTTGTTAATAGCAAAATTATTAACAAAAATGAATAGGTTTGAAGAAGCCTTAAAATCTTATGATTTAGCTATTTAAAGCAACCTTTAGGATTCATATAATTATTATTGCAAAGGTAAATTTTATTTTACTTACTAAATAGCAACAACCTTAATGAAAATGAATAGATGGAAAGAGGCATTAGTAGCTTGTGATTTAGCAATTTAGAAAAACCCAGATAATTCATTGAATTATAATTGTAAAGGTATATATTAAGTATGCATTTTGATAACAGCAACAGCATTAACAAATATGAATAGATTTGAAGAGGCACTACAATACTATGATTTAACAATCAAGAAAAACTCAGAAAATTCATATTACTATTATTGCAAAGGTAAAAATGTATTTCAATAACTAAATAGCAATAACTTTAAATAAAATGAATAGATTTGAAGAGGCATTAGAGTATTTAGATTTAGCAATTTAGAAAAACCCAGAAAATTCATCTTATTTTTATTCTAAAGGTAAAAATGTATTTAATTAAGCAATAACTTTAACAAAAATGAATAGATTTGTGGAGGCATTACAAAACTTTGATGTAGCAATTTATCAAAACCCCATTTCAGATTATTATAATTGTAAAGGTAAAAATTTATTTTACTAACTAAATAGCAATAACTTTAAATAAAATGAATAGATTTGAAGAGGCATTAGAGTATTTAGATTTAGCAATTTAGAAAAACCCAGAAAATTCATCTTATTATTATTCTAAAGGTAAAAATGTATTTAATTAAGCAATAACTTTAACAAAAATGAATAGATTTGAAGAGGCATTACAAAACTGTGATGTAGCAATCAATTAAAACCCCATTTCAGATCATTATAATTGTAAAGGTATAAAATTACTATGCATTTGTTAATAGCAAAAGTATTAACAAAAATGAATAGGTTTGAAAAAGCCTTAAAGTATTATGATTTAGCTATTTAGAAAAATCCTAAAAATTCGTATTATTATTATAGTCAAGGTATAAATTAATTATGCATTTGTTAATAGCAATAGCATTAATGAAAATGAATAGATTAGAAGAAGCATTAATACATTTCGATTTATCAATTTAGAAAAACCCAGAAAATTCATATTACAATTACTGCAAAGGTATAAATGTATTTTACTTACTGATTAGCAATAACATTAGCAAAATTGAATAGATTTCCTGATGCATTAAAGTATTTTGATTTAGCAATTGATAAAAACTAGGGTAATTCAGATTATTATTGTTAAAAAGGTATTTACTTCATCTGATTATTGTGTAGGAAAGGCTTTATTTAAAATGAAAAGATTTGAAGAATCATTGGAATGCTTTAATTAAGGACTTTCTTAAAATCCATTCCATTCTGAGTATTTAAATTGTAAAGGTATAATCTGTATTTAACATAGCAAAAACTTTAAGGGAAATGTAAAGATTTGAAGAAGCTTTGGAATGTTATAAATCTGCTATTTAAATTAACCCAGAAAATTCAGACAATTATTATTCCCGAGGTATAAAATTTTGATTTATTTTCACTTAGTTACAACTTTATTAATTAAGAATAGAATTGATGAAGCTATTGCTGTTTAAAAAAATCAATAAAATTAAAGTATCACCTTAATATTCTAATTTTTTTTAGCATAACCTAAGACTCCATCCTTAAATTAAAATTAGAACTAATAGAAAAACAGAAACAATTTTTTGCCAAAATGATTATTTTATTAATAATTTTCAAAAAATTTCTCATCATTTATTTATATCATTCGATGCTTCTAAATATCTAATATTTCAAAGCTAAAAAGTATTTGATATTATTTTTACATTGTAAAATAATTTTTGTTAGGCGAAGTTAGAAAAGTGTAGAATAAATCGAAAAAATTCCTGAAATTATCTTTATTATAAAGGTTTATTGATAATTTGTAGAAGGGGATTAGTTTTGTGGAGATTAGAATCTATTTGGGGTTAGACGTCATTTTTAGCAAAACAGTATAAATTTTTATTGTTTTTAAAAGTTTCAAAAATGTTAATTTATTATTGTAAATTAAAGGAGAGTGGAACAGGCAATATTAATTTTACAAAAGTCAAGAGAGAGTAGTACAGAAAAAAATTATAGGAGAAGATAGATATCTTTTGTAAAAAGTTGAGAAAGTGCAATACTTAGTGAATAATAAATTTATTTTATAGAATTTGTAAGAGTATTGTTTTTGAAAAATTGTTATCAAAGTTTTATCTTTACTAATCTAATGTTGAGATTTCTAGTATTCTTAGAGAGTATCTTCTACTCGTTTTGCAAATTATAGATATTTATAAATGATGTCCGTGCTTAAGGCTCGTTATTAAAGTGGTAAGTGATACACCTCAACAATTAATTTACATTAATTAAAGTCAAACACCAACACACTCAATTATTAAAATATTTTGAGATTCAAAAATAAAAACCTCTTTTTATATCTTTAATTATTAATGTTATTTATTTTAAGTACATGATATTCAACATCTTATTTTCATCTTTACTCAACACCATCACACATAGGATCATACTTCTCGTAAATTTATGGTCAACATCATCACTGGAATAATTGATGCATTCTCTTTTGAATTTAGTTTATTAAATGAGATTTCTAACATAAACAAAACTTGAAAAAAGCAATCAACCTAATTATTTAATCATTACTAATGAATATGATTTCTATTTATATTATATATTTATTATAATTGTTATTTATAGTTTTCTTCAATTGTTTATTACTTCAGGTTATAATAAATACTCAACTACAATTACCTTAATAAGAAAATAAAAGAAAGATATTAACTAAAGAAATATTAATAATATTTAATTATGAAAATAAAAATATAAAAAATACTATAATAATAAACATTATTAACGCCCAATTATTACGATCTTATTTCTCATTTCTCCTTGGGTCATCTCTGTCTAGATGATAAGACTTTCTATTATTAGACCTACATATAATTCACTTATGATTTCCTAAGCCTTTTAGAATTGCAGATTAATCATCCCCTACTTTGTCTATTAATAATATCATTCCACTATGATACTGACTCAAGAAGTCAAAATATCGTAGATATAATTTTTAATCAAAATCCAAGCATCCTCTTATGTGTTAATTACATATTCTTCAAAAGTAATTGAATTTTATTGAATCTTAATCTCTATTTAATTTTACTAATGAATCTCCATTTTCTCTACATAAACTCAACATAATTACCAGGGCGTTGTTCATTACTCAAATATCCAACACTCTAAAATAAAAAAATAGGCGTAATTAGGATGATTATACGCTAAGAATATTTTGTTTGTCCAAAGGACAATCGTTTAAGGGTTTGATTATTTATTACTATGAAATTATGGATATTCCGAACTCATAAATTATTAAATATTATGTTTAAAGAGGAAGAAAGCTTTTATTTGAATCTTTTCTAGAAATCATGGTTATCTTATATGCGCTATTTATATTAATTGAATAATTGCAATATCTTTAATTTTTTGTGGGATGACATAGTTAAAATTAGCAAAACCCTTTCTTTTACATACTCTGGATATGTAATCAAAATTTTTTAATAATTTTAATTTAAACACAATTAAATTATAAATCTCCTTATACTTAATAGTTAGGCAATATTTTATTGAATATAGAATTACTCCTACAGAAAACTTTAATTTGCTTATTAAAGTTTGATGATCTCAATCAAAGTTCATAGAATAACTCCTTACCTCTATATTAAAGAGAAAAATGAATGATAAATGAACCAAAAAAGAGATATTAATAACTAAATATCCTGAAATTTTACAAACGTATTTTGAAAATTATTGTAATAGTCTTTTTATTAATAGTATAAAAAAGTATTAATGGTGATTAATTGGCTCATACTTTAATTTGTAAAATGCTATGGTTTTAAAATTAATTATTTTCATCCATGTAAGCAAGAAACAGGATCACTTGAAACTGAAATCAAAATCATCTATAAATATATTAATTTATATTACAAATTATAAGGATGAATTCAAAATACTTAATAACAAGTATATAAAGGAGCATATGTTATTTATTGTATTGTCTTCTCCAATTGACTATATCAACAATGCTTCTTGTGTATGTAAGAACAGAAATCAATTTAATTCATATTAGGTCTTTCTGGATGAAAAAAAGTAAGAGCTTATTTGATATATCAAGAGTCTCGAGAACCCAGTTGTGTTAATTTTAGAAGGGCTATTGACTTTGACAATTTGTAATGATATTGTTCTGAAAGTTATCACAGAAGGAGCAGTATTATAATTTATTATTTTATATTTTAACACTTATAAAAGGTATTCTTCACAGCAGCTTGGAATATTTTCGATTTATGTGCTTTCTTATCAATCATAGCCTGTATAAGAATGCAATAAGAAGTGTATTATGATGAACTTTTTGGAATTTCACTAATTTCGATGCGTTATTTGTCACTTACTGTTCGTTTAGTTGTTTTGCTCAAATAGTATTCAATATGATTTGATAATTAAGATCTTATGTAATTTAAATGATGCAACAGCAAAGGGACATCTTGATTTACAAAAAATCTAGAAACTAGGATCTCAGTATCTTAGACATAAGTTCTGAAATCTTGAGTGACTCACAGTTCGTGGAAACTATGAAACTTATTGGTGATTGATAGTAACTTAATCAATTTGATTTTATTTTTTAAAAATAAGATTTTTAAACAAATAACCTGCATTTCTTTCAGATTAAAATAAATTAATAAACCAAAATCACTTTAGAATTTCAGATGTATTCATATCCCCATTACCTTTAAACTCCCTATTCCCCGTATTAATACATGCAAATGGATTACTAATCATTATACAATTAGCTTTACCTTCAATGTCAAAACCAATTCCCTCAATTTAGACAACCTACATTCCATCAAGCACAATAACCTGTTTAGCAACTAAATTATATCACTATTTCTGATGATGAAGAAAGCACACCCAAATAGGAAATCCCAAAGCCTATTCCCACACAACCAATTCAAAGTGTTTAAACTTTAAAACAAATAACCAAAATGCTGGACCTAGATTAACTTGAGGCATCAGGAAAACTTTTCGATTGTGAAAGTTCTCCTCCTCCTCCTCTACCAAAACAAATTACATAAAAGCCAAAAAAGCATATGTCCAAGCAATAGAAAAAAAGAAAGAATAAAATTACACAATACACTGCAAAAAGACAAATTCCATGCATCAAATAAGTTCAAATAAATAAAAACAGGTAGCAGCAAGTATTCCAACAGTCCAGTGTCAAAGTCAGATTAATCAGAGTTTATGAGAGAAATGAAGATCAATGTAAGTAACATTTATATTTGATAATAGTTTTGAAACTCTATGAAAAGCTAAAACTTAATTTTCCATAGGCAAATGATGAAGATGTGGTCATAATACTCAATAATTGCAATAAAGATTATTAAAAAGCTGAGTCCTTTATACAACAAAGTGGTTGCTCTATCTCATACTACCTTAATTGTATTATCTTAATCTATATATAAATAGCCTAAAAGGATCAACAAATTGATGAAACTACTACTGATGGAAAATGAAATTTAATATCAATATATATATTAATTAAAGATCATAAATTAAGGTAATAATACATTTAAATGAAAAGTTCTAAAAGTTGTTAATCACTTACAAACCTTATCTCATTATTTACAGTCTAAATACAATTTCAATAATATTGATCAAATAAATTATTAAAGAACAAAAAAGATCTCTTCTCTTTATTGAATAAGTATTAAAATTTGTATGATTTTGCAATCATTTAATCATATTACCAATGCATTTGTTGAGATCAAAATCTAAAATTCTTACCACACTCTTATCAAAGATTTAAACATTAATTTTAAATCAAGATTAATCTCTATTTATTTCAATATTTGACAAATATATTTGTTAATTAATCACAACTTATGTCAAATTGGCAGCTTATTTTAAATATTAATATATTACAGTTTATATAGATACTGATCTATGAATTCAACATAAAATTAAGCAAATATTATTTATTAAATTCATGATTTTAACTAAATTGAAATCTCTCAACTTCTGGTACATAAACAGAAATTGGACTGTGAAGAACTAAATATTAATGGTATCGTTTATAATATGGACAATAATTTTTACAATTCTGATAGTAACGATCTCGCAAACTCAAAATTACATTTAAGATAATCTAAAATCAATATCAAACGAAATATTTATAAAGCAAACTTCATAATAGCTTGACAACATCTGGATTTATAAGCAAAGCATGGAAAGAATGTTTTAATTTACTTAAAGGTAGATTTATTCGACAAGAAGAATATATTAATACTTTGACCTTTTAGAACATAATTCTTAGGAAGACTTACACTTTGAAAATCCTCATATGTGCTTAAATAATTAAAAGGAAGTTGATTCTTTCTGTTTTAAATTTTCTACAACTTGTGGAATATTTGGAGTTCCCATGAACGATTAGTTAACATAGGAAGCCGATAGTATAATTGCCCTGACATTTATACTAACTTCATTTCGAATTGCTTTAGATCACACAAATTCTGCTCCTCTCTATTATTTTCTTGATAACGAATCACTATTCTATTGTATCACCACAGGAATACCATTTCCCACAAGCTTCATACCTAATAAAAGACCTTACTACATTGAGTTTAAATAAAAAACATCAAATGATTCTAGCGTAGATAATGTGTATTTTGCAAGTCCTTACTAGGTAGTATCAGGCAAGATTAGAATACCTATGATGATCTCCTTAGTTGATTATAAAGATCAAATTGTAGGGATGGTTGCTAAAGACATTGATTTTGGATATGCGTCTGTGGCATCGAATTCTAACAAAAATACTACACTTTATGTAATTGATAATGAAGGCAAAATATTTTACTCACTTCTTTATAATTAAGTGAATTTATCAGTTTACTACTTCAATGACTCCGAAATCACTGGCTTTAACACAAATGATTTTATATAAATAATGAACAACCATAATGGACGACCCTTTCAAAATAATTGCCTAAATTAATAAAGTGCTACAATCCTCTGCAGATATAATTCAAAGGTGAAGGATAACTTAATAATAAAGTCAACCTAATTAGCCAATTCTCCACTTATTTTAATTGTCCTCATTGAAACCAATACAGTTTAATAATAGAGTGAAGATCATTTTAATTTATAAAAGGAGCTGCAATAAGAAGCAGTCCAAGAAATGATAATAATCATTGCTTTTATGCCTATCGCAATCATTCTAATATCATAAACAATAATTCATTTAGTACTAAAATAATTGAATATACTCATCAATCTTGTTAAACAAAATGTGTACCAAAATAAAAGAGAGTACTATTTTTCATTTCTCAAAAAAGATAGCTTTTTTCAATCAGAATCTGTTTCTGCCTTGATTATTGCATCTACAAAACTATTTAATTGTATAATTGGTGCTTATAAAACCGATGAATGCATAAAATAAGAAATCATTAAATATCCCAAATTCCTACGCTCTCATTTAAGAATGAAAGAACGCCTAACCTCTACGATAAGGTTTTTTAATGATTAATTCAGAGACAAAGTAAATTATAAAGGATTTGAATTCAGATCACTAATATCTATTTGCAACTTATTTTGATTAATCTTTTTTATATATGCTCTTATATTTTTAATTATTAATTAAACTAAATAAATATTTGTATTACTTTTTTATCAGCGCCTTATGATTGAAGGTGGCAAAATTAAAATCAATAAATTGATCAGAAATATATGATTCAATAATTATTTATGCTTTCTTTTATAGATTCCACTTCAAATAAATAGTTGTGATAAATATAATATCGTTTGTAAATCGATTACCATTCCCTTTTAATGTTTATAATCAGTCACCAAAAGTAATTTGATTCTTCCACAATATCAATTTAAATTCTAATACTATTTCAGAATTGACAATTTTCTAAAACAAGAAAAAAAATAATGTTCTACTTTGTTCTAAATGATTTACATCATTAAGATCATTAGAATATTTAGATGTTCTGATCTAAAAAAAAAGAAAAAGCAGACGAAATGATGATTTTAAAGCTGTTCTTCACAAGTTCATAATTCTAATTAATTGAACTCACCAATTTCATGATTACGTGAATGTATGTGATATATAGGAGATTGATGGATAGCTCACATTTTTAAGATTTATGGACTCACTTCTACATATACTTAATATGAAGTAATGGTTAAAATTTAAAGGCTTCTGTTATTATGTAAATGGGAACATAAATATTTCTTTGAAAAGATTTTCACAATAAGGGGATTTTAATTATTTAATATGAGTTTAAATTAAATAAAAATTCTTAACAATTTAATTAATGATTAAGACAGTCTATGTTAACATACCTTCGTATATCGAAGACTCAAATTATAGATACAAGATGCCAAAACCTTAACTTAAGATTGAAGGTAGAGGAAATGGTATCAAGACCAACATAATGAATTTGCATGAGATAGCGAAGGCTTTAAATTGTCATGATCAATGTTTTGACATTTATTTAACTTAGATCCTTTGAAATATTTGGGTTTCGAGTTTGGTTCTTAAACTTCATATAAATTTAAAAATGACAACGATGTGACTTGTATTATAAATGGCGCCTTTTAGGACGATTAAATAAGAAAATAATTGGATAAATTCATCGAGAAATACATTCTTTGTTAAAAATGTAGATATCCTGAAATGTATATGAAAATCAAGGGAGGCAAAATTATTTATGGGCAGTGCGATTCTTGCGGACATGTTAGTGATTTGGATAACGCTCATAGATTAGCAAGTTATATCTTAAAGAATCCTCCTGGAAATCAATCAATAAAAAGTGGTTAGGACGAAGTTTAGATGATCAACAGTGAAGGATAGACTGGAAGTAAGGAGGATAAGTAAAAAAAGAAGAAGGTATTGGCAGCTGAAGTAGGATTGGATTCTGAATTATTGGAAGCCTTTTTGGTTCAACTGAGAGACACTTACAACAGATTGGTTGTCAATGACAAAATAGATAACGATGTTGCTGACATGATGTTAACATAAGATATCAAAAAGTTCAATTTGGATAGACATCTCAAAGATAGAGTTTGCTATTTGATTTTTTAGAGTATGTTTGACGAGAATCCTACTAAAGCCTTCGAAAGAAATTATGAATTATTAACAACATACTTTAATGATCTTGATCCTTAATTGGCTTCGTGTCATATTATTTTGAATATCCAATATTTGATGAAGAAACGAAATATTGATGATAAATATTTCGGAACAGTCTTAAAAGGATTTTACGATTATTCTTATATCGATGAACAATATTTGATTAAATGGTTTGAAAATTCTGATGAGTGGTAGAAAGAAGCAAAAGAGGATTTTTTATTTAATGAACAACTAGACAATCATTATAGACAATTGAGTGAACCCATGATCAATTGGATGAAGTACAATATATATAATTAATCATTATTTAGATCCTAGGCTGGATAGGAGGAAGAATATTATGAAGAAGAAGCCGAAGGTGAACAAGGAGATGTATAATAATGACACATCAACGATGTTCATTTATTATTGTATAAAAATCATAATAAACTCCATTTAATTTCAAATTTATATCTTTTGTTTCATGGTTTAGTACTTCTTTGAATTGCACTGACTTATATACAAGTTTTACAATATATAATATTCTTAATGCATATATATATAATTATATTAATAATTAGTAAATTCTTAATCTAAAATTAAAAAAAATGGGAACAATGGGGATCGAACCCATGACATTAAGATCTTCAGTCTTACGCTCTCCCAACTGAGCTATACTCCCAAAGTTAATAGTTATCCAGCTNTGAGATAGCGAAGGCTTTAAATTGTCATGATCAATGTTTTGACATTTATTTAACTTAGATCCTTTGAAATATTTGGGTTTCGAGTTTGGTTCTTAAACTTCATATAAATTTAAAAATGACAACGATGTGACTTGTATTATAAATGGCGCCTTTTAGGACGATTAAATAAGAAAATAATTGGATAAATTCATCGAGAAATACATTCTTTGTTAAAAATGTAGATATCCTGAAATGTATATGAAAATCAAGGGAGGCAAAATTATTTATGGGCAGTGCGATTCTTGCGGACATGTTAGTGATTTGGATAACGCTCATAGATTAGCAAGTTATATCTTAAAGAATCCTCCTGGAAATCAATCAATAAAAAGTGGTTAGGACGAAGTTTAGATGATCAACAGTGAAGGATAGACTGGAAGTAAGGAGGATAAGTAAAAAAAGAAGAAGGTATTGGCAGCTGAAGTAGGATTGGATTCTGAATTATTGGAAGCCTTTTTGGTTCAACTGAGAGACACTTACAACAGATTGGTTGTCAATGACAAAATAGATAACGATGTTGCTGACATGATGTTAACATAAGATATCAAAAAGTTCAATTTGGATAGACATCTCAAAGATAGAGTTTGCTATTTGATTTTTTAGAGTATGTTTGACGAGAATCCTACTAAAGCCTTCGAAAGAAATTATGAATTATTAACAACATACTTTAATGATCTTGATCCTTAATTGGCTTCGTGTCATATTATTTTGAATATCCAATATTTGATGAAGAAACGAAATATTGATGATAAATATTTCGGAACAGTCTTAAAAGGATTTTACGATTATTCTTATATCGATGAACAATATTTGATTAAATGGTTTGAAAATTCTGATGAGTGGTAGAAAGAAGCAAAAGAGGATTTTTTATTTAATGAACAACTAGACAATCATTATAGACAATTGAGTGAACCCATGATCAATTGGATGAAGTACAATATATATAATTAATCATTATTTAGATCCTAGGCTGGATAGGAGGAAGAATATTATGAAGAAGAAGCCGAAGGTGAACAAGGAGATGTATAATAATGACACATCAACGATGTTCATTTATTATTGTATAAAAATCATAATAAACTCCATTTAATTTCAAATTTATATCTTTTGTTTCATGGTTTAGTACTTCTTTGAATTGCACTGACTTATATACAAGTTTTACAATATATAATATTCTTAATGCATATATATATAATTATATTAATAATTAGTAAATTCTTAATCTAAAATTAAAAAAAATGGGAACAATGGGGATCGAACCCATGACATTAAGATCTTCAGTCTTACGCTCTCCCAACTGAGCTATACTCCCAAAGTTAATAGTTATCCAGCTTTTCTCTTAATGAAGTAGCCAAATATAATTATTTAAATTATTCTTTGATTATAAATATAAATCCTTCTATTTTATAAATCTCTGTAATAAAGTTTAAATCAAACTAAAGATTAACACAATCATAAGATGCTTTTAAAGCGATCTATCTAAATAAATAAGTTTGTTTAATAGCATTTGAAAAATACAATTCACTAATTTTATTCAATCAATCTTTATAGATTATTTACTGTGATCTTTTAATATAGTATTACTGAGTTTTGAGTTGCTTTTTTTTGATTATTATTATTGCTTTAGACTTTCATCAAATGAATCACCATAAAAACAATTTGGGCTCCAAATTTATGGTTATGAATGCTTATGCATTTCACTAACTAATATGTAATTTATACCTGAAACCTAAGATTTACGATGGGTGATCATCAAAGAATCCAGGTGAATACTTATTAGGTACAAAGATTTTTAAAGCTTAGAGTCTGTTTTATTAATTCACTTTTTTTTGCAAACCAGTCTAAGAATCCAATAGTATTTTATATCTTTATTCAGATAGTTATGTATTGTATTGATTCCAATACTCCTAAGATTGCTTTTCTTTTTTACTTAATTTATCTTAAGGAATATCTCCAAAGCATCTTCCATCCAAAAGTTAGTTTTTTCCAGTCTTTACTAGAGAATAAGAACTCATCTTTACTATCTTTTAGACCCTTCTCTAAATTTCTTTGAGGAGCAATAATATGTCGTTTTAGATAATCATCTATCATTGGTTCCTTGCATAAAAATATATCTAAAGTCTTCCCTAAGGTTTGCCCTTACAATTTACTTTGTGAATTGAATACTAAACTTGATTACAAATAACACCTTTTCTTTCAATGACCTTATATTTCTCTAATTATGCAATTTCTTTTTGTTTTTTTTTCTTCGTATCCCTGTAACTGGAAATAATTTCCTTTTTATGTTATTCATTTGAAGATCTAAGTATCTCTTGTATCTCAGATATACGAAGAGGAGGCAAAGTGTACTTTTAATCTATTTGATTCATTGATAACCTATAGTTGTTTTATTAAAAGAATATGACAATATTATTATATATATTATATCGAAAGAGCACAAAAATATTTTAGTAATTCAGACAATTATGATTGTTTAACCGCATGGCAACAATACAAACACATACTGATGAACAATTACCTAATTGATGTGCAAATATTATATTATAGAATAAATCAACGAAAAAGTGCCTCAAAGCAACCTCTGTTTGATTTGGCTCTTCAATATATTTTTAATGATGTCTATACAAAATAAGCTAATTGGATGTCAAATGAAGTGAATTATGAATTGATTTCCTCATCAAATAAGGATCACATTGATAAATTTTCAACATCTGATTAATTGGCAGGACAAGAATCCTATCATCTGTTTGTTTAGTGAAAAATCAATGAAATTCCTTGAGATTGGAATTATAAAACATTTGAGGACAAGATAAAGGTTGAAATATTATATTTAAATTAAACATGTTATCCACTTTTTCTAGAGAATTCTTAAGGTTGAAATGATTACTGCTAGTTGGTACTTCAATTTAAGGAGATAGAAATTTATTGCAAGATTCAAATTAAGATAGCATAGCTTATGCTTGAAGATAATTATACTGATATTTAAAAAATAACTTCAAAAAATACATACTATATTTAAAAAGTGTCATTGTTGGTGATCATTGGCTTTAATGATTTTAACAATATTGCCTCCAAATTTTTCATTTGACTTAAGCCAGTTAAAACTTTTTAGATATTTTATATTAGATTATATAAAATATTATATTAAAAAGTATTTATTAATATAACAGTAACATAATAATACGTCAGAAAAGTAAGAATTTATAAGTTCTGATTTAACGTATGAATTTTATAAATTGCATCTTCATATCCAAAAAATATATATTATAATGCAAAATCAAGTTGTTTAAAAAGGAATATCAGAAATCTAGAAGTACTCAAAGGCTCTGTTGGGAAACAAAAACTATGTGTCAAAGAAGCTAGCCCAAGATCCCGACTATTTCTCCAAGTTAGCAAAGGGCCAGAGTCCAAAATATCTGTTAATCGGATGTTCTGATTCTAGAGCTCCTCCAAATGAATTGACAGAGACAGATCCAGGAGAAATCTTCATCCATCGTAACATAGCCAACGTGGTTAATATGACAGATTTGAACGTAAGTGTTTCCTCTTAGCCTTAGTTAAATTGCGTGGTCCAATATGCCGTGGAACATTTGAAAGTCCATAACATCATTATTATGGGTCATACATTCTGTGGTGGAGTAAAGGCAGCCATGAATTAGGACTCAGTAGGTGGTTTATTGGATCTGTGGCTCAATAATATCAAACATGTGTATGAGAAGAATCAACATCTTGTGAATTAATTCTAGGATGAGAATGACAGAGTTGCATGTTTATCATGCTTAAATGTCAGAGAATAAGTGCTTAATATGTGGAAGAATCCAATTGTCTAGAAGTCTTGGCAAAATGGACATCGTATCTAATTTTCATTAATTTACTAGCTGTTATGATACATGGATGGTTATTCAGAGTCGAAACAGGCTTTATTGAAGAACTATAAATTGATGAGAGCATCCCTGAAAATTTGTCGAATGTGTTCAGGTTGCAATTCAAGAATGCTTAACAAGCAACACAAAGTTAAAATCAAGATGATAAAGATGAGAAAAATGTGCCTCCTTCAAACAGTGAGAAATATCAGCAAATGCAAAACAAATTAGAAAATGAATTCAGAAAGCTTTCACCTGACTCCTAAGATTCTAATCAAGAACCTTAGAAGGACGTGGTTAGCTAAATTTCTGGTCTTCTTTAAGATGACCCCAATTTTAAATAAGAAAATAAATGATTTATTATTATATATAAATTCATCAATAAAATTATAGTATAATAGAAATTGATTATGAAAGCAGATAATTCTAAATGTTTTGGATGCAGTAAGAAGGAAGTAGAATACTTATAGATCGAGGACACGTAATCAAGTTATGCTTTGTGTGACACTTGCTATAAAGATAAAAAAGAAAATATTAAATCAAAATATTTAACAAAAGATAGCTTCCTTAAAAGGTATGAGGAAAAACTTAAGAAAGGGTTCCCTAATTATTTTAAGATGCTCTAATTTAAGTAGAATATTGATAAACTAAAATTATGGGAAAAATAAATTCATCTGGAAGATGCTTTAGTATTTATTAAAAATAAAAACTACACCTAATAGAACTTCTAACTTTTGGGAACCTTTTTTTAGAAGAAGGGAAGAAATATGGATAAGGTGGCTAACTAGTTATTAAATTTCTTGAATGCCAATAAGTTCGATATATCAAATCCTATTCAATTTACGGAACAAAACAAAAACGACAAATTTAAAGATAGATTCTATAAGTATTTGTAGGAGATCATTTAAAAATAATAATTCTAGGATATAATAAAATATATTGACGCTGAGATTGAAAATAAATTATCTAAAATTCCTCAAGAATTTTAAAAAGTGGGAAATGAATTTAAGGATGAAGCTGATGAGTAAGAGCAAAATAAATATTTTGGTTATATAAACCTTTATGATTTCAAAAATGGGAAAGGTATTTTTAAAAGAAAAGATATAATTTATTATGGAATTTTTGAGTGTGATATTTTTAAATATGGAGTAAAGTTTGAATAGATCTCATAAGATGAGGGTCAGTTCTTCTTTGGATAATTTGTTAGGGAAGAAATTCAAGGGTTTGGCAAGATGCTAGCATATCAACTTGACAATTAAATTATGTATTAAGAGTATGAGGGAAATTTTGAGAATGGATTGAGACATGGAAAAGGAAAGTTTACATGGAAACAAAATAATAAAACCTTAATATATGAGGGAGATTGGTAAAAAAACTTATAACATGGGGAAGGCAATATTACTAATTTAAGTAGTAGTAAGAATGTTCAATATGAAGAAGGGAAATTAAAAAAAGATTAATTATTTCAAACATTTGGTTAATAAATGATGGGTTTCTAACCAAATTTTCAAAGCTTTGATCAGTCCTAAGCCCTAAAAAGTCAAAAAATATCACCTTAAATTGGAACTCCTTTTCAAAATCCCGCTTTATCTAATGGCTTGAATCAAATTCAAACTACTTAACCAGTTCCTGGAAATATTAATAAGATTCAAAGTATACAATAATAAAATTAAAGACTATCAACATTTCAAGTGGCAAACTTAATTGACTCAAACAGGTAAATACAGTAATTTAATACAGAAACTATTAAATTCTAAACACCGAATTTTTCAATTGGTACCTAAATTCAATAATAATAAATATCAAGCGATTCAACAAAATAAATGCAGTAATTTAGCTCAGAAATTAAATTTAATAAAAAAAATATGTAGACTACTATTTAACCCAATTAATAATCCGTTGATCAGCAAAATTTTAAAAGTCCTTGTACATTATAGATTGATGCTTTCAGAGCTTAAACATAAACATTTCAATGTAATCCCCACACTCAAGCTGCGAAAAATTATGATATCACTGTAAAACAAAACATCGGTGGAATATCAAATCGATAAACTATGAGTTATAAATGATATTTTAACAGTCGAGAGGAATATATTGTCATAGATTAATTTAATTATAAAAATTTCATAAATCTAAGCGCTTACTAATCTTTTCCAATAATTATGCTTCTGTTAACATTTGCATTTCTTCATAAAATTAATTAAAATCCATATTTATATCTTTAAATTCTAAATATGGATCCAAGCAAATTACAAAAAACCATCCTAACAAAAGTAAATCTTTATATATAGGATCCGAATCCTTGGTTTATTTAATAGAGGTTTTAATAATTTCTAAGCATTCTTGTATAACTTGTTGATACAGTTATTAGAAGAAAGTGTTATAATCGAAGTTTACATCTAAGACTTATTTTACTTCTGAAGCCCTTTTGTTATCAGGTTGAGAAATTTCTTTGTCAATGATTTGTTATTCCTTCTTATAAATTTCCAAATAGAAATCTTCAGTATGTTAGATGTCATTCTTGATAACAGTTAATATTGTCTGATATTCCTAACTTATCAAGTACCTACCCCAAGTTTCTCTGTCAAATTTATCAGGATTGGTGGACATTAATTGGTCAAGCATTCTTTTTAGGTGTACATTTTGATTTTTTGAAAGACAGAAGATGGTAGAATAATATAATTCTTGAGTTAACTTAAGCATTCCTTAATGTTACATTTTGATTATTTTTTGGATCACATAATTGAAGAAGAAAGCAATGTTTCTTTCAAACAAAAAGAATGTGTTGTATTTCAACATGGCCTTTCTAAGTTTTTATTCAGTCTCATATTAATTAATAATTTTCAATAGCTTTAAAAGGAATAAATAAATGAGATACTTTTTCATCGTTGATATCATCAATGGATTATTTCTTGTCATTACTTAGAGTTAATTGAGGAGTTTGTGCTTCTTAAGGAATCTATTCAGGCTAGTCTAAATAACCGACAACTAGATTCGTTTCTAAGTATAATTTATTGAGACTCTCTGAACTTGCCAATTCATCCTTCTCCTTCATCAATTAATTCAGATTCTTTCTTATTTGAACCTCCTAGATCTGTATGATTTCATGATTGAAAATTTATTCCCATGAATATCTCTCCTAAAAATTGTAACTTCCTATATCCTTACATTCTCTTAAACTACTAACATATGCTTTAATAGTTGCTTGATTTTATCACTTCGCACAGGAGCATCAGGGAAAACTAATGTATTTTTCTTGATATTCTAAAGCATTTTGTATTGATCGTCTCCCTCCCAAGGGAGCTTTCCGTAGAGCATTTCAAATAGCAACACTCCCATTGACCATACATCGCATTTAGAGGAAAACGGTTGTCCCTCCAATAACTAAGGGGCCATGTAAAAGGGAGATCCTACTCTCGAATAATAGGCAGGGTCTATTTGATTTAACTATTGATTGTACCATTCATTTCAGTGTCAATGACTCTAGCAAAACCAAAATCAGTAATTTTAGCTACTCCTTAATGCAACAAGATATTAGCTGGTTTGATGTTTCGGTGAATTATTTTGAGTTAATGCAGGGTTCGGAATCCTTCTACCAGGTGTTTCAAAAAGATGGCTGCCTCAAACTATGAAATTAAAATATATATATAAAATTGTTGTACTTCACTTAATCTCCTGCAGTATTTTGTTGATAAGTATTTCTTCAAATCGCCATCATAACAATATTCCAAAAATAGATACAAATTATGAGGTGTTCTGGTAACATCATACAATTTAACAATATGAGGATTATTTGCGGATTACAAAATGGAGATCTCTCTTTTTATGTATTCCACCGTCTTCGCTGAGTCTTTGATAGTCTACAATCCATATTCTTATTTTCATACATCAATTGGTATCATCTTAGCAGCAACTTGCTTTGTTTCATCATCTTTTTAAAATCCTCTAAACACAGTGCAAAAAGTGCCGCTCCCCAACTTCTTATTCACAATAATGTATTTATCAATTTATTTTGTTAACCATTCCTCTTACATTTTGAAAATAAAATAATTGTATTTTTCATTACAATAACGAATCGTACTACAGAATTAGAAATGCTTAAAGAAATCATCTATTCAAATACCAAATCTATTACCCATATCTACTGATGGGTCCTTTGAAATGACCTATTTTCTACAACTCAAAGTCTCTCTAAATGACTCAATTCTGAATTAAACGGTAATCAAAATAAGCCCCATTTAGTACATTCCTTATTTAAAAATCAGATCAAACCTATTTTAACTATTAAAGAGAGAAATGATCCTCTAGACACCTAAATGTAATAAATTGTATCTGCAGTGAAAAAAAATCTTTCGCCAAAATACTTCATATTATTACTCGGCTCGAGACACAAATGAAGTACCAAAATAAAATCTATATTAAGCAAAAACGTAATATAGTCAAACTAGAGTTATTAAAATTATTAGATTGAATTCAATTCATTTGATTTCAAATAAGAAGGATCAGTAAATTGCAGTTTGTAATAATTATTTCAAAAAATGGATATGAAATGAATTTATAAGTTGTTCATCTGAATTAACTTTGGTATATGAGATACTGGAAATTTCATAAGGTTGTACAAAGTGTAAATACATTTAATAAGCATTTTTACAAAGATATATTTAATATTAATAATTTATATATGTAATATACTGTACTTTCATAGAACTATGTCAGATCATTCTCTTGGCTAAATCATTTATGAGATCTTCTCTATTTCCCCAATCACCTTAATTAATAAATGATCTTCTTTTAGCTATGAATCCTCCTCTTGGTCCTCTTAATTTGAAAGCCCTATTGAAATTGTTTATTTAATATTGTACCATAAAAATCTGTTGGCTTCTTTGAAGTGTGGTCCAACTGTTGTGATTTCATGAATGAGATCCTCAACACTGTGAATTTCAGATTTTCCTAATTGCTCTTCAATGATGTTGTTAGAAGTCAAAGGAATTCTTTACCCATTTATTTTAGCATAGCCTCTCTTGTAAATCAAGTTCTTTATTAAAGTTCTTGATGGGTATCCATAAGTGATGTAGGGTTCAACCTTTCTAATCATTTCAATGGTGGCTTTGTTGATTCTGACAAAAGCAGCATTATGAAGTTATCTCAATTTAAGAAGTCTAAGAGTTTGTCTGACTTATGGGTTTAACGTGTTGATACTTAAAATATACGCAATTAATACCCTCTGATTCTAATAACAAGCATCAACTTGGCTTCTGCTGGTACATAGAAACCACCATCAGCCTTAGCCTTGCGTATATTATCAACTAAACTTTTATCCGTTGCCTTATATTCTGCTTCGTAGGCCTGAGCATTCTTTTCCCATGATGCTCTTGCTTACTTATTGGCAGCGAGTCTGTCAACTCTTCGTTTGGCAATGAGTGCTTTCAATTTAGAGTCTCTCGATTATCTTTTGGCAATATTTTCTGGTAATTTTTATCTTAGAATTAGTATGAAATGTACTCCACTTAGATTTATGATTTTTAGGTCGACATTATTTTTAAAGAAAATATATAAAATCTTTAATTTTGATTTAAAAAAATCGGATGATTAGTATGCATTTATTGATTTTTGTAATTTTCGAAGAAATTTGATGGAAAATGAAATTGGAACAATTAAAGAATTATTATTATTAAATGCAATGTGTAAAATAAAATTACACTTGTCATCAATTGTAAGATGATTGTATAAAAATTAATAATAGTAATATAATTTATCTGCTCTCCTAATTTATGTTTGAAGAATTTTACTAGAAATATCTAACCATAGGGTCAAATGTACCTGAAGCACAAAGATAGAAATTGAATTTCCTGATATTTGCAATTAAGAATCACTCAAATAATGAGATTGAAATAAATCCTGAAAATTATCCTGATCTTGATTTAGATGAAATTCAAGGGTTGTTTAATTTACCAATTGAGGCTTAAAAGAGCATGTTCTGTTCAGTTTTTAAAAGTTTAGAATTGGAAGATGAATCGAAGATTATGGGTGAATTAAATGTGAAAGGAGAGACCCTAGGGATTTGGAGATCAAAAAAATTAGAATTGAATTTAACTCATAAAAAGTTAATTATACCTAGAAAGGAAGGTGATGTAGAATTATAATTATCAAAATATGGAATAATGTGGATAGGTTAAAAAAAGACCAAAAGTTCTCATTATTGTTTTATTCTAATAGCCCACAATCAAGCTATATATGATCATTATAAGTAATTGATAATGGGATCAGATGATGAAGAATATGCGAAGAAATGGTTTAATCTTTTGAGTGGAATTTGTGATACAAAACCTATCTAGCCAAGAAGGATGAGTGTTGAATTTGCATAATAAACAGTATCCATTTCCCCTTTGAATAAATCTGATCAATTTGATTTGAGCAAAAGTGATAATCTTAACAACAATTGGTTAGAATATAAATCATCCAATAATTAAGATATGCAAAGAATTTCAGAATAACCTGAATCCCCTCAAAATTTAATAAAGACCAACAAGTAAGAGTTCCTTACTAATTTTAAATAAGAGGAAATACCCAACTTCTAAGTCTTCACTCCATAAATTGAATAACCTCATAAAGTACCTGCATATTTATCTGATATGACTGTAGACAAATTTAAGTAAGGAGAATTTTATAGAGTAGGGAATAATGTTTATAAAAGTGTATCCAAAAAGGGATTGTACTAGGCTCAAATTATTTTAGAACATGATATTGAAATAGTTCGACATTTTCTGTATGAAGGCTTAGGGTTTAATAAATTCATTTCAACTGAATGGACAATGTTTGATTATTAGGATTACAAGGTTGTAGATCAGATTAGAATCAAATCAATATTTGGATTCGAGAAGAAATAATCTTTGTATCTCATGAGATACAAGGCATCTGATTGTGTTATAGAAAAATAACTCAATTCAGTAAATCCAATGTATTCAATTGCCAAATTCTTCAGGAAATCAATTTAAAAGTATTCCTTTAGTGGAATTTAGAAAAGAAACCAAAATTATTCAACTGATTCTATGCCTCAATAAACAATAATTTAGATCATATGTCAACTTGATGATAGTGTCATATTTGATGCTTAAAATATATCCTTTATGGAATAATATAATTGTTTGGCAGATCATATAGATTACGTCATAAATTTTAGAGATCTACACTTTGAACAAAAACAATTCTAAACAGCCGTGTCTTTGTCAAATCATTCAGAGGATCTTTTTGTATAACAATTCAACCAATCAATAGAATTAGAAAACAAGGTACCCAACAATCTAATGGAGCTTTTAGAATTTGTTTAAAATAATAAACACTGGGATGTCTGTTTGAACAAGGAATTTTAAAGGGAGCCCATTAAAGTAGAACCTAATTTTCAGAAATCAACGTCAGAAGGGCATTTCTTATTTAAAAACTATTGGAAAGTGGATGAAAACTAAGGAGGTTTGTTATATGTTGATTAGGTTGGATTAAGAGAATAAAAGAAAGTATTTACTTATTTGCTGTCATAAATAGGATCAAATTTGGCTACTGGAAAGTCAATAACGAACATTAGCTTACCAGTTTATGTATTCGAAAAATAAAGTAATCTTTAGAGATATGCCAATTCTCTTACTTACTTATAATATTTAGATGAAGCAGTCTCAATGGATTATCTATTTCAATTAAAAAACTTCTTGCCTTATGGATATGGCACAATCATCTTATATTTGAATATGTGGAAACCATTTAATCCTATTCTTGGAGAAACATACTCAGGATTTATAAATGGTTGCCCTGTATACGCAGAGTAAGTGTCGCATCATCCACCAATAAGCAATTTATTGATTTATGGTAAAGGATACAGGTAAAGAATTGAGCAATTATTGTAGAGTGAATCATCGTCTAAGTACGATAGCAAGTATTTCAGCTAATTCAGTCAGTGGAATCAATTAGGGATATACAAAAGTGTAATTCTACGAGACTAACAACGAACTGATCTTCTTGCCTTGTTCTGGCCTATACACTGGAACATTGTATGGGGATAAACTATTTTAGATGGTGGGGAAATTCCATGTTATTAATTTGAAACACAAATTGGTAGCAGAAATTAAATTGAATCCATATCCAGGTTCCATTTGGAAAAAAAGGAGAGAACATTTAGATGATTATTATGAAGGTTCCATTTATGAAGTGAATGATGATTTTGTTAAGAGATTCCAAAAAGATGGATACTTGAAATTCAAAGAGTTGAGGCAGAATGAAATTATGAGGGAAATTTCGAAAATTAATGGAGTGTGGCATAAAAATATGTGTATAGACAACAAAGAAATATGGAATATTAATACAGAACCTTATGTATTAGAAGATGAAGAGTATGTTATTGTAATAATTGTAATATAGTCATCCCTTGGCATCAGATTCGAATTTTAGGGAGGATTTGATTGCATGGAAGACTGGAAATTTTGATTTGGCTATGAAGATGAAGACCAAATTGGAAGAGGCACAAAGAGCAGATGCTAAATTAAGAAAAAGGCGTTGAATGATCTTAATGTGATAATCTTAATACTCATAAAAGTTATTGTGGTTTACCAAACAGATTTTCCAATACTTTATAAGGTCCACGTTGATCTACAAACAAATGCAATTTTAAATTGTTTCTATTGTATTCTCGTATATCAGATACGCCAATCATGTTTTTCAAATACTTCTCCAACTCTATCAATTCTCTATCATCTTTATTATCGTAGAATGGAAGTATAGGTATTCCATTCTCTATTTGCCATGCATAAGAATACGCTGCATTATCAATCAAAGCTACTTAACTCAATTGTCTATTGGTATTATCGCAAAATATTGTTAAATCTTTAGTGTAAAGGGAAGTATTGGTTTGAGTGCAACTGTCTCTAAATAATCGATGACTTATAATGGTAGAATCGGGATCTAAATAATTGCAAACCTAATCAATTACTCTTATTACCTTTTCTGCATAGCAACTATGTGAAGCTGTAAAGACGATAATTTCAAAATAATTGGAGAGATTTTTTAACATTTCTTTTGCATAAGGTCTTACATTGATGCCAGCTCTGACTATCTGATGTTTGGAAACATTGATTTCCAAGACTACATCACAAGGGATTTAGGGTGTTTCATTGCAGTGGACCAAGGTTTCGTCTAAGTCAAAAAACAAAGTAAATTATCCTTATTTTGTTATGATGTAATATACTTTAATGTTTTTTGGGTAATTTATGAGATTTATTATAGTCATTATTATTTTGTGGAAAAAATCTACAATTTAATCCTTAATAGGTTTGGTGGAAGTGTTCGCGATACATGCGAGAGAAGTAATCAGAACCATTGGTATCGAAAGCCCTTTAGAGTTTGCTTAGATAATAGATGTCGTTTCTTTTGTTTTAACTTTGTGATCTAGGTTTTGCTGAAGGACTTGCGATACGAAATGATTGCAATCGAGATTAAGGAGTGAGAGAGTATGGCTTGATTTGAGTGGGCACATCAATTTTAGGATCAATGGCAATTACTTTTTTTTTTAATGGTGATGAAATCAATTTAGTATCAACTTTAGTAACTAGGGTATTCAACACAGCATCATTATCCATTGACTTTTAGTTTCTTTTCTCTTTGATTTTGTGTTTCAAAGCATCATTATTTAATAACTAAGCTTACCCATAATCAGGTGCTTTCATATTGGCTAGGCTCAGAAAAAATCCACCTGGCTAATCAGAATTCTTGCTAGATGATGGGTACATTTTGCCCTTCCTCAGATCCAGTATCTAAGAATTGGTAATGCGATCATGTCTTGAAAACTTAGATCCATTCCTAGATAAACTCATTGAAATTATATTTTAAAAAATATTATTATCCAATAATTTGTTCATTCATAATAATATCTACTAACACTGAGTTAGAAATTTCATTTACTCTTTTTTGTTGTCTAAGGGTGTTATTATTTTATGAGATCAAGTCCAAAAGTCCTATTTTAAATTCTCCGAATTGACATTTATTTAAATATACCAAATGTAATTACTTAGTAATTAAATAAATATATTAAAAGTTATTTTAAGAACATTGATCTTGAATATTCAATTCTTGATTTAATTGTTAATATATGTTCTTGCATTCTGATTTACGATCATTTTATTTTATCAAATTGAAAATAATAAACCATGGGATGTGTATCAACTAAGGATTAACACATTAAGCAATTCAATATCAAATTACCTGAGTCAAGTACAGCATTAGATGTCATATTAGTAAATCAAACAACTCTTTAAACTGATCTGGATTTATCTGACTCTCAAGATCAATATATGTAAATTGGAATGAATCTCAGCAGCATTGGAGAGCTAAATCCGAAAGTTTACCTAGTACTTTAAGAATTGGGGGATTTATTCCCTAATCTATCTGGTCAGTATTTGCTGATGCCAGATCAAAGCATTTATTTCGGATAAACATTAAATGGAAAGAGAAATGGTTAAGGAAAACAGCATTGGCAGAAGGAGGGCAATTTATTAGAAGGGTATATCCTATGTTCTTATATTATAAGGATTTGGATTGACAATCAATTAAATGGAAGAGCCAGAATGATTTATCCAAATGGGGACTAGTAATACATTTCATTCAAATTTGTTTAGTTTCGATGGAGATTTTATTAACAATGTGGCTAATGGCTTAGGCAAATTTGTCAATTCTAGAAAAGAAGTCAGAGGATTTTGGATTAATAATAAATTAATTGGAGAAGGCACTGAAATACGTAAAAATGGAACGATTTATACCGGACAATTTTAAGACGGCAAAATTCATGGCCAAGGTAAATTTGAATTTGCGAATGGCTGTGTTTATAAGGGTAATGTGCATAAGGGAAAGATGCATGGCAATGGAGAGCTTATCTTTAATGACAAAACCAGATATATTGGGGAATTTAGAAATAATTGCATTCAAGGCAGAGGGATCTATGAAGCCAGTACTCCTATTCATGGTTGGGTAAGAATATCAAATTCAATTTCAGTTTCACTCTAAATATGAGAACTAAACCATGTTTCTCTACTTCTTTAGACAAGAAACCCCAGTCTTAATAGACCACCAAGATTGCACTCTAATTTAAAAATAATTAAGTACTTTTTTTGATTGAAAGTCACTCTATTCTTGCTTCTATAAATTTATTATTACTTCAATATGTTTTGTTTTTCATCTAAAAATATTTGAATCCTAAAAATGATCCTCTCATTCTAAGGTACATTTTTTATGATATATTCTTGAGAATTATTAAACTTAATTGCACATCTACGTACTATAAATAGAAAATAATTAATTCAAAATTCCATTTTAAATTTTGTTTTACCGCATTCATTAATAGAATTAAGTTCAGAATTTAACAAACTCTCCGCAAAGTAATAGAATATGAATACATATTATAACTCTCGCTCACTACTAAGAAATCAGATACCTTATTAATATTTAAAAACTGTACTCCGTTTTGATGTTAGCTTTATAAAAAAAGTAGAAAATCTACATCGTAATTTAAGGTGCTTTAGTTCTCTAAAATATAAATAATGTACCCAAGCCAAATAGGCAGGAAATCTGAATGAGGAATCCACCAATTTTAATTCCATTAACGATGCATCAATTTTAAATTGCAATTCTTATTATAATGAATCTTCCCAACTGCCTTAAATTGACTAAGAATAATAAGAACCATCCTAGTCAGATGATTTTTATGCAGTTGAGTATCTATAACTCAAAAGATAATTCAGAGAGAATTCTAATGTAAGTGAATAGGCTAATTTTACTATAATTAGAGAATTTGAAAAGGGGTTACAAGTGTAACATTATTAGACCTATTAAGAAGAAGTAGATTTTTAAGGATAATAATATTAGAGTTAGAATGAACTTAAATTTATTGAATACTGATTTTTTCAATATAGAATAAATAAAAATATCAATGTTCTGCACTTTACAAAATCCTATAATTCAAATAACAATTAAACAATTCTTTAAACCAAACTAAACAACAATTTCTCAAATGAGAACTTTTACAATAATTTCATAAATGCTAGATTATAGGATATTCTTTCATCTGAAATTTGAAATTCAATCCTTATTTTTTGGATAAAGAAAATAATACGGATTTTATATAAGTGATAAAAGAGAAATTGATAATTAAAAAAAATAATTTTTATTAAGGAAAAAGGGTTATTCCAAGTTATTATAGCTTATTTAGAAGTACTATATTTTAAATTGAATTTTTATTCACAGTTCAAATAAAATATAGTATTTATCAATTCAATGTTACACAAATTTGAATATGCATTCCCTAACTCTCNATGGTTGGGTAAGAATATCAAATTCAATTTCAGTTTCACTCTAAATATGAGAACTAAACCATGTTTCTCTACTTCTTTAGACAAGAAACCCCAGTCTTAATAGACCACCAAGATTGCACTCTAATTTAAAAATAATTAAGTACTTTTTTTGATTGAAAGTCACTCTATTCTTGCTTCTATAAATTTATTATTACTTCAATATGTTTTGTTTTTCATCTAAAAATATTTGAATCCTAAAAATGATCCTCTCATTCTAAGGTACATTTTTTATGATATATTCTTGAGAATTATTAAACTTAATTGCACATCTACGTACTATAAATAGAAAATAATTAATTCAAAATTCCATTTTAAATTTTGTTTTACCGCATTCATTAATAGAATTAAGTTCAGAATTTAACAAACTCTCCGCAAAGTAATAGAATATGAATACATATTATAACTCTCGCTCACTACTAAGAAATCAGATACCTTATTAATATTTAAAAACTGTACTCCGTTTTGATGTTAGCTTTATAAAAAAAGTAGAAAATCTACATCGTAATTTAAGGTGCTTTAGTTCTCTAAAATATAAATAATGTACCCAAGCCAAATAGGCAGGAAATCTGAATGAGGAATCCACCAATTTTAATTCCATTAACGATGCATCAATTTTAAATTGCAATTCTTATTATAATGAATCTTCCCAACTGCCTTAAATTGACTAAGAATAATAAGAACCATCCTAGTCAGATGATTTTTATGCAGTTGAGTATCTATAACTCAAAAGATAATTCAGAGAGAATTCTAATGTAAGTGAATAGGCTAATTTTACTATAATTAGAGAATTTGAAAAGGGGTTACAAGTGTAACATTATTAGACCTATTAAGAAGAAGTAGATTTTTAAGGATAATAATATTAGAGTTAGAATGAACTTAAATTTATTGAATACTGATTTTTTCAATATAGAATAAATAAAAATATCAATGTTCTGCACTTTACAAAATCCTATAATTCAAATAACAATTAAACAATTCTTTAAACCAAACTAAACAACAATTTCTCAAATGAGAACTTTTACAATAATTTCATAAATGCTAGATTATAGGATATTCTTTCATCTGAAATTTGAAATTCAATCCTTATTTTTTGGATAAAGAAAATAATACGGATTTTATATAAGTGATAAAAGAGAAATTGATAATTAAAAAAAATAATTTTTATTAAGGAAAAAGGGTTATTCCAAGTTATTATAGCTTATTTAGAAGTACTATATTTTAAATTGAATTTTTATTCACAGTTCAAATAAAATATAGTATTTATCAATTCAATGTTACACAAATTTGAATATGCATTCCCTAACTCTCTCTTATAATTCATTTTAGCTTTCCTCTAAATTACTTGATTGACTCTACACTTTCTTTTATAAAATAAAAAATCAGCTGAAAATTATATTGTTTTTATTAAGTGTTAATCAAATGATAAATTTATTCTTATTTCTGATTATCTAAACAAAGTTGGTTGATGGTTTTGAGACAATTAAAATGAATTCATCTAATCAATATTTAAGGAGATTAGTTTAATTGAAAGATGATGAATAGACAAGAAATAGTTGTTTGACATATGGAATCTGGTCAAAGTATAACCCTCTTAGTACAATCACTCAAATGGGGAAATTTGGATTGTTTGATAGTCATTGCTTTCATTTGCACAATGTAATTGATTAGGAATCCCAAAGTTTAAATCTCGTTTATTACGACTGCTTAAACTCTGCTTCTAAGAAAATAACAAAAACACTTTTATTTATCAATAATCGAGATGAATAGAATAGATTTGAAATAACGATAGATCCATTTGACTACGAAAATACTTGGTTTTATTTATAAATTATATCCTGGCCATTATAAGATATATTTAGATTGATAATAATGAAAAGATAAGAAATTTAGTATGAAACAACAAGATAAATGAAATACCCATTCAAAGATACAAACTTAATATTTACTTTCGGAAGTAATCTTTTAGTACGTAATTCAAGAATAAATGATCAATCAATAGGCCAAATATTTTCATATTTTCCTGGTCCTATTATTTTGTAAGATGTCTCAATTTCAAGTTTAGCCCTTGATTTTGCTTTTATTGATTCTGCAAATAAAGTATATAGTTCAATCAAGAGCTGTGTTTGTTCATCAAATTCGAAATCTTTGATAGGAGATATGGATGTTAAACAATAAGATATGAATTAATTTATTTCTGATAAAATAAATTGTGACTCGTTTGTATTAGCGGGTTGGATTAAAGTTAAGGAAATTGTCAATTAATAAGATCAATCAACTTATCAGCTAATCAAAATATAAGCGAATTTATTACATCCAACTTTCTAGAATCAAAACTTATCTCCGTTCCAACTTATGTATCATCTCAGTTAATAGAAAAATGAAATAGAAATTACAACCTATAGCTATACCTTCCCTGATGTTTCTATTGACTTTTCAAATAATCCTTTCCTGCTCTCACGGAGAATCTTAATTAAAAATAAGATCACACTCTGGCATTATCTCAAAGTTGAACTGTAAAAAAATAAACTTAACGTGGCAATAATATTTTATGAAGATAAAGATACTTTTCATTATGATGCAAATTTTTAAGTACTTTAATTTCAAAATTGTCAATTTAAGGTTTAATATGGAAATTGTTTATAAACTAAAATTAATATTTTAACCATCTTAATTAGAAATTTGGAATTTTATAATTGTTATAAAAAACTTACACAATAAAGTTGTCATTATAGTTGCTTAGAATGTGACGGTCCAACCAACCAAGATTGCTTATCTTGTTCAATTGGCTCTCAAAGAATATATCTCCCAAAATATAAAGTCTGCATTTGTCCACAAAACACAATTGATAATCAGAATCAATGCTAAGAGTATTAAAATTCAGGTTTACGATTAATAAAAAATGAAGATCCAATTACTAGTTAGGATTGTAAATACGGATACTTCGAGTTCGATGGAGATTGTATTAAATGGTATCATTTGATTTTTATTTAGTCCTTCTATGATAAAAGAGCAATTTATTAGTTGTGTTGAATGTCTAAAAAACCCAAAGACATGGTTTGAATATCCTATCTGCTATATAGTCTATGTCATTAAACCAAATATCACTTTTGATGAGGCATACATTCCATTTGGTCGAATCCACTATTATTTTGATGGAATATTACTTAACCCTATTCATAATATCCATACATCAACTTATGAAACAGATCTTAAAAATATAGATGGCATTTTTAAGGAATTTTAGTTAGCCTAAAATAATTTTCGACGCTTTTGTTAATAGATGGATTTTGCAGTAACTGATTAATTCATTTGTTATGAATGCTTAATTGATAATTGTTAAGTTTGTTAGATTACTCCTACTTCTTTTGAATGTGTAGGTTGTTATGCCAAATATGTTCTCATAAATGGTGAATGTATATAATAATCTCAAGATAATTCAATATCTACTCTCGTTTGTTTACCTCCCTTTTATTATTCATTTGAAAAATAATGTAAAATTTGTGAAATTAAATATTGCATTTATTGCTTTGAATATTCAACAAGTGATTTAAATGTATGCACTTTAGTAACGGTCTCTGATTTCAATTTAAGAAATCTGTAAAATATCAAAATAGGTTGCGCACTTTGTGAAGAAAACTATATATTCGATTTCACTCTTGGGTTGTGTTTAAAGCAAATTCCCGAAATTGATAATTGTTAAAGAACTTACATCAATTTATAGAGTCAGGAGCAATGCGTTTCATCAAAGAATCCTGATTTTTCTATTGCACCAGAAATATCTAATTGTTAGAAATATATTGACAATTGCAATTTATGTTCTTTAAATATTGAAAAAAAAATTAAATGTGTTGTGTGTTAGGATAACTATGTAATAGAAGACAATAAATGTTATTAAAATGAAGAATTTAATCTTTAAAACAATTTAATTTAGAATTATACAAATAAGATTTAAAGTTTTATTCTTTAATTTGTTCCAAACCTAAAAACAACTGTTTATAGCAAATATTTAAGTTTATTAAACTCAGATAAGTAATTTTGTGATTCTTAATGCCTGTTATGTGATATAACTATTCCGTACTGCAAATACTGCCCATTAAATTATCAAAAAAAATACATTATAACAGAGAAAGGACCAAATTGCACTTATTGTCATCCGTTGTGTTAAGTGTGTACGGCTCGTTCTACTAAAGAGATGCAAGTATGAAAATCAAACATCATAAATAGCTTAATTTTCCCAATTTCAATGTTACTCAGGACAATTAAATCTACACTAAGACATGCATAAAAGCATATTTCGACCCTTCCATCTTTTATGATCATTATTCTCAAACTGTGAAGTATTGTTTCAATCAGGATTGTAAAGATAAATATATTTTTGACGTTTCTTATCCCTCATGTGATTTTACAAGATTTAATAAAATGTATGAATCAGCAATCAATACCTAATATTGTAACTAAATTGGAATCGAGTACCTTAAAATAAATTTCACTTTTCAGGTTTTACAACCAAATTGTTATCTAACTTTGCCATTAAATTTCTCAACTCAATTAAAATAAAAAGTATTCACTATAAAAAAGGTAGAGTTCAAATTAACATCGTAAAAATATTTAGAAATTACTCTTTTTACCAATAACTCATTCAAAAATTATGATTAAGTTGAGATAAGCAATTTAGGATTTATTATTTCTGAAGACTCATACTTTCTATTCCAAAATGCAAATAACAAAATTGATTTGATACTATCTAATTTTACAATTAGGTAAAGTATTGTATAGAATATAGATTCTATGTTCAGAGCAGATATATTTGGTAATATCATCATAAATAATTTTACTGTCGAAAATAGTACCTTTATCAACTCCTCAATTTTTAATTTTTAATAAAATTAGGTTTAGGGGACAATATCTATAACAAATCTAAAATTTAAAAATTGTACAATTATAGAATCAGCTTTATTTAAAATGTCTAAAGTGGAATCCATTATTTCTTTAAATTACTTTATTTTAGATTAATCCCTGTTAAGAAATTCATCAATATTCAGTTTTTACAGCAGTTATTCCTAATAATCAAAACATCTAAACTTATTGAATACAATTATAAGAAATAGCAATTTCTCTCGATCATATTTAATAAACTGCACAAATTAAATAGAAGTAAATATGCATGATTTTCAATTCTATTTAAACTCTTTAGAAGACTCTGTCATTTTTTAAGTTAGTCATAACATTTCAATGACTAAGTTAAACATGTACCAGAATGTCCTCTCTTTCTCCTAATTCCTAACCATAACTTAAATATTGTTGAAACATCAAATTATGTGTAAGATAAATGAATTTATAGCAAATTAAAATCATTATTAGTCTTCCAATATAATTTTGATCTTTTCAACATTTTCAACAAACTCGCTTATTATCAACTTTGACAATTTTTAAATAACAGAAAATTTCAAATTATTTAAATAAAATGAAAATATTTAACTATTTTGTATGAATAGTTAAGAAATTCACATGTCAAATTTTTTAATTATTGATAATCACGATTTAGTGATATTTTACTTATCTGAAAATACTAAAATATCAATTACAAATATGACTTATAAAAACTCCATCCAAAACTTTAAAATTCCTATATCCTCAAGCTGTTTAATTACCAATAACACAAACAAGTTATTATATATTTTTGGATTTACAACCATTTACATTGCAAATGTCTAGGTCTTACAAATTCTGAGTGTTGAGGAACCTATAATCTAGATTAGTCCAAGCCAACAAAATATATCATATGTTACTCGTTAGATTCAGATAATTAATGTTACTTTTACTCAAAATATTCTCATTTAATCAACTTTAACTAATCTGATTTCTTTGTTAATTATAGAATCAGATAAAAAAGCAAATATTTTACTGTAAAATATTGAATATGAAGAAAACTTTCTTCATTCTTACACTAGTAATGCTTTAAGAGAAGCTGCTAGTCTTTTGTACATCACTTCATCGTTAAGTCAATTGATAGTTATGAATTTTTTCTGTAAAAACAATGCATTCACAAATTCATCAAATGCTTTTATCGCTATGATGTCAGCTGAGATAATTCTTATCAATTATACTATAACTAATCACAATTTTTTATCTTAATAAATATGGACGAAATATTACGAATTGCAATTCAACGAGAATCTAAATCAATAAAATCTAAATGAAATTATTTTCTAAATTTTATAGATTAAAAATATTGGAGGAGCAGGATTATTTTCAGTTAAAAACATGTCTTGTATTGATTGCTCATTTTCACAAATTCTTGCTATGTAAAGCCCTGTTTTTGATATCACAACTAGCGAAAGAGGCTTAATAAATTTATTCAATATCACAATAGATTAAATAGAGAGTAATTTATTATCAATAGAAAAAGGGTCAGGATGCATAAGTATTTATTCATCAAACAGTGATCTGAATCTAAATATAACAAACGCTGTTTTTTCAAGTATTTTTAATAGAATGGCTCCATCTATATTTACTATTAATCCCTCAAAATCGTAAAATATTATCTAACTAAAGAATACTTAGATTATAAATTGCATTTCTTTGCTCAATTAAATTATTAATGTATAATTCTCATCATCTCAAGCTAAAGAAAACATCATCTCCTTCGTAAATATGAGGATTGCTTAAAAATACGATGCTTGGTCAATTTATTTCTTAAAAATTAGAGATTTATTAATCTAAGAAGTTACAGATGCTGTAAATAATTAGAATTCTATAATGTCTTTTCAAAATTGCATGGTTTCCATAAATGATTTCTTAATAGAAGGGATTATAACGAATACTATTTTTTAATTTTCAAATACCCCAAAATTAGAGCTTTTTAATATAAAAATAGACAACATCTAAATGTTATATTCATTTAATCTAATTCAGGTAACATAAATCTAATAGATTTAATCTATAGTTTAAATAGAGCATCTCATTATAAAAAATACTTACCTTTACAAAAATGAGATAAAATCTGAATCAAATTATTAATTTCACAACTATAATATTAGAGGATGTAATATAATTTAATAAGATTCTGATAATGAGAAAGATTATTTTTATGTTTATGTTAATTCTCTTCAGCAAAATAATTAATTAGAAAGCTCTTTCTTATATTTTAAAAGCAACTCTAATCAAAATGGCTATTATTTTAATGACATTACATTTGAACATAATGATTGCAATTGGTGTAATAAGGGCTTGTTATTTATTGAAATTTCAGACTTTAATTATATTAAATTTGAGAATTTCAATTGCATTTATAATTCAATCAAACAATTTGGATGCTTGCTTTTTTCCTAGTAAACTTATTTGCAATCAAAAATCTCAATCTCTAACTCTAATTTTCTCTTTAATAATGGAAGTCAAGGCATTGGAATAACTGCTCAAAAAACAAATCTAATACTTAAAAGGTGTAAAATCTTAAACAATAGTGCAGAAACATTTGGAGGAGGTTTATACATGCAAGTATAATCATCAGCCTTTAATATCAATAAATCAATTATTATTGGTAATAAAGCTAGAATTGGAGGGGGCATTTATTTAGAAGATGATTGCAAACTAAATAGTAATAATTTCTTAGAATCATTATTATTTTTCAATTCAGCCGAAGTATACGGGAATAATCTAAAAGAGATTCCAAATCATTTAGCGTTTTTTGTGAATTATATACAGAGTCCTACTGAATCTGTTTTTTTGAATAACGAATAGACAAATAAATTGAATTTAAAAACATACAGAATGGTTGAATAGGGAATCGAAATCTTTGCAAAAGATCTACTCATCCCAAGCAATCAAATCTTATAAACATATCAGATTTTTGACATACATAATTCAAATTACAAGCCATATATAAAAGATATTAGCCTGCATTTTGAAAATAGTAGAAATGAAAAAATGCATAATTTAGCCAATTCATCTTGTGAAGTAAAGGATAAGATTATTGCAAAAGACTTTTAAGAATTAGCAGATAGATCAAATTATTAAACTTTGGACTTTGATAACGAAAATAGTTCTTTCCCTTTTGGGTCATTATCATTCAGTTTAGATCCATATTAACAAAACTACAGTCATCTATAGATTGAAATAAGCTGCTAATTATAAGAGTCTAGTAAGATTCTGACATATCTACTATATGCAAAAAGCCTTAAATGTTAATTAGGAGAATTCTATGTAGATAATGGATGTTAATTATGTTAATCCAATTAAGGGTATTATTCTGTGATCTATGATGCAACAAAGTGTTCTATTTTTGATAAGGAGAAATACTCTGATATTACCTCAAATATGATTAAATTACTACCAGGATTTTGGAGACCCAATAATTTTTCTGATTATGTCGAACCTTGTTTCAAGAATCCCTTATTTTGTTTAGGTGGGTGGCAGGTTTCCCATAATACATGCTAGTTAGGACATATAGGAGCTTTATGTGAAGAGTGCGATATATATAATATTAGGGGACATGGGAGTTATTTTAAAAATTAATGGGATGAAAATTGTCTAAAATGTGAATTTTAATGGAGTAACACGTTGCCAATTCTGATAGGCTGTCTTTGGTAATATATTTAACTATTAATGAAAGGACATTTATATCTATTTCGATGTCATTGAGAAGTATCTCTAGATCTAATTAATTATATGCATCATTAATAATTGCATAGAGATTTAGTAAAATCCTATTTAAATTAAATTAAGGTAAATTGTATTGATAGATTTTAGATCAGGAGAGTATTTAATTAAAAATGATGATAAATTATATATGGATATTTAGTGTCATTTTTACATTTAACATCAGATTTTAATTTTCCTTACTTTTTGTTGAATAAACCAGTGATACCTCTTATTTTATTGCAAAAGATTTCGACTGTTAAATATCTTCTATCGAGCAAATTCCTCTTGTTTATTTGAAAATTTTCGCTATGTTAATTTTTATGATAATCCTCTTCATCCTCACAATTGCAGGATCTATTTTATATTCATTAACGATTAAACAAAAATTAGATCTGAGTCTCCTTTCAAATACTGCTCTCTACCTATATGTTTTTAATTATGCAGGATTAATAAAGATGTATATTTATGATTTAAACTTTATAGGTTTTCATCTTTGATTTCAAAAAGAGAAGTATCCAAAAACTCTTATATTCAAGGAGATTTATCGTTGAAATATGGATCTCAAGATCATTATTTGTGGATGTATTATTTTATCATTCCTGGATTGTTTGTTATTGGTGCATTGATTCCTATCATGATATTTATACTTTTGAAGATAAATAGAACTCGTTTAGAGAAGATTAAGCTTAGAAGACACATATCTTATTTGTTAAATGAATACAAATAGGAAAGATATTATTGGGAACTCATAAAACTATTCAAGAAATCAATCATAATATTTATAATGACAAATTTTGAAACTGATATTGTGTTGAAAGCATCGTTGCTAGGATTATGTTTACTAATATATCAAATATTGGCTACATTTCATTAGCCATTCACTATTAAAAAATATAATAATTTAGACCTATAAACTAGTCAAATATGTTCAATTTCTATATTTTTAGCTATAACCAAATATATTTGTGAATAGAACAATTATGTCTCTCCATCCACATTGCTCTAAATTCTAATAATAGGATGTGTAATTAAACTTTGTTATCCATTTGTTTTTGGAATTGCAAGAAGTTATTTTAAAAAGTATTAGTTCTTCTTTTTGAATAAATTATATTCTCTTCTAAATTAGAAAGTACCAAATTTCTTATTTACAATAATGTTGATGTAGAAATTAGAAAAAGAGAAATTAAGGAAAAAGAAATTAAAGAATCATATCTCCAAATTGAAAAGTCATTTAATTTATTACTCAAAATTATAACTAAGAAACTCAAAACAAATAATGTCAGGTTTTTACTAAAGCTCATTAAGTTCAAGAACAAATAGTGTAAAATCAAGTAGAATAGGAATTGAAAAACTATATTTTGATCACACTGAACAAGAGGAATTTACTAAAAGATGAATAAATAGTTCATATCAATTACAATTTTAGAAAAAATATTGAATTTTTATTTTTTTCTACTTCTTAAAGATTTGACTATTGATTTTCTTATCAAATCTAGGAATTATATTTGATTTATTTATTTAGAAATAATCAGCTTTATAAATTATTTCCATTGATAAAAAACCTTTTCATTTAAATGTTGGTTTAAATAAAAGTAAAATTGTAATTGCTAGATTTTTCATAGATCTATGTATGCTTTAAGTGGTAATAGATTTATTTTAATTATCACTAAGTTTTTTCTTCACTTAAATATTCAATAAAATTATGGTTATTTAGTTTTTAAATAAAGGAATTGACAAAATGAAATGCAACTTGTTATATTTATATAGAGTAAATTTATAAAATAAATCTAAAGGCTTACTTAAAATAATTTACATAAATATGGGCTGATATAATAATTCATTTTATGAAATACGATATTTAATAATGTTCATCATTTTTATGGGCCTTAGAGTAAATCTACTTTCACCCAACTTTAATTCAATAAATCTCCTTAAACATAGTTACTTTTAACATCATTAAAATATTTTTTATCTTCATATTTTTCATATTTTCCTTTGGGTTATTTTTATGGTTTGTTATCATTCCAACTATTACTTTAAAATTAAGTATTAGAACTCGATTTATTTTCATATCCTTATTTTTGTGTTGTGATATTAGAATCTGTTTTGGATTGAGAATTCATATTTTATGGGTTCTCTACCAAATGAAATTCTTAAAAGTCATCATCTTTCTCTTTATGATTTATTTCAATCTTCTTTGAATCAATTTTCTCCTAATGTTGTTATGAAATAGGAATTTGTTCTTAATTTTTTAATTCATTATCGTTTTTTACAACGACATTTTCCTACGCATTTGGTTGTTAGTTTTAATTTTGATTATTTGAAATACGATCGATATCATCCTATTTTTCTTCTATATTCTATTATTATTTTTCAGTATTATCAATTTCTTTATTTATTTATTATTATTCGATTTTCTGCTCAGGAAATTCCTCTTGTTTATTTGAAAACTTACTCTATGTTAATTTTGAATTCTGCTCAGGTTCTGCTTATACTGCTTCTATCTATTATATTTAACTTGAATCATTTAAATTGGTTTCAGGATTTTCGTTTTTATCCTCATCTACTTCTATTTTCTATTCTTAATTTTCAGGATTTTTTATTTCTTTCTTTATTTATGATTAATCCTCTTTCTGTTAATCAGATTTCATCATTTTTTGAGTGGCCTTTTGAAGTTGTGTTGATTCTATTTATTAATTTCCAAATTATGTTTCTTATTCTATATCATCTTATCGATCATTATTTTTTTCATCCTTTAAATGATCATAAAGATAGTATTAAGTGCCGTAAAGCTGATTGTCTTTTTCATACACTAATTTCAACAATTTTAAAGCTTCCTCCCTTTACCCTAATACGCTCAAAGAAGCAAAGACTCTCTTTAATCTTAACTAGTTATGTGTATTAATTCGAAGACATTTATAAAATTGTTTCTCGTTCTCTAATTCTAATTCTTTGTTGCCCCATTTAATTCCCAAAAACCTTAAAAACATTTTGTAGTTTTTCACATAGAATTTCATAACATCTTAGTTTGAAATCATTAAATCTCTCTCCTCCTTTGTTAATCTATAACTATCAGAATTAAACATGCTATTGAAGAAATTTGGAAAAATCCACTAAATAAATGAATGGTCGTATTCTAAGTCCTCATAAAATTTTTGAATTTCTCGACTTTCAGCTTTGTAATTCTCCCAATTTTAAATATGGTAATGAATATCCCTCATTACACATCCCAATTTTTTGTCATGAAAGTCAAAATTCGGCAATTTAGATTTCTATTAGTCATATCCCTTCTCGCTTGTTTTAGCTTTCATTGGTTTACTTGAACCCATTTATTTCTACATAAACAATTAATAATAATAATTCTTAATAGAAATTAGAATCTCTACCATTAAAGATCTCTTAGTCAAAACTAATTAAAATATTTTGCTAGCATGTAGAATATCTTAAAAANGAATCTGTTTTGGATTGAGAATTCATATTTTATGGGTTCTCTACCAAATGAAATTCTTAAAAGTCATCATCTTTCTCTTTATGATTTATTTCAATCTTCTTTGAATCAATTTTCTCCTAATGTTGTTATGAAATAGGAATTTGTTCTTAATTTTTTAATTCATTATCGTTTTTTACAACGACATTTTCCTACGCATTTGGTTGTTAGTTTTAATTTTGATTATTTGAAATACGATCGATATCATCCTATTTTTCTTCTATATTCTATTATTATTTTTCAGTATTATCAATTTCTTTATTTATTTATTATTATTCGATTTTCTGCTCAGGAAATTCCTCTTGTTTATTTGAAAACTTACTCTATGTTAATTTTGAATTCTGCTCAGGTTCTGCTTATACTGCTTCTATCTATTATATTTAACTTGAATCATTTAAATTGGTTTCAGGATTTTCGTTTTTATCCTCATCTACTTCTATTTTCTATTCTTAATTTTCAGGATTTTTTATTTCTTTCTTTATTTATGATTAATCCTCTTTCTGTTAATCAGATTTCATCATTTTTTGAGTGGCCTTTTGAAGTTGTGTTGATTCTATTTATTAATTTCCAAATTATGTTTCTTATTCTATATCATCTTATCGATCATTATTTTTTTCATCCTTTAAATGATCATAAAGATAGTATTAAGTGCCGTAAAGCTGATTGTCTTTTTCATACACTAATTTCAACAATTTTAAAGCTTCCTCCCTTTACCCTAATACGCTCAAAGAAGCAAAGACTCTCTTTAATCTTAACTAGTTATGTGTATTAATTCGAAGACATTTATAAAATTGTTTCTCGTTCTCTAATTCTAATTCTTTGTTGCCCCATTTAATTCCCAAAAACCTTAAAAACATTTTGTAGTTTTTCACATAGAATTTCATAACATCTTAGTTTGAAATCATTAAATCTCTCTCCTCCTTTGTTAATCTATAACTATCAGAATTAAACATGCTATTGAAGAAATTTGGAAAAATCCACTAAATAAATGAATGGTCGTATTCTAAGTCCTCATAAAATTTTTGAATTTCTCGACTTTCAGCTTTGTAATTCTCCCAATTTTAAATATGGTAATGAATATCCCTCATTACACATCCCAATTTTTTGTCATGAAAGTCAAAATTCGGCAATTTAGATTTCTATTAGTCATATCCCTTCTCGCTTGTTTTAGCTTTCATTGGTTTACTTGAACCCATTTATTTCTACATAAACAATTAATAATAATAATTCTTAATAGAAATTAGAATCTCTACCATTAAAGATCTCTTAGTCAAAACTAATTAAAATATTTTGCTAGCATGTAGAATATCTTAAAAATCATGCTGATTTCTTGAAGATTTTGATTGTGTTTTTACAATATTAATGAAAAATTTTCATTTTGATATTATTCTTAGTATCAAAATAACAATTTGTTAAGTGAATGATGAAATAATATTCTAAAACACTATTTAGAGAATCTAACTTAAATTTTTATAAATATTTTTTTATTTACCATAAACTATTACAAAAGTTTTGATGAATTAAAAAAAATAGATGAGTTGTATCATTTAGGAATAATGATAATATTAACAATTAGGAGCTGTTTACAATATAAATTATTTTTGTACTTGAACCTTTGTTGCGGATTTTATAAGATGTTATAAAATTGTTTCTTAACTATAAACCTTTCAGTTAAAGATATGTCACTAAAAATCCACAAACCGATGATTATGATTAATAATGACAATATCATTCCTAACTAAATCCGAATGGCTTAATTTTTAGTAATATAATTATATAGTTCTCATATCTTTCCATTTAATAATAAGAAAATACAAAAGATATGAGCTAAATTTAGAATCAAAGTATTGCTTGTATTCAATATTATGTTAGAGTAATTTTCTTATAAGAATTTATGAAATTAATAACTATGTATTAATTAAGCCTTGTAATTAATTTCTATAAGTTTTCATTTAAGAATTTGATTCTCCAATTGATTATTAAGCTCAATTGTCCTAACAAATTACATATACTTTTGATTTAAATGGGGAAATATATACTAGAAAGTAGATTAGTGAATTATATTATATAAATTTATTATCAAAATAGTCATCTATTCAAATTGCAAACTTCAGAGGAATAACTAAGAAATCAATTCTATTCAAACAATTTCAGTAATATTTACATAAAACAAATTAAAATCTAAACACAATCCTATGAGCCTATTTAAGCAGGCATAATTTAATCTTACCGAAATCAAATTTGGTATAAGAAAATTTATCTTAAATAGCTGAAATAATCTAAAATACCTTTAATCAAATGACTCTTATATATCATAGGAAATACGATTATTTTAATAAATTAATAAAATATTATTTATAATTCTTTAACTCTAATTTAAATTAACAATTTTCAAAATAAATTATTTCAAAAATCATTCTCACCAGAAAATAGTGGAATTTATTATATACAGTTAATATATCAATAAAAATTATATGAATTCAAAAATTGTATCTATTCCCTACTATTATATATCAGTGGGCTAATTCAAGTACCCTTAAATCTTCTTCATTTATTGCTATAGCTAATTATTAATCTTATATTATTTGATATATTTAAAATTTCTCAAATTAAATAAGTTTTCTTCCAGTAGAGATTTGATACAAAACTAATTCATCATTGTGATAATTTAAACATATTACAGTTTACTTTTTCAATAGATAACAATCATTGACGCCTTAATTAAAAGATAATGGAACTTTTCTAAGTATTTTATTAGTCTAAATATTAAGGAGGATTAACTAACTTGTTCTTAATTATGATTCACGAACAAACACCAATATTTTCGTTGTGCATATGTATTTGAATTGATCATGTTTATAAAACTTGTCTTAGTCATATCTATCTTAATTTGCAATTATTATTTTTTTGATACATTTTAAATTATCTAATTATATAATTTCAAAATTTTTATTGTAATTTCCTAAAGGAGAATCATGTTTAATGAATGAATTTATCTTTTTATCATAATCGATTATCGATCTATTGCTTCTCCAATCGATTTCATAAATTTCCTTACGTTAAATAATTTCATAAGTAGTTGGGTCCAAAATTTATAAAGCCTTTTCTCCATCAGAAATGAGTTTCTGACCTAATACTTAAAGTCTTTTGTAATTAGTCTATTTAAGATGCTATTTAGAATTTAATTTAATCTAATAGATGTCATAATTCACAACTACATAAATGATTTGATTTTTTTCTAGTATGAAGGAGTTAATGTAACTGTAAGGTAAATGAAATAAATTTTAGCCTTAAATTAAAACATCCTCATAAATATTTTCTTTGTTATTTAAGTCGTAAATTGATATATAAATTGTTGGATTATATTCTTCTTACATAATATATTTTTCATCTATTTTTTTGTTCTAATTAACTAAGAATTCAGTTATTGTATAGTATTTCAAAATAAGTAAATAATGTGACAAAATATTCGAGTAGGCAACAATTTATTTTCTTTTTGAAATTTCCATTGAAAAAACAGGAGTGCCTTCTTCATCATAAAAATATTATTTAATAATGCTTTTTAGATTATCAGAAGCATTTTCAATTTATTGTTTAAGAGAATGATTTTCAAATAGCTGTTTATAGAGCACTCTGTTTTTACAATACATTTTAAAAATTGCTTCATTAATGTTGATATTGTTTTGAAATTCTGTTGAAATTTTGAGCAATTCTTTCTGTGGATCTGTAATGTCAAGAGTATTGAAAAAAATTGAATTTGAAGACAATTCAATTATCTTATTTTATGTTAGAAATGCTTTTATTTATTGGCACTCTGACAATATATCGCTGGTCTATTCTACATTCAATTTATGCTATTTTTATAGGATCTTCACACAGGAACGGCAGCATATTTTATTTATGGTTTAAGAAGAAACATAGTCACATTCAGAAATGAGATCATACTTCCTATTACATTTCTCACATCTCAGAGAAATGGACTTAATTTCTTAAATTTATTTTTTCATAATAAATGTATATTAAATATTATCATTAATAATAGATATAATTATAGAAATTTGGATTTCCTTTATCTCTCTAAAGAGCCTTTTCTTAATATGAAACCTTTAATAATGAGATCCCTTGTTTTTCATTTCAATATTTATTTGTTATTGTCAGCCATTTTTTATGATTTAATTATCCTATTAAAACTCTCAAATAAATTAATCTCTGAATGAAACAAACTTCTGTGGTTATTATTTCTTTTCTATTTTAGATATTTATTAATAAAGCAAAAAACATTAAAATAGCCTATGTCTTTACAGTCATAATTTATACTTGATATTTATCAATTGAGCTTATCCTTTATCGTATAATTTCCAAGAATTAGTTACTTTTTTTTTCAATTTCATTCAGCTTTATATTCTTATAATAAATGTATCTTCATAAGTATTCTATATATATTTGTCTATATTTCTATAAACATGCAAATTTCTGCCGAATTTTTTCTCATCTCTACATAATGCTCAATAATTATCCCTGGAAATTCGATATTTCTAAAGGAGGTTATTAACAATCAGGATTCATGGAGATTTGTATTTTATACCGATTATTGAACATTTCAGTATTTGAATGTAACCTTCTTTTGGCTTATGAAATCTTTTTTTTTTATCTTTGCATAGATGAATTTAATATTATTTATTTAATTAAAATGCTCTAAAGTAAATAAAAATAAATTCAACTAAAATGATTTATTATTATTATTAGATGTGTGCTAGTTCTGTAATTTAGACTTTAAATGATATAGAAATGTTTTTACTTACTAAAAAATTAATTTCGAAATTAATGAGAAAATTTTAGCGATAACGGTTTTATAAAATCTTTAGATATTAGATACATTCTGTTATTGTTAAAGCAAAAAGCTAGAACTTCAATTTTAATTTCAGACTTAGATGGAATTAACTCAAATCTTCTGACAATTTATATTGTGATTAATTCTGAAATTGTAATTAATTATATCTATAACATATTATGGGTAATAAATAAGGATCGGAATTTGGAGGCATTATGGTAAGAACAGAAAAAACCAATTACTTTGCTGGAGATCTTGTAAAAGGTAAATTATCTACTATTTTAGGAAATATATACCTCCACATAATAAAATCAGGTTATCATGGAAACGTCGTTTAATTTTCAATAGTTGGAAAAGAGAAAACTGAATGGGAAGTTAGTACTGGGAAAAGTAGTACTACGCATCGTGGGAAAAATGTATTTTACGAAGACTCCTTTGTTATAAATACATTTTTAAACGAAAACTTAATGGTTGGACAATTTGTTTTCCCTTTTGAATTAGAACTTCCATTGGATCTACCTGGATCCCTCTATCATTCGTATGGTCTTCTGGCAAGCGTAGCCTACAAAATCAAAGTTCGAATAATCTCGAACTCTAAATCAATTAATGATATCAAGAATGAATAAGAAATTATCATTAGAGAACCAATTTAAGAAATATTATAAGCTTCTTAAAAAAAAGTGACTGCTAATCTGACAACATGGTGTTGTAAATAACAAGGAGTAAGCATAATACTAAATATAGTTTTGTTCGATAACCGCAAAAGCAGAGAAAAATTTATATTAATCAGGAGAACTTGTTAACATAACCTACGATATTGATAATTCAAATTGTAAGCTTAATCTTGAAAAAGTTGATGCCAGTATAATGAGTAGACTAATCATCCAATCTAATTCAGGTGCGTAATACAGGTAAGAAGTTAAATTAAACTCCGTATCTCAGAGTGGAATACAAAAAGGAATGAAGCTATTATCATCCGCATCAACAGGATGTTCATTACAATTGGTTAATATTAAAAATCCAACCATTGTTCTCGCACCTTCAACAAATGGAAGTCTTGTGAATTTCTAATATTATGTGATAATAAATCCGAATTTTGAAGGTATATATTTGATATACCGAAAGGTTGTACATTTTGTAGTTCAAAGCCAATTGTAGAAGTACCCATCACCTTATTCACTCTTCTTCCATAGGAAGATTAAGAACCAATTGCCCAGCCTGAAAATTGGTAACCAAAAGCCTTTTAACCTTTCCTTATAAAATCAAATAGCATCAACCCTTTCAATAAAAACAGTTTGAAAAAGATGGCTAATCCTATGAACAGCTGATTAGTTTACAAAAATATCCATCATAATAATTATTATTTGTTCTAATGATTATCAATATCAAAAAGATAGGAAGAATTTCTATGCTTGAAGTATATCATATTACAAGAAAAGTAGAGTTTGGAAAAATGAATCAATTTTGAAAACTTTATCCGAAGTCACAAAAATGTAATATTTATTAAGATTATAAAATAGTAATATTAAATAATAATATTTATATTAAAATATGGATTTTCCAATTCATCCTGGCAAAAAAATAAATGTGATCTGTTTAAAAAAAACTATGTACTGAATGTTAGTACTACCATGGGGGAGATACGAAATAATATCTCCCTTTTTAAATAGTCCTTAATAAACTAAAACTCAAAAGTGAAGAATTTCAATTTAATAAATAACAATTGAGAGAAAAATTCATATTTCCAGATATAATCAAAAAAACTGATTTTCTGTTAATGGGAATTTGGAAAGATGTAAGAGAATCATTCTAAAAAATTAATGAAGGTATTGAAGATTAAGATGCTGTATATTTGAATTTAATGAACTCTAAGCTATCACCATCAGAATATTCTTATTCAGATCTTGAAATTTTTATAAATATATTATAAACAGATGAACTAAATAACTGGAATAAATTAAAATCCAATTACTTTAATTAATTATAATAGGCGATTTTGATATTGAAATCAGAAGTAGAAAAATTCAAACAATTTATAACCGAATAATTTTGGGGAATTTTGGCATAGACAAAAAAGTAAGAGTATAATGGTTTTATGGATGCCTAATCTAAATATAAGAAAACTAAATGTCAAATAATACACACGAAGTTTAATGAAATTTAGTAATAATGCAACGGTGAAATTCTTTAGACGTAGAAATTAATATTTATAATAGGACTATAATTTATGATTTACTAAATAAGCCACAAATAATTAAAAATCTAGATGTTCTCAAGCACGTTCATTGGAAAGGGGAATTAGGGAATGATTACAAGAAAGTAGGCTTATGGACAGCAGAATGGATGGCAAAACAAATAGTTTCTTGTGGTTCGTACTCTTAAAATGGAATGAAATACGGTTATTGGATAGAAATGGTTAAATATTATAATCAATAAGTTAATCTTTTAGAAGTCAACGAATATGTGAATAATCTGAGGCAAGGGACATGGAAGTATTGCTATAACCTTGAATATATGTATTAATTTTGATTATTAATTAAAGCGAAGGGGGAAATTATAATGAAAAAGGAGAGAAGAGTGGATTGGGAAATGGAAATTGTCTAAGTTTTCTCAAAATGGAAATTCAAATTACTAAAAGCGAACTAGTATTGCAATTGGATCATATGATGGAGGAGAAAAATCATTGAAGAATGGGGAGTGGACAGAATTTATTATAGAGTTTCTTGAACATAAAGGAAAATATGAAAATTGGATAAAGGTTGGCAGATGGAATATGAGCACCCTTGAAGTACCATCTGACAAAAAAGATATTTGATTTTAAAGGAAATATCATGGTTAAATATATAGTATCATAACATATAGAGAAGGATCGTATAGAATAGCATTGGTGGACTTTGTAAAAATGGAATTGAAATTGGAACATGGTTAGAGGCTGATAGCTAAAAATTAACAATTACTTATGAGGGAAAATATAGGAACGGCAAAAAGTTGGTTTATGGACTACTAAATATTGTGGGAAAAATATGTATATCTTTGATATTAATAACAATATAATTAGTGGCGGTGGAGTGTATAGCGTTGAAGGAGATGAAATAAAAATTGGGAAATGGATTGAATTTGTATTTGAAATTGGAAATGTGGCATTTATTTACAGTGGAGTGTATCAATAAGGGAAAAAGGTTGGTAATTGGAATTTCGGTTGTAAGGATTTTAAAAGTAAGGAAAACTCGCTTACTCTAATATACGTACATTATCGATATACTTAGAGGTGGAGAGTCTAATGACGAAAAAAGGAAATGGTCTTAAGACTGGTTATTGGTGTGAATTGAAGTAGGGTTATAAATATGATATTGTCATTTACTATTTGGGTTAATATAAAAATGATAAAAAAATTGAATGGTGGGATATATTAGTGAAAGAATCATCAAATGGATAGTATAATATTAAACAAAATATTTATTCTAGTGAAATATAATGTAAAGAACATGAGTACAGAAATAATAATAGATTATTTCTAGAAATTCAAGGATTTTCTGGGAAGACATAATAGAGTGAAAATTTTGATGCACAGAATAATCAAAATTAAGATTAGGAATAATATATTTTTAAGTAAAGCCTAAATTTATAAAATATTTAGAGGGGGAGGATAATATGATAAATAGGGTCTTAAAATAGGTTAGTGGCTTGTTTCGAATTGAATGATTGTTGATGTCGGTTAATATTTGAACGGTGAAAAGATGGGACAATGGAATTCTTGGTCTTGGTCTAGGGAGAATTATTTATTAATGTAAATATTATAATTTTGATTTCCTTACATTTTCATTATTGTTTTATTTTAGGATCTGATAATTTTATGTTTTGGATTGTTCTTACCATTCAATGTAAACCTACTTAACTTCGAAACTATTTAATCATTAAAAATATATCGATTGAGAATGGTTTATTAGAATTATTTTCATTTATACAGTTATTAGGTGTATAAACTTTATGTTCAAATAAATGAAGGAGATTGAAACAAACTTTGTAACTTTTCAAATAAAATGATCATTTCATCACTTCCTGTCATAATTTCTTTATAATCCGAATAATTACAAGTCAAAAATTAATACTTTCAAATAAGGATAATTAAGTAGATTTTGATCCATTTTTTTTTGATTTAAATGAATAACCTATTTGCATTAAGACTAAAATAGAGACTCTGAGATTTTCACACTTTGAGAATTTCGGAAGGCAAATTATTTGAGAACTACTTCTAAAAAGTAGAAAATTAGATATACTTGTTAGGTATACTCCTAGCTTATCACTATTCAGATATGCAAATAGTTTTGCAATTATTTGTTATGCAAGAAATACTAGAAATAGCTAATTTCATAGACATTCGTTAAGTTAATTTAATTATAAATAACAAACATATATAAAGACAATTATAATTAATAACTTAAATGAATTTCACATTTGATTATACCTATATATTTCTTAATTTGAGACATTTTCGATATTCTTATAAATTAGAATCTAGAAAATGTAATTCATTAGATTACAATGGTATAACAAAATCAAACATATGATTTCTTTGATAATCTTTATTTATCTTTAACTGAGAAGATAGATCCATACTCACTAGGTTGCAGCCCAACTAAAGAATTTAGAAATATTTAAATATTTGTATTTTCAAATCTTTAAATAATTGATGAGATTTTTAATATCATTACATCTGATGAATTCACCAATCCATTTATGAATAAAATCTGAAAAATTATATGATTTTACTAATAATCATTATCACTATAATATGCAAAGATGCCAGCATCTTTGCATATTCATTTTTATCTAGGTAAGCTTATGAATATTAAAAGGAGCTTGCCTATGTTATTTATTTTTAATAGATAAAGAGACTAGAATTGAATATATTAGTTTAAAAGATTCAATTCATAATTTTTTGTTAAATTTAATTAGAATATAGAAGAAAAATACAAATATGTAAATGTTGAAAGAAACAAGACGCTATTAGACATTGAAATAAGAGATCTAATCACTAGTATTGAAAGTTAGTTATACAGATTGAATCAGACTTTGAGAAAATAATAAAAGGTTAACAAATTAAATAATTCTATTAATTTAAATATAAGCTTAATTTATACTGATTAATTCATCATCTCAATATTTAACTGAACTTTATCAAAATAGATAGTGTTTAATGATAATATACTATTAAGAAATAAGCACTCGGCATCTCATTTTTGATGTGATATTAAATTTGCGCCGCAATAATCAGCATTATTTGGTATTATATATTTCTCCAACCTATTTAGTAATACTGCCCTAATTATTTTCGCAAGTCCCTAAGCACTTTTGGGTAAGGAACTGGCATCCTAGTACAAAAAAAGGCTAAAAAATCTGGTCCTTACTTGCAGATGCCTGCCTCTTGTTAGATCAAAGCATTCCTTTTATGTTCCTTCTAAACTTAAAAAATTTAGATTACCTAATCAGGTAAAAATTTCTGCCATTGTGGTGACATAATCAAATTGTCCTCCCTGATTTCTCTGCTGTAGTAATCTAACTGTCCTCCCTGATTTTTCCGAGATTAAGAGAAGGATATACTTATGTGGAGGTGGAAAGATTAATTCGAATTAATTAATTAATTAACTTGAGTGAAGCAATGTGCACTATACATAGTTATTTCAATAGTCGGATAAACTAAAAGTAAAATAGGCAAGAGCTTTTATAAAACTATTCTAGAAAATTATGACTCCATAGCCTATTAGATTTAATAAAATACTTGGAGCAAATTGAAATTAAAAAGGAAGTATTAAAAATTTGATAAATTCATAGCCATCAATTATACAATTTACGTGGATTCTCTTGCAAATTAATTTTAGGATTATTATTTAATAAATTTGTATTAGATTTGATTTGCATCATATCAATCATATTCTACTCTTATAATATTATTTGATCCATAAATTTGTATTCTTATATCCTCCTTCCATTAAACCCAATGTTGATCCCTTTGAGTGTAGTAATTATGATGATTTATATAAACCATGGGTTCTTTCCTCAGAAAGGGACTTTCAAATAATAAAATTTTATTAAAAATCAAATAGAATTTTATGAAAGCGAATCTATTTGAGTCATAGATTTTAGTTCCAACTTGAGTATATGTCTATTGAAAATCTGATCTCTTTTTTATGCATATTGGAGCAATTCAGTTGGTCATAATTTGGCTTTTATTTGGTTTAAGTGGTCTATTCAGTTTAAACGAGTTGATTCCCCTAAAACTCTTCATTATTATACATCTTCTTCTTCCACCCACAACCACGGCCCAAGCATCCACCTGCTTCCATATAAAATTCAGCACTTCAATTGGCGCTTTCCTATTCATCAATCTAATCCATTTAAATGATAAATATATGATCATTGAAGAACAATCTCAATAGATTTTTTCCTTTTTATATTTCTCAAGCCTTTTTAAAAAAAAAAAGTTGAAATCTAGTTAGAATATGATTTAAGATACGAAATCCATCCAAAGAAGAAATATCTTGGAAGGTACTTTAAGTGAAGAAAAGATTATCTTATTAGATCTTTTTTAATTAATTATCAGGTTTCAACAAGCTCAAATATCCAGCAACAACTTAAATGAGAAAAAATTATTAGAGGAGAAGAGTATTTAAAAATAAGGGATATCTCAGAGTGTAAGTTTTAAAACTTATTTATTATAATTTTGATTTTGGCAACTCATTGTAAAAAATTATGGAACTTTTATACTTACGATCGGTAGTTTATGACATTCCACAATTATTTAGAATGTTATTATAAGTAATATTTAAATTTTCAATCCAATTAAATAGGTTGAACCCCTATAAACTGATATTAATTAGAAATATTTATAGATACTGAAATTCAATCTTAATATTGCATAAGCTATATATTAATTTGTTATAATAGTTGAAGGCATATCTACATACTTTACGTCATATGTTATGTTCCATCTCAACTTGTCAGTTGAGTAACAAAATAATAATTTGACCCTTTTCTATCATTTAAAGTAGGGAATTATTATTGTATTGACAAAACCTATTGGAATATAATAGGAAACTATACAGTACAAATGTCTTTGCATGCTGAGTTCTTCTAATAGTATTAAATAATTGGACAAGGTCGACATAAATTGTTTGTTGGGAGCCCCATAAAACCAACTAGTACATTCATTGTTGTTTGGTCTTTTTCATTATTGACAATTTGGAGAACATTATAATACGGAAACGACGATATTCTAAGAGAAAAAAATCCTTAATTTGTATTATAAGATTTAAAATTCAAATATCCAGAATTTTGTGATAAAATTCAAAAGTTCAAGGCTTTAACTTCAAATGGAATGTTATAACTAAATCCCATGGTCATTAAACATGTTGCAGGTGATGTATGAGTATAAATAGGGAATTTTATAATTTTTCATTCAATATTGTCATAGTGTATAAATAACAAAAAATAATATATTTTTTCTATTATTGGATTAAGTTTACATAAAGTAGTCTAAAGGTAATACAGTACCATTGGGAGGCAAAGATCTGGGTTCAAGACTTTGGGTTGGTATTTTTATTACAAATTATTGATCATAAATAAATAGTGAATATGTTTAATCTACATTAAATTTTTTCGAAATGTTGTATGAATTGCTTGTGTTGGATCATTTTAAGTAATATAATTAGGATTTAATTATTATATTTATTTCAAAAAAAGAAATCTCTATATCATCCTAAATGTAAACAAATTTTTCTCAGCCAAAACACTTTTGATTAAATTTTATTTAAATTCCAAAAATCTATGAGGTGATGTGGATTTTGATTAAACGAAAAAACTTTTCTATAGATATTAAGATTAATTATTTCTAAAATTAAGACTACAAAATCAGGATAAAGAGTATCGTATTCTAATAAAAAAACATAAAAATGTTATTCAATAGATTCTATTTTTTGTTGTTACTCCATTTATGTTTAATAAATGGTTCAGAAATTTCCAAAACATGCATTTGCAGGCATGTTCAAAGTTAAAAGGACTGCAAAAATTCTGGTGTTTGCATCTGGGAAAATGATCTTTGTGTTTTAGATTCTGGAAAATCATACAATTCAAAGATTAAAAATTAGAATCCGTGCAAAAACTATGCTCAAGAAGATTGTCGAGAATTAGAATAATGTGGATTTTATTATGGTGTATGTATCGACTTTGTAGATTGCAACATCTTCGATAAAGATAAATGTTAAGAATCATCATATAAATGTGTCTTTGATGGTTAAAAGTGTGTACAAATGTAAGAATGTAGTGATTATAAAACGGAGAATGCCTGTTCAAATAAAAATTAGCATGGCAAATATTGTGTTTGGATTTTGGGAACCGAGAAAAAATGCACAGACGTCACAATGTGTAAATTTTTACCCCCCTATTTAACCAATCATAGTATGTGTAAGTCAGGGCTCGATGGATGTACAGTAAGCGAGAAAGGTTATGGATGTACTGAATAAATGGAGTCTTGTACCCAATATGTGAATAATTTTTAATGCTTTGAAAGCAAATCAAGAAAAGATAATTGTTTTTGGGATTCAAAAAATAGTAAATGTGTTGAAAAGGTGTGTGAAAATCTACCATTTACTGAGGATTATGAATGTAAGTCATATTTAAGTTAATGTACAACTAATGGAGTTCATTGTGTATTAAGGAGGCAGTGTAGTGATGTTTAGAATAAATTTGGATGTGTAACAGATGTTTTGGGTTAAAAATGTGACTATCATAAAAATTAATGTAAAATAAAGAGTTGCAACACTGCTCCAGAATCACTAACTAATTATCAATAATGTTAGGATTATGACAATTTATTGGATTGTGTTACTTCAGAAAACAAAGGATGTAAAATTAGACCAACAACTTGCAATGGGTATGCTTATGAAATGGATTGCTATTCTTTAGAATAATAAGATTGTGTGTGGTATAAGAAAAAATGCGAATAAAGATAATGTTATCATGCTCCGGTTCATTATACTCATAAAGATTGTTAGGGGTATGGGAATTGTATGGGGAAATTAAATGGAGGATGTTAACAGACACCTTATTTATGTGAGGAAATATTGTAGGCCTAGTTTTGTGAATTTACCTATAATAAAGAAAGGTGCATTTGGGGCAAAGGAGTATACGAATCATTAGAATGTAAGAAATTGAAATTGCCAACCTACAATAATCATAAAGCATGCTAAAAGGAAAGTTCATTTTGCACTTTTAATTTACACTCTTTAGGGTGCACAGAGTATTTATGTGAAAATGTTTTAGAGATAGAAGATTGTACGATTGATTCAAATGGTACAATTTGCACATTGAACTAAGGATGCATAGAGAAGAAATGTATAACTGCTCCTCCAACTTATGATACTAATTCAAAATGTGAAGGGTGGATGCCAAAATGCACAGTTAATGTATAGGTTGTCTCAAATTAAAAAATCTTGATTGGATGTGTAGATAAAAGAAGTACTTGTGAACTTGCAGCTCAAGATCAATGCTACTCAACACTTTCAGGATATCTGTGTAGATGGAATGGAAGTAGTTAAAAATGCATTTATCAACTTTGTTAAGATGCCAATCCTAGCTTGTATTTAACAAATGAAGATTGCCAATAATTTAAGGTGTTATCTGGACCTTGTATCATTGGACCTTCTGGAGTTGGATGTTACAAATGGCCAACTAATTGTACTGAAATGAAAAGCCAATAACAGTGTTAATTGAATATAGAAAATGGAACAAAGTGTTTTTGGGCTGGTACTTATTGTAAGCAATAAGAATGTTCAGATGCTCCTAAACTTAATTACACCAATAATGTTTAATGTAACAATTGGTCAGGTAATTGTATTTTTGACCATTCTCTCGGTGGATGCATAGATAGAATTAATTAAGTTGCTTGTTCATCTACTCCAAATGTTGTCATGTATAACAATCATGCAGAATGTTATGTAAGGAATCAAAATTGTACTGTTGTTTCATCTTTTATTGCTGAAGGATGTGAAAGGAAGAAAGCAACATGTTATGAGTACATCAAGCGAAGAAATTGTAAGACAACTCTAACTGGTTAACTGTGTTATTGGGATGATTAAGGGCAAAAGTGCATGAACGAGGACGAAGATAAAAATGGAGTTGCTGATTGTGAGAAGAGAATTAATGGAGAATTAACTCATCAGGATTGTGAGGATTTCATGCCTAAATGTACATTAAGTTAGATTACTTTGTCTTGTAGTTAACTTTCAAAATATTGCGATTATAAATATCAATAATAGTGTATAATTAATTTCGATTAGCAACCTTGTAAATGGGATGATTTGAAATAAATATGTTAAGATTTAGTTTGTGCTGATAATTCAACATCTTAAACTGAGGCTGAATGTTTAATGTTCAGATAGAGTAATGAGTGTCAATTAAAAATTAATCCTGATGGGACTTATGGGCCTGGATGTGAAAATAGACCCTATACTTGTTAAGGAATTACTGATCCTGTGATATGTAAATTAACTCTAACAACTTAAAATGATCGATGCTATTATCATACTTCCTAATGCACTATAGTACGATCAAAAGAATGTGAAAAAATATCTGAAAGTAAAAGTAATGAGTTTTGTTAATTATATAATCCCTATTGTGTTCTTTAACCAAGTGGATAAGGATGTTATTCTATTTATTAATGTGATGATTTGAGTAAGAGTTGTGTTAATACGATTATGAGATATGGTGATAGATGCAATTAATATAGTAATTGTCGTATTGATAATTGGTGTTCCGATAAAGAAACAAGTTCTGATAGTTGTGACAAATAGAAAACGGTTTTAGGATAAAAATGTAAATTAAAAATTACTTGCGAAACCAGATATTGTAAAAAAGAATGCGTCCAAGTGATAGAAGATTTCATTTATTCCTTTCCTTCTTATTATACCGAATTGGAAAAGTATTAATTATGTTAACAATATTCAACATCATATAGCTATGATACAAATTGTCACTGCTGCAAAATAATTAAAGATTGTAGCACCTAACCAGAATCTCTTTGTAATTAATCAATTCTCGTTTATGAAAAACAATGTGGATATAGTTAAAAGTATAAATCTTGTTAAGAGAGAGTTTGCGAACAATTAACATCTGATTAAGGCATTTCAGAATTAATTTGCTATCAGTGGATGAGTAAATGTGTTTTAGGGGCTACTAGTTGTATTAGTTACAACAATAATTGTACAACTATTGGTCTTATTTAACAATGTTATTCTTATTCATGCCATTGGTAAGATGGTAAATGTGTTTCTCATGTTAATTGTGGTCTTAACACAACTGCAGTAACGAATCGAGAATGTTTATTAAGTAATAGCACTTTTTGTAGATTTAATTATGTACAAGGCTAAGGATGTGCTTTTGTGAATTGTGATCTAATTACAAGCGAAGCAATATGTAATTAAGCAAAACTAGCAAATGGTGCAAAATGTAGATGGGTCAATTTCGAATGCAAATCCTTGTAGTGTTATGAATATAATCTATAATCAGATTGTGAAAATAGTTATGGCTGGTTTTCCAATTTTGCCCTAAAATGTCATTGGTGTCCAATTGATTCCATTCAATGTACTCCTAATCCATCCTGCAGTTAAAGTATCATAACATCACCTAAATCACATTAAGATTGCTACAGCATTAATGGCTTTAAAACAATCAACTTTATAATGAACTCAAAATGCACAGTCAAATAATAATAATGTTCAGATTATAAATATTAAGAGGCTTGCGTAAGTACGATAGATGGTATCGACTGTTATTGGTATTCTAATGCTTGTATATGGTATTACGAAGCTGCGGTTTAATTAATATCTACATATACACATTCATCATGCCAAAGTTGGAAGGATTCTTATATGTCTTTAAATAACTTGGGATGCCAACCTCTAGATTGCTCATAGTTAACAATAAATGCAGATTGCACTATTTTTACTAAAAAGTGTTTTTGGGATGGTTAAATTTGCTAAAGTATTAAGGAATGTAACAAGTACTCTAATGGCTCCTTGTGTTTAAATACGAGCAATTCATAAGGCATCCCATGCTTTTGGGATGGTACTAAATGCATAGAAAAAACATGTTCAAATAAGCCAACTCCTTCAATTAGCCAAGCAGAATGCAATAGTTGGTTGATTAACTGTTAATATAATAGCAATAATAATCGATGCTTAGAAGTTTGTACTTAAGCTGATATTTCAAATAAAACTCATGAACTATGCGAATCCTATTATTTAAATAAAAGTTGCACAGTCAAACTAGATATAATTCAATGTGTAGACCTTCCAATTGCTTGTTCTTTTGCAAAGAAAAATTAATGTTATAAAGATTAATCTGGAAATGAGTGCTTCTATTAAGAATCCTTAAGTAAGTGTGTTAATTTAACATGTTCAATTTTATAATATACAACACATGAAAAATGTAACCAAAGATTAAATTCTTGTACAGTTAATTCAACTTTAGATGGATGTCAATAATTAAATGTTTGTAGTAGTTATTCCATAAAAGATTAATGCTAAATTGATTCAAATAATGTAGAATGTTAATGGATGATAAATTAAAATAAATGTACAAAAAAGGAGTGTTTAACTGCACAATTACTTATATATTCAGTTCATAGTTGTAATTAATATTTTGGAAAATCTTGTACTGTAAATGAAAATTTGGATGGATGCGTGATTGGTCAATCTTTGTGCATGAACTACTCATATAAATAATGCAAAAGTTTAGGGCAAAAGAATTTAAGTGGAGTAGAATGTTTCTGGAATGATGAGAAGAATATTTGTTTAGAGAGGATTTGTGACAACGGACCTTCGCTTGCCAAAAATAATTCTGATTGTATTGGATTTCTCTCTACATGTTAAAAAGGTGGTTGCCGAATAAAAGATTGCTATGATTATAGTTATGCTATAGATTCAGCTTGTGCATCAATATTCTAAAGCAAAAAATGTGCGACAAATGGATATTAATGTGTTTTTAGAATGGCTTGCGAAGATGTTAGTGTTATTGATGGCTGTACATTTGATATCAAACTCAATCCTTGTGTCTGGATTGATGAAAAATGTTATACAAAATCTTGTAAAACTGCATCAATTTCACTGATAAAACATTAAGAGTGCAATTCTTATTTTCCAACTTGCACAGTTAAATATGGAGGAGGCTGTGCTAATAAACAAAATTGTCAAAATTACTAAATAAAAGAGGCCTGCAAAATTGATAGTGAAAACGATGAATGCATATGGGATGATAATCTAAATTTATGCTTTTCCAATCAATGTATGGATTTCTGTGGAGATGGCATTGTATCTAGTCGAGAAGAAGAATGTGATGATGGCAATTATTTACCCTATGATGGCTGTTATAAATGCCAAGTTTAATGCCCATAAGGATGTAATGTTTGTAATGGTTTGATATGTGAAGATTGTCAAAAAAAGGGATGGTTATTGATTAATGGCTCGTGTATTTCAATATGTGGGGACGGTTATACAGTTGGAAAAGAATTTTGTGATGATGGAAATGATATTGAATTTGATGGATGTCATTAATGCTCCTATTCTTGTCACTAAAAATGCCTTAATTGCTTCTAAGGACTATGTTTGCAATGCGAGTAGGGATACAAAGAAGATGAGTCATAATGTCATAATATTTGTGGGGATGGTGTCCTTATTGAAAAATTAGAAAAATGTGACGACGGAAATAGTTAAAATAATGATGGATGCAGTGATACTTGTTAAGTTGAATATAATTGGAAATGCTAATAAGAAAATAATATTAGTTTATGTAGCTATATTATTCAACCAAAGATTATACTTACTTAACTCAAAAAAACAAACTATGATTATTAAGAGTTCTTATTAAAATTTTCGGAGCAAGTACGTTTGAACATAAACAACATTAGCGAAGAACAATTTCTCCAAATGATTATTGTTGTTATTGAAGATGCCAAAGATAACTAATACGATGTTGAAATTAAACCCCTGATACCTATTTCTACTGTATTGACTGAAGTATCCTATAAGATATTAGTCTATTTTAAAATTAAGATTTCAAATCCTGTGTTAAAAGTGACAGTAAGATGTGAGAATATTGTAAATGATAAAGACAATACCTTACTCTCTGATGAAATAAAGTTAGAATTATCAACTCCTAACAAAATGTCAAATGATGGATAATCCTTTATTTCTAAAACAGCTCTGCTAAGTAGAATTGTTATGTATATCATCTTGATCATAAGTGGTATTGCTTTTTTGGCTGGTAATTTAGAAATTATATGGAATCTCCTTGATATGCTGTAATAATTATCATATATGAAATTTCACAACCTTCAATTCCCAGAAAACTTGTCCGTCTATTTTGAAATATTTAATATTGGTTAATTTACTCCAATAACAAATACATTATAAATAAATATACTGTTACAGGGCACTTTTGATTTCCAAATCCCAATTATACCAGCAAAATAGAAATTTGCATAATATTAAATAAATTGCTATTTTTTGAACAATTTGTAAACTCTAGTCGCTGTAATTATAATTGGATTTGCTTATTATTATATCTCATATTACTTTTATAAATTCATTGTTCTAATTTAATAATAAAAATTGGTAGTTATTTTTTATTAAAGTGAATCTAAAATTATAATTAAAATTATCAGATTGATTTTTTAGTTATAGAAGTTAGCAAGAAAATACTATCAGTATTTTATTTACTCTGGATTAATCAGAATTTTTACATCTAACTTTTATGAGTTAACCTTTGCATCTATTTTATAAATTGTTAATTACAATACCGAAACTACCTTAAATGCAACCATCTCACTAATTGCTCTAATTACATTGTAAGTGAATCTATTCCTGATAGCGTACTTTTTTTATTCTCTAAGCAAAAAAGGAATTGTGCCTCAGACATTATCAGCTTTAGTGGAAGGAATTAATAATACTGTCCAATAAGGAACTAAGTAATATTTTACTATATTGCTGATTAAAAAAACATTATTCATTATTAATTTAGTTGTATTTTAAGACCTTTTTGCTGTTTAGAGTATAATCACAGCTTGTTTATCAGGAATATTCTCTTGTTATATTTACATTTGTAAACCATTTTGGAACAATTTTGAAAATATGAAAATATTCTTCACAGAAATTATGATTATGATTAATGCAATTATTTTTTCTGTTTACGATATTATCAAATTTAATTCAACCAAAGATTCAGCTGATGTTTTAGGTTGGATTAATGTAGGTGGTTTCACAATTATTCTGATTGTCACTTTAGCTATTGATGTTTATCAACAATTACAAAAGTATATATCGTAATTCAAAAACTGTGTTGGAATTGAATAGAACTAAATTATAAGAAAATAAAAGTCAATCTTTACAGCAGTATGATTATCAATAATTTTGTTGTTATTTGTTAATTTTTTCAATTACTGATCTAATTTGTTTGTCCAATATCATTTTTTTCATTAAGTTTTCTTCAATTTGATAATTTTTATTTAACATTTTGACTTTTAGACATTTATCATCAAAATTTTTTTAATCCTATAATGGTGGGATAATAAGAGAAATTACTTTGTAGGTTATTGGAATTTGGTTTTAAGGAAAAAAAATTATTGAGAAAACGATTAGAGACAAAAATACTCAGAACACACATTTATATTTAAGATGAACATTAAGAAGAAGAAGGATCTTACTGGATAAGCATATAACTTTATTATTACTACTTAGTTATTTCAAAGGGTTATCTTAAAGAAGAATAAGGAGAGATTTATGACTTAGTTGAGAGCTATGTTCAATTATACTTGCTAAAACTATATTCGATAAAAAGTCGATCTACTAAATATAGGAAAAATATTAGCTAAGAAGAAGATAAAGATAAAAATCAGAAGAATAAATTAATATAAAATCAGAAGGATACATAGCATCATATCTTGGATCTGTTCAGGTATGGATGGAAAAAGTAATGAACAAATGACGATCTAACACATAATGATGCACTTACGGATTCACCAGATAACTGTTAGGACATATACATTGAGGATGTGGTAATAAATTCTAAACAAAGGTAGAGAAAAGTATTCAAGCACAAACAGAGAGGATAACTGAAAAAATCTAATTATGGTTCAAGTGGAATTGCAACCTTTCAAATAAATTACCTTCGATGTTCCTAAATACATTTACGATTTAAAATTTAATTTAAACATTGCTTTTCTTATTCCATTGAAATGAAATCGAAAATGTTAGTTTCAAATAAATTTATTTTTAGCACGATTAATATGAGGTTAGGTAGAACTGATAACAAATGGCAATTTTATTAGTCGTCAAAATGAAAATGATCAAATAATAAATTTTCATTCTATTAGAAAGTCATAGTTATTCCCTATTAATTTAACTACAAAGTGCTTATTCAGTATAATACAGTTAAAGTTTTTATTAATTTTTCGCTTTAGTGGAATCATTATAAATTCGAGTTGAAATATAAACCGAAGATAGACTAACGGAATGTATGAACAATACAGATAAAAGAACTCGTTCTACTGGCATTAATATACATTCTAGAGAAGCGTCACAGCTCTTGTGATACATTCTTAATGACATTTTAACTTGAAATCTATGCAAATTAAGTCTATGAAGAAATAGTCTGGAGTGTAAGTGCAACAGCTAAAACATGCTTGACTTGTCCTAGCAAGTTTGTAATTACTTAAAGTGTTACCGTTTACTTTTATGATGATATGAAATAAACATTTTGTATACATAAAAAATAGTTGAAAGTTAAGCATAGAAACTAGAACAGAATTAGAATTAGAAGTTACTTGTGCTCCATACGAAAATGTATTTCAAAAGCACATTTGAATTTCATAGATCCTTTAAAGTATCTATCTAAATAATACAAATATTTGTCATTATTAATATTGATTGAAGAATACTTTGAGTAAACACACAAATTACTGCTAGGGAATTATCATTTTTATTTGATTACTATACAGAAGATCTAAAGTCTATGCAGGAACAATTATAATAGTTCCTCTTAATCGCAAGAAGAATCGCTATTATTTGTTGAAGAATTATACCTTTTGCATATACCCTCTCACTTTTATCAAAATGCAACATGGTTGACAGCCACATATGCTTTAGCAATAGCCCTACAATAACTCTTACACTAAAGTAAATTCTTCTATTTTATGTATGTTATGGAACATGTTCCCTTTATTTTAATTCATTGGTTATTTTAATTAATCTAAAAACCTGTATAAAATCCTAAATTATTTAAATTTCAAGTATGAAATAGTTTTGTTCCAACTCATTCACGGTCTTAGTGAACTTTTATTCCTTGATTTAATTCTAATCCTAAATTCATCTGCAAAACATTATTAAGAGCTTATTTAACTATGATGCATTCTCCTAAATTGTTAGTAATCTCATTGATCATTGCAATCTGATTTTGAATACTATAATTTTCATCCCTATTAATAAAAGTTTATAATTTATCTTTTCAGAATTAAATAAGAATTAAGTAGAATGCTTTATGAAAATAGATATACAGATTGATTTCAAACCATCCAACTCTCAACTCCGACTTGCTAGGTGAATGGGTATCCCTACTATTGAATTCTAACCATATTGTTTGTCAACTTACAGGAGCTTGATATCCAGAAAAATTAATTATTTCATTTGTATTTTTCGATTTAATTAATGGATTTTCTAATTAAGTCAAACTTATCTGACTTTACTTGCTCAATAATGTAAAATATAATTAGTTTATATTTTGCTATAATAACGCTTATATCTATTCTTATATACTTTGTAAATGAAAACTTTGTAGAAGGTATTTGAACTTGTAACAGGACAACAGAAGATGTTGGGTTATTATATACTTGACTTTTGTAAACTGGATTTATTTGGTTGTAAGAGTTGAACTGTTAATTTTTTGACGTATAAGTATCTTCAGATTAATTCTTAATAGCTAAACTTCAAAAAGAGTCCTTATAACGAAGTTACTAGCCCCAAAAATAAATCCTCATCTAAAATACACCTCATTTTAAGCAGACTATAAGGAAGGAGATAAAAGATATAAAAATGAATAAATTGTAAAATTTAAGTAAAAATGAAGTATTTCTATAAAAATTATTTGGTTTTTTTCCCTACTTGCAAAGCCCTATGATTTCTTAATTCATTTTCACTACAAAAAATGAAAAATCTGTTTTAATAAAAGAAAAGTGAATAAGACATCCTCAATATGTTATGTGGATAACATGTAGAGTATAGAAACATTATTTTAGAATTTATTTTCATATATTTTAAATCAAATAAAAAGTATTTTTCATTTTTACCCCTCTACTTGAGCTCTCTTTGTATATTTCCAAATAATTCCTGCTTATCTTAAAATTCAGACCTTCTTTTAAAATAAATTATTTTGGCAAATATGAAAATGCCAAGTTTCTTAATTGTATTTTATAATGGAAATTTAAAATTGTTGGCAGCAAGACATCCAATTGAAATATTATACATTCAGCTAAATTATAAATACTAACACCAATTTGAATATATTACAAGCATTTCTTGCTACCTAACAAATCACAAATACACAAAAGAGAACATAAAATAGGGGACACAGTCAAGCATACATTTAGTAGTGTGATCATCAACTTTATTCTTTAAACAGCCTACAGTAAGGAATATGTGAGAGAGTAATTCATAACACATGCTTTAATCGTTCGATGCTGGAGTTTGGAGTTCTGAGGCTAAAGCAATAGTTAGCACATAAGTTTGAATATTTATCTAAATCTTTTCATTACTCATCAGATTAGAGGTATCAAAACGTCCAACACAGTTAAATGACCCTATAATAGCAACATCAAGTACAAGAGCTAATTACTCTAATAAATGGCTTGTTGCTAAAGCGTTAAATTTAATCAAACTCTAATACCTACAAATAAATTGCTATGACAAAATGTTTGAACAAGGTTGCTAAGATTTATATTGTCATCTTAAGCAAAACTATACAGCTGAGCACAATTAATAAAATTAGCTTAAGAGTTTTTAAGTAGCTGCAATAAAATTTATGTAGAATTCTCTTTTATAAATTACTTTTCAGACAATATTGATGACAAAAACAATTTAATGATCTCCAAAACATATAAATCAGTGAGGTTGATCTGGTACCTATAAAATAGTTTAAAGATTTGGGGAGTTTAAAACTCAAAACAAAGGTTAGTAGACATACTATTAGGATATGGTCGAACACTTATTACACCTCCTTTTATTTAACAGCCATAGTGATGTTACTAGAAATTAACTTTTAAAGTAGAACTATTTAACATTGGCATCAATTTATATGTCAAGTTGAATACAATTCGTGGCAATCAGTTACTACATGTATTAGATATGGTAGCATAATATATGCATTTAAACAGTTTTATGTGAGCTGTTCAAAAGTAAGAATTGTTAGCATTAGATTCCAACAAAAATGTGGTTCAATTATTAAAGCATGATATAGAGTTTATGAAAAATATTAACAGATGAAATAGCACAAGTATTGAGATGTTAAATTCACTGGCTATATGCTTTTAATAGAAGAGAGAGAAATCATCATAAAATGAAGTTTGAAGAAATAATCAAGGTTTCATCATTATTTTGTAATAGCAATCAAGGATATAATTGAGAAGGAAATTGATCTAGTGTTAAGATCTTATAGACTTGAAGGAGTATTCAAATGTACAAGTAGGAGTTTAGCTCATCACTTTGAATGAACTTAGTAACAAGGAGCATTAGACCCAAAAGGCATTATTAAACTTAGAAGTGAAGCTCTTAATGCAGTCAAAGGTAATTAGTACTGAGAGCATAAAGAGAGACTTATGAGACTACTCTTGAAAAAATTAACACTTTGAGCGATGTTTACATTATTACAATCTCGTTTATAAATTATGGAAGATTTAGGGTAAGCAAGTACTACAACGTAATGTTAATAATATTACTTAGAGCAGCATTTTCCAAATCAGTAAGTAAGTTACAGAATGGAACAGAAGTTTAATGAACTTCAATTATTTTTTGAAACACAAATTAGTTAAATTTTCAGTACACTTAAAAAAAAACGGATAAATTATTAGAGGTTTCGGAGACATTATAAAATCCTCCTTTCTTAACCATATCAACCCATTGATATATATTAGCACACAACAGTGGTAACATAGCTTTTATATTGACACACAAAATTATTTACATAGGACTGATCCTTGTGCAATTCATCTAGACTATCTTTACATTCATTACCATCAGCACAAATATTATTAGATAGGAAGAATCTATAAAATCACAATTGCCCAAAGACAAGGATATTGACATTCTTAAGGAGGAAGCATCAGAATATTATCTTAACAACAAAGATTTAC